ATGAACTAGAAGAAACAGAATAAAGGGTTAATAGCGAATTAGAAAAATTAAAATCGAAACAGAGTTTCGTTTGAAAGGAAGGGAAATAAATTAAAAGATGTTGGAAGGAGAAGAAAGTTTTATAAATTAATTGAACTAGAAGAAACAGAATAGGGGGGAAATTGCCGAATTAGAAAAATTAAGATCGAAACAGAGTTTGGTTTGCATGGAAGGGAAATAAATTATTAGATGTTGAAGGGAGAGGAAAGTTTTATAAATTAATTGAACTAGAAGAAACAGAATAGGGGGGAAATTGCCGAATTAGAAAAATTAAGATCGAAACAGAGTTTGGTTTGCATGGAAGGGAAATAAATTATTAGATGTTGAAGGGAGAGGAAAGTTTTATAAATTAATTGAACTAGAAGAAACAGAATAGGGGGGAAATTGCCGAATTAGAAAAATTAAGATCGAAACAGAGTTTGGTTTGGAAGGAAGGAAAATAAATTATGAGAGGGTGAAGGGAGAGGAAAGTTTTTTAAATTAAATGAAGTAGAAGAAAGAGAAAATGGGGGAGAATACCGAATTAGAAAAATTAAGATCGAAACAGAGTTTGGTTTGCAAGGAAGGGAAATAAATTAAAAGATGTTGAAGGGAGAAAAATGGTTTGTAAACTAAATGAACTAGAAGAAAAAGAATAAGGGGTAAATAGCCGAATTTGAAAAATTAAGATTGAAACAGAGTTTGGTTTGGAAGGAAGGGAAATGAATTAATAGAGGGTGAAGGGAGAAGAAAGTTTTATAAATTAAATGAACTAGAAGAAACAGAATAAGGGGGAGATTGCCGAATTAGAAAAATTAAGATTGAAAAAGAGTTTGCTTTGAAAGGAAGGGAAATAAATTAATAGAGGGTAAAGGGAGAAGAAAGTTTTATAAGTTAAATAAACTAGAAGAAACAGAATAAGGGGGAGATTGCCAAATTAGAAAAATTAAAATCGAAAGAGAGGTTGGTTTGGAAGGAAGGGAAATAAATAAATAGAGGGTGAAGGGAGAAGAAAGATTTATAAACTGAATGAGCTAGAAGAAACAGAATAAGATGTTAATAGCCGAAATAGAAAAATCAAGATCGAAACAGAGTTTGGTTTGGAAGGAAGGGAAATAAATTAATAGATGTTGAAGGGAGAAGAAAGTTTTATAAATTAAATGAACTAGAAGAAAGAGAAAATGGGGGAGAATACCGAATTAGAAAAATTAAGATCGAAACAGAGTTTGGTTTTCAAGGAAGGGAAATAAATTAATAGATGTTGAAGGGACAAAAATGGTTTGTAAACTAAATGAACTAGAAGAAAAAGAATAAGGGGTAAATAGCCGAATTTGAAAAATTAAGATTGAAACAGAGTTTGGTTTGGAAGGAAGCGAAATCAATTAATAGAGGGTGAAGGGAGAAGAAAGTTTTATAAATTAAATGAACTAGAAGAAACAGAATAAGGGGTAGATTGCCGAATTAGAAAAAATTAACATCGAAACAGAGTTTCGTTTGGAAGGAAGGGAAATAAATAATAGAGGGTAAAGGGAGAAGAAAGTTTTATAAATTAAATGAACTAGAAGAGACAAAATAAGGGGGAGATTGCCGAATTAGAAAAATTAAGATCGAAAAAAAGTTTGGTTTCGAAGGAAGAGAAATAAATTAATATATGTTGAAGGGGGAAGAAAGTTTTATAAATTAAATGAACTAGAAGAAACAGAATAAGGAGGAGATTGCAAAATTAGAAAAATTAAGATCGAAAAAGAGTTTGGTTTAGAAGGAAGGGAAATAAATTAATAGTTGTTGAAGGGAGAAAAATGGTTTGAAAACTAAATGAACTAGAAGAAACAGAATAAGGGGGAGATAACCGAATTAGAAAAATTAAGATCGAAACAGAGTTTGGTTTGGAAGGAAGGGAAATAAATTAATAGAGGGTAAAGGGAGAAGAAAGTTTTATAAATTAAATGAACTAAAAGAGACAAAATAAGGGGGAGATTGCCGAATTAGAAAAATTAAGATCGAAAAAGAGTTTGGTTTCGAAGGAAGAGAAATAAATTAATATATGTTGAAGGGGGAAGAAAGTTTTATAAATTAAATGAACTAGAAGAAACAGAATGAGGGGGAGATTGCCGAATTAGAAAAATTAACATCGAAACAGAGCTTGGTTTGGAAGGAAGGGAAATAAATTAATAGATGTTGAAGGGAGAAGAAAGTTTTATAAATTAAATGAGCTAGAAGAAACAGAATAAGAGGTTAATAGCCGAAATAGAAAAATTAAGATGAAAACAGAGTTTGGTTTGGAAGGAAGGGAAATAAATTAATAGAGGGTGAAGGGAGAAGAAAGTTTTATAAACTAAATGAACTAGAAGAAACAGAATAAGGGGGAGATTGCCGAATTAGAAAAATTAAGATCGAAACAGAGTTTGCTTTGGAAGGAAGGGAAATAGATTAATAGATGTTGAAGGGAGAAGAAAGTATTATAAAATAAATGAACTAGAAGAAACAGAATAAGGGGGAGATTGCCGAATTAGAAAAATTAAGATCGAAACAGAGTTTGCTTTGGAAGGAAGGGAAATAGATTAATAGATGTTGAAGGGAGAAGAAAGTATTATAAAATAAATGAACTAGAAGAAACAGAATAAGGGGGAGATTGCCGAATTAGAAAAATTAAGATCGAAACAGAGTTTGCTTTGGAAGGAAGGGAAATAAATTAATAGATGTTGAAGGGAGAAGAAAGTTTTATAAATTAAATGAACTAGAAGAAACAGACTAAGGAGGAGATTGCCGAATTAGAAAAATTAAGATTGAAACAGAGTTTGCTTTGGAAGGAAGGGAAATAGATTAATAGATGTTGAAGGGAGAAGAAAGTATTATAAAATGAATGAACTAGAAGAAACAGACTAAGGGGGAGATTGCCGAATTAGAAAAATTAAGATCGAAACAGAGTTTGCTTTGGAAGGAAGCGAAATGAATTAATAGAGGGTGAAGGGAGAAGAAAGTTTTATAAATTAAATGAACTAGAAGAAACAGAATAAGGGGTAAATTGCCGAATTAGAAAAATTAACATCGAAACAGAGTTTGGTTTGGAAGGAAGGGAAATAAATTAATAGAGGGTAAAGGGAGAAGAAAGTTTTATAAATTAAATGAACTAGAAGAAACAGAATAAGGGGGAGATTGCCGAACTAGAAAATTTAAGATTGAAACAGAGTTTGCTTTGGAAGGAAGGGAAATAGATTAATAGATGTTGAAGGGAGAAGAAAGTATTATAAAATAAATGAACTAGAAGAAACAGACTAAGGGGGAGATTGCCGAATTAGAAAAATTAAGATCGAAACAGAGTTTGCTTTGGAAGGAAGGGAAATAAATTAATTTATGTTGAAGTGAGAAAAATGGTTTGAAAACTAAATGAACTAGAAGAAACAGAATGAGGGGGAGATTGCCGAATTAGAAAAATTAAGATCGAAAAAGAGTTTGGTTTGGAAGGAAGAGAAATAAATTAATAGAGGGTAAAGGGAGAAGAAAGTTTCATAAATTAAATGCACTAGAAGAAACAGAATAAGGAGGAGATTGCCGAATAACAAAAATTAAGATTGAAAAAGAGTTTGCTTTGGAAGGAAGGGAACTAAATTAATAGATGTTTAAGGGAGAAGAAAGTTTTATAAATTAAATGAACTAGAAGAAACAGAATAAGGGGGAGATTGCCGAATTAGAAGAATTAAAATCGAAACAGAGCTTGGTTTGGAAGGAAGGGAAATAAATTAATAGATGTTGAAGGGAGAAGAAAGTTTTATAAGTTAAATAAACTAGAAGAAACAGAATAAGAGGTAGATACATTGGTATCGTGCACCAGATCAAATTCTAGAGCAGATGAAAAGATTTCTGATGCTCTTTCAAGTGAGAGTGATACCAATTTCAGCCTCTTCGCTTCTTGCGACCCATAAACAAAAACTTGCGACATGGAATACAATCTTTGTGCAACCAGGTGAAGTGATGTCTTTCTTGCTAAAATCATTTTCCCTTTCACTTATATAAATATCCTTTAATAATAGACAGGTCTTGTGTTTTATCACTTTTGAGTAACTGCTTTTATTTCACCTTCGAATCCGTTAATAATATTCAAGATCTTCCTACATTTCTGGATGAACCTGAAAAAATCCAGGCAGTAACTTCCCTCCTAACGTGACATCTCTTGTCTTGTCACAAAAGAAAAAACCTTTTAAAGAAGAAAGAAGAGGAAGGAAATGAAGGATTAAATGTTGAGAAGGAAAAGGATGACGGCAAAGGAAAAAGGAAGTAGAAGGAAAGGGAGGTTGAGCTTGAGATGAAAGAGAGAAGAATAAAGAAAAGATAAAAGAGAAAATGAAGAAGTTCACAAAGAAAGGGAAAAGGAAAAAAAGAGAAAGAAACGGAAAAAAGAAATGAAGGAGACGTAGTAGAAGCAGAAAAAGAGAAGGTAGAAAAAAAAATTCGAGAGGGAATGGTAAATGGTGTTGAATGTGGAAGAGTAGAAAGGATATAGTTGAAGGGAAGGAAGCAAGGAAAGCAGAATGAAAATAGAGAATGGAGAAGTTGGAGGTTAAAGGAAAAAAGGAAAGAAAGAACAAAAAGGTGGAAGGAGAAGAAGAATGGTTTTTTCGCAAAGAGTTAATGATGAATTCCTGTCGCAACAACTGTCAAAAGAATTCATTACAAAGGTCACAATGAAAAATCTTAACTGTAAAATGCACTTTTATTCCGTTATTGCCTTTCTTAGTTAAGAATCATTTTCTATTCCCAAAATATTCTCAACGTCGTTATGGTCTAACGAGGAAAGGAGAAAACATACGCAAAGCCACAAACGAGGTTCGCCTTTCTTCTTCTTCTCCTTTATCTTCTTCTTCTGTCATATGCCCCTACCATTTAAAATAAAAACCTTATATACCTTTAATGATCTTTATAATTCATCAGAACTGAAATCTGATTATCGTAATTTTTTAAATCTTTTGTTTGTTTTTGCTCATAGACACTTTTTCATAAGGATGTTTTTAAGAATGTTTAGGATTAAAATCGCTGGTGTTTAAGAATGATTTAAGAAAAATGCAAGAATTAAATTGTTCTGTCTGTGAGTTTTTTGGAAAGCAAAACAAATGCAAGTTTCACGCTTTATGTTTTTAAACAGACGCATCGGGCCTTGTAGTCATTTACACTAAAATGCGACTCAGTTGCTTTCCAGGGACTGGCCGTGACCGTGATGAGCTCAGAATTGGAGAATTCTTGTTTTGTTTTTTTGTGATGACGTAATAAATGGACAAAGATTTTATTCTCTGATCTTCAGGGGAATTTACACCTTGTGCCGCTTAAGAATAATTTAAGAATAGTCTTCGGCTCAAAATCAAACCATTTTTAGATTATTGAAGCTCAGCAATATGTATTCTTAAAACAAAAGTATGTATTTTGTGGAAAAATAAAACAAAAGACAATGGCAAAAGTTACTAAAAGATGCGAAAACTGTACCTCTGGTCTCTAGCATTGCTTCCAGAATCTTCAAGTTATTGGGTCAAGTAGCCAAAAAGATAGATTTTCTTCAATTTGTCTTGCCAAGTTTGTTATATTTTCACTTGCAGACGCCATCTTGTTAAACTCATGGCAAATTACAAAGGATGCTGGGTAAAGGACCTCCTTCGTAGTTACGCATTTGACATTCAAAAACTTTATCCCAATTAATTTTTTCTAAAAAGGTACTTTGTTTTGGTTTATCACCACATATAATTTTTTCATGGATTGAATGTTACATTCTATTTTCCGACTGACAATCTGCTTTGCACTTAGTAGCATTCAGTTCGAAGAGATTGATTCATACTACAATATATACTGTATTTTCCCACCCCAAACAACAACCATCACTCTTGTATAAAGTCTGAAATCTTATCTATAAATTCACTTGCTGCGCTCTATCTGTGTCTAAGGTCTTTCTATATCCTACATTTTTTGAAAGGATGGGTAGTTTTAAATTAACTGCAAGTCACAACAATAAATATTAGTAATATGTTTATGGGACTTGGTCTTAGCTAGCAATATGAAGCGTAAATCACAATGTGCAGTTAGAATCAGTTTAGGCCGAATATTCTATAAACTACATGAGTAATGCAAGTGGTACCACGTGTCTAGACTTTATTAAGTTCACCATAAGCTTAAAAAGTAGTGCTTAACAGTCTTAACAGAACACAAAACCTGAACTTCAGCCAAGTACAAATGACAAAGCAGGAGCTGCGTAAAGCGACGTGATCAAGCTAACTCAAACGAGGAAGCTTTTTGAAATGATAGATCAAGAACTTAAGAACCAAGGAAGAAAAATCAAGTGTTGGCCTGATCTCAGGATATGCTGTAGGGAGCTAGGAGGCACAAAGTTTGGTATTTACACACGTGCCCGCGCAGATTCTGCTCTGTCAGTAGCATATACGTTGTAGATGATGCAGAAATGTGACGAAGAGACAACAATTTGAATTACGATGAAGCGTTCCATAAAATCAAGGGTTTCGATGTCCCCATGGCGAGCATTAAAACGACATAACAAAAGAAAAGATGTGATACAGCCTTGAATATAAAATAGTCTAAATTCCAGGCACACGTGAAAAAAGACGAAGGAATTATAAAATAAATGCAAATCAAAGGTACTTAAAACATAAAACTTGAAAGTTATTATCAAGGCTTCTTTCAACTTTTTTGAAAACTTTATTCCAATGTGATCTTGAAGTCAATACCAAACTGAAAACTTTATTCTTTATCGATACTGATCGTAATAATCAAAAGGGACACATGCTAAAGGCCTAGGGGTCATCCTAAAAGAAATGCTTCGTTATGTTACTTAACTCTTTTATGGCATCGCAAATCGAATCCAATAAAAAAACTGTCTTCAAAATATTTATACGTTTAGTGGAAACTGCAAAACATTGTCCTTCTTTGGAAAATACAAGGGGGGGGGGGTGAAAAAGGTTAAAAATTGCATTGGGACATCAAAATTGCTTTTCAAAATATTACAGAGAATACGTATTTCAACTAGTCCCATTTTCGAAAAATTCATCAAATGGTTTACATAAATCTTGTCTGTTAGATCCAATAGGATACTGCGGCAGTATTTGAGTCGACAAATACAGTTTTTGTTCAAGAATTTTTTTGTCTTCCAAAGGTTCTAGATATCTTTTGGCGAAGCATTGTTTTATCGTCAAATTGAATTCCACCAGCCAAAATGGCCTATACTACCTTATAACGCCCACCTGCCTGAGGCCTATAAGTCGATGACTCAAACTTAATGAGCTCTTCCTTTAGTAACCTCCTCACTTCTGCTCTTGCTATTTGAATTGCCCTTTCTGATAATGACTCGATGTACAAATGCAATCTTTTTTCACCCTCCTTTACCTTGCTCCCTGGGGGTACATACGAGCCCCTGACTGTAATTCCCGCTTCTGAAACTTCACATACCCTTGATATCGTCTCTTTGGATGTGATCCTCCATCTTGCTTGCTGTGGTAGATCATTAATATCAATTTCAGACTCATATTTCTCCAATTTCTCCGGCTCTGTCTGTCCCTCCTCTTCTTTTTCTGTTTCAGGGGCTTTATAATTCAACTTCGCATTTACTTTGTCAGCAAGCTGCTTAGCCAGTCCAATACCCTTAATCTGCTCTAGAGCCCCACCTTTGAGAATCTGGGTTGCGGCATGCTGTGTTTTATCTGCATTTTGACCCTGACTTATCTTTATGTTTATCTTTGCAGCAATACTCGAAGCTTTCTTCATCTTGTCTTGATCAATGACTGCTGGTTGCTGCCCTGCCAGGCCTGGTGCAAGCTGCGGAGGTGCTTTCTTAGGCTTTGAATCATGGAATGCCTTGTTTAAGTCATCTTCTATTTTATCCATTGCATTTTCAGCCGCTTCAGCCTCGTCATCCGAATCCTGTAGGCCTAAGGCCCATTTTTGCATTTTTTTCATTTCGTTGCTCTTTGCTTCTTCTTCTTCGTCAAACTTGAAGCCTTTTCCGCCGAATCCCTTGTTCTTTTCCCTTTTTACCTTTTTTCCTTCTGCTTTCATTTGCTCTTTATATTCTTGCCACAAAGTCTTGAGCGCCTCTGGCGGTGCTCCTTTAGATGTCTCAAGCGCTTTGATTATATCTTGGGCAAGCTTTCCTTCATCCGGTGTTATCAGAGTAAAGGCCACGCCTTTATTTCCTGCACGACCAGTGCGACCCACACGATGAACGTAATCCTCAAAATGATTTGGACAGTCATAGTTAACAACCAAATTGAGTTGCTTGACATCAAGGCCACGTGCGGCTACTGATGTCGCAACCATTATCTTGATGTTACCATTTTTAAAATCAGTAATCGTACTATCGCGATCAAACTGATCCATACCCCCGTGTAATGACAAACAAGGATATCCACGTTTTAGCAAATCCTTGAAGAGAACATCTGCAGAGTCCTGTTTCTCTACAAAAACAAGGATACTACCTTGATCTTGGTACATCCCTAGCAACTCAAGCAGCTTCAAAAACTTGTTATCCTCATCAATTACAACAACATGCTGAGAAATGTCAGAGCAGACAATACTGCGTCCACCCACTTCAATTTCAATCGGCGATTTCAAAAGTTTCCTTGCAAGGCCTTCAAGCTGACGGGGAAAAGTTGCAGAAAACAGAACCGTCTGTCTGTCGTCCCTAATGTTCGCAATAATCTTCATAACCTGTGGTTCAAAGCCCATATCAAACATGCGATCTGCTTCATCTAAAACTAGATACGTGCATCGTCTACAATTGGTTACACGCCCACTGTTTGCAGTTAGCATGTCAATCATTCTTCCGGGGGTACATACAATTATTTCAGCACCCCGCTTGAGCTCAGCTATTTGCTCGCTTATCCCACTTCCACCATAAATACACACGGCCTGAAGACCCAGTGGCTTGCAGAACCTTTTTGTCTCCTTGTGGATTTGTAATGCAAGCTCTCTAGTGGGTGTCATTATAATGGCAATTGGTCCATCATTCTCATCCAAAGGTGGCTGGTCTAATACATGTCTAAACATTGGAAGCAAAAATGCTAATGTTTTCCCACTTCCTGTTTTGGCAATACCAATGACATCACGACCTGACATAATCGAAGGTATACCTTGCGCTTGGACCGGGGTTGGCTTCTCGTAATTACATTTCTTGAGAACTTCTAGTATCTTATTGTTGACACCTGATTGAGCCCAAGTCTTAATCGGCTTTGGAATATCTCTTCCTACAACTCTAATGCTACCTAACTCAAGTCTGTATTTGTCTACCTCTTCGTCAGTCATTTTTGCAAGATCTGGAACCTCAACATAAAAATTTTTCCTAAATGGGCGATAATAAATCTTGGAGTGATCAGCAGCCAGAAGCTCTTTTTTCTTCTTTTGCTTCATAGCGGCAAATGCGTTGCCTTCAAGGATGTCCTCTTTCTCCCCTTCTTCTGATGAATATTCCATGAGATCTTGATTCTGTTCAATGACTTCTGGCTTCTTTTCACCCATATCACTTTCTGCTTTTTTGACAACAGTTGTCACAATTGTGGTTGTTTTCCCTTTCTCCTTTGCTGTTTGCCCGAATGCATTGAACTTCTTCACTTGCTTTTGAACCTCTTTCATGTATGCGTCCAAAGGATCAACTTCATCCTCTTCATCCTTCTCATCATTCTTTTTCACTGAATCATCCTCCTCGTCATCATCATCATCATCTTCTAGACTCCACTTTTTCCCTGCGACTTTCTCTTCCTGCGTTTCCTCGCCATCCTTATGCTGTCTTGCCAATCTCCATGCTTCTACTCTTTCCTTTCTTCTTCTCATTGCATCTTCAATGTTATCTAAAGCAACAGCTCCTTCCGACTTATCTTTTCCACTTTTGCTCTCAGAAGTCTCTTTGTCATCATGCCGATCATGCTTTCTGCTGCGATGTCTTTCATCCTTTCCGGGCGCTTTTCTCTCTTTGTCCTGGTCCCTGTCTCTATCTCTATTTCTCTCTCTATCTCGATCTCGATCCCTACCTTTGTCTTCCCGTTGATCTCTACTTCTCACTTTTTCCTTGGTTTCTCTTTCTTCTTCCTTGTGGCCTCTTTCCCTATCTCGTTCCTTACCCCGTTCTCTATCTCGCTCTTTTTCCCTTTCTTTATCTTTAATCCTTTCTCTTTCCCTATCTTTATCCCTCTCCTTCTGTTTATCTATCTCTTTGTATTCCCCAGTTTTTTCTCGCTTATCTCTATCCTTACTTTTCGTCTCTTTCTCTTTTGTAGCCTTCTTTTCTTTGCTCTCTGTCTTTTCTTCTTTTGGTTCTCTATGAATAACTTTTTCTTCCTTATCACTAGATGTGTCTACGTCTTGATCTTTATGTCTTTCTTTGTGATGCTCTTCACCTTTTTCTTTATCTTTACGATGCTCTCCGTTCTTCTCTCTGTCTCTATTTCCGGTGCCTTTTGCAGCTCCATCTTCTTTTCCTTTGTCTTTATGCTTGACCTTTTCCTTTATTTGCCTGTCATCTTCCTCCCCACTTTCACTATCATACTTCTTCTTCGACTTTTCTTCTTTCCTTTCTTTGTATTTTTCTTTAACCTTTCCTCCTGTTGATTTAATTTTTATCGGAGACTTGCTTCTGCTTCGACTTTCGCGATGCTTTTTCTTCTTTTTCTTTATAGGGCTTTCCTCTTCACTGTCATACTTACTTGCCTTCTTCTTTTTACTTGATTTTCTTTCTGGTGAAGATGACAAACTCGAGCTTGATCTCCTTCGTTTTTTCCTTTTTTCAGGGCTTGGACTTTCTCTTAACTTCTTTTTAGACTTGGATTTTGATTTTTTCTTTTCTGGCGAGACACTAAAAACAAAACAAAAGATTATAGCTGACAAGAATTACATAAAATAATCAATTTACAGGAAAAATGACGCATCATTGACATAAATACACAATATTTAGAGATATAGTTGATACAAAAAACGAAAAATGATTTCAAGATTGTCATTACAACTTCTAATGATAACTGTTGCTTTGTTTTTGCTTTATATTTCAAAATGTCACAAAAATACGGAGGTAGTTGTAGTTTAGCAAGATATTTATTTCTCGTTTGATTGGTAGCTGAATTTTTTAGTACCAATTGCTAATATAGCAGAATAAAGACCACTAACATTTAGTACCCTGAAGAGTGTCAGACAGTTAATGGTAATAGTTTTACAAAAACGATTCATAATTTGTACCACCGAAAGTCAGGAGAAATCTCATAATGATAACAAACTTGGAAATTTTGTATCAATAATACCTATCTCTTCTAACAAAATAAGAATTTACCAGCCAACTGCAATATTGTTGTCCATTCAAGGTCAAGGAATGCATACCCTGGTTTTTGGGGATGATAACCTATCATCAGCACAACATCATAAAAAATTCCACAAGAAAAAGAGACCCCAGAAATTGACCTTTTTCACAGCATGGAAGAATTGTCATTCTAGTTCTAACTAAAGCATTAAACCTACCACACACAAAGATTTCCAAAAAACCCCCATTTGTTGAATCAGTAAATACAAATTATGTAAATGCAGTAGCTAATTTGATTAAACGTCACTGGTTAAAACTTTCATTGCAGCACTAGGCACAACTGCCAATTCTATGAATTGTCTTGGATTATTTGTACCACTGATATTTAAATTCAGCTCTGCTCCTAGATCTAGATAGATTTCTGCTAACCTCAGAACATCACTTAAACTCAGCGAAGCAAAATATTTTCAATAAACATCTCAAAGTGAGTAGTTTGAACGTCAGTTATTTATATCATTACGGCAAATAGATACTTAATATGTTATTATAAAATGATTGAGCTACACTCAATCAAGCTTACACTCAATCAAGATAAATTTAAAAGTGGTGTGTAGATGGATTCCACACAAAGCCTCCATCTTAACTTTAGGCTTCATATATAATCTTCTATATTCTACACTAGCTTCATGTCTACTTGTCACATTACAAACCCTAAATATAGAGTTGAAACTCTTGATTAGTGCTAAGTGTTAATACCATGAATAAAAAAGTCCTACTTCGGTTAGATGACCAAATAAGAGCATAATCGTTATATCTGATGCCAAGTCCACAGCATATGGCAAAAGCATGCCAAAGGCTATAATAACACATTCGAGGAATATTTGAAATTTTACATTGAATGGTAATGGTAACATGGTATTATTAAGACTGTGTTGCTGCTTGCCTGGGCTTATTAGTATGCTTCCCTTAGTAGCAGCATTACCCCTTGTTTTCATTAAAAAGTGATGTTGCAAGTTGCATCTTGCCCTGATTGAGTATAGCTGGAAACAAACTATTATACATGTCATTTATCTATTACATTTATTAAACTTTTACATTTTCCTATTACATATAGCTTATTACAAAAAGGCACCGCCAAAGATACAATTTCCAGACTAGAGCTAAACATCTTAGAAGATGAGAAAAGGCATCTGAACATGCTATGATACTGCTTGGCTTTCTTATTATCGTTGTAGAGTTTGAAATCACTCTGACTGGGTATAAACATTTATGCTATTAAAAGGGTAAAAAAAATGCTTTTCATGCACATCATAACATCTAGTCCATAAGATAATCCCACGTAAAGTATGATGACAAACTATAATTCTAGGTATCCTTTCAAAAAGGAATATGTCAATCAGTCATTCAACTGGGAGCCTAACACCAAGGACATTCATTAAACCAAGGACAAACTTAGTCACTTTTATACACCACTTTAGTAAAACAAATATGAGAACTTAAAAACATTTATATCTTATTTTCTCATTCTCAGTAAGAAAGATGAGTACTTTGATATTTTGTTTCCATGCAGTTTCTAGCAACATTCAAACAGGGTGTCGCTAACTTGGTATTATGGAAAAAGCTTAACCCATTGGTGATTAGTAGAAAGAAAGTTGTACATATGTCAATTGGGGCTTGCAGATTGATTCCTGTTATTATTCTTGTACAGAAATTCTTCATACATTTACCTTGCCTTACCGCCTCTTTAGAATTTCCTCCTACATTCTGATCTTTATATAGTCAAAATCTATACATAAATCATTGTATTTTGTAATTCATTGATGGTTTAATCATCCCCATTTAAAGCTATCAACAAGAGAGCTACATTATTACATCAACTTGTGTATCCATTATGGAAAAGGAATCTAGTCTATAAGATCTTGTTTGTTATTTACTAGCCTCTCAATTTTTATACATTGGGTGGACATTAGAGTTTTGAGGGTCTTTGCAACATAATACAAGTGGAGTTGTTTAAAAACACTTGAAAAACCAGGCCTGGCCATTTGAATACAGCCAAAGCTCTTGTTTCCTTCAAAGCTCTCCTCAAATAGTGGAGGGGAGCTACAAATTTCTCTCCTAAATGCTCTAAAAAGCAAATAGCTCTCCTTGATATCAATTTTTCTTTGTTTTTATCCTTTTTATCTACAGCTAGCTCACCTGGAAATTACTAGGAGAGCTGTTTACTGCTCCCCTGCTAAAACTCTTATGGCCAGGCCTCATAAATCTAAAATATTGTCATCCTTTGGAGATATAAATGCATACCATTGAAAAAGTATGAGGGAGATATTGCATCTTATACGTATCATAAAGCAAAAATTAGGCTCCTGATTCTTGACTTCTATCAATTCATTGATATTGAGTAATATGCAATCACTAGCACAGGCTGCTCCTTATTCTATAAAAAAACCATCATGGGCAATGTTTTTCACATGGATGCAGCTGTAAGCAGACAAGGTACCATAGAAAAATTTTCTTTGAATTACAAGAAATACAGACAGGTTTGACAATTTTTTCAGTACATTGACTTAATTTTTTCATGATATTTTGGCACAAAGCATTCATTAAACTTTGTAATAGAGAATATTTATGATTGGTAAAATAAATCTTAAAAAATTTTCTAACTAGGCCGCTTACATGTGCATTGCACATTTCCTTCACAAAATTATTGCACCACCAGCAGGCCTTTTCGTAAGAAATAACCCACGCGAGTGGCCAATCGCTCGCATGATTTTTCTTGCTCAAGTGATCGCTCTGATAGTGATAGCAATGATCTTATAAGGTATCCTTTTGTTTGAGGTAACATCAAATGAAAATAAACTGTTATGATGACTTTTATTGCACTCCAAGAAAGAACAAATACCCAATAAAAATGTGCTTTGTTTATAAACTTAATGTATATCATGAAGGTCATATAGATGTCATTGCCTGATGATCGCAAAATGTTGTTAAAAATTTGCCGTAAATTCTGCGCACAATATTTGTTTATCTGGTCATGTTCCTCGCAAATATTCCACCATTAAAACTTCTGACTTCTGATAACAAGAAAAAACAAAAAATTCAAGGTCTCTTCGAAAGCCTTTGCTTCAAAGTTCACACATGTTTTCGCTGGAAATTTTTGTTATCCACAAATTTCAAAATTAATGTTCTGGCGTTCCCTGCCCAGAAAAAATATTTTACAGTCTGGCTGTACAGAAAATGTCCTAAGTGCTATTGTAGTTCAAATACTAATGCATTGTTTCGTTGAGATGTGGTTTAGTCAGCTTACTTATATTTCCTGTGTTTTAATATACCGGCTTTGTATTGTCTATGTCACTTGCTTGGATCACAAAAGATAACTAGAAATGTCTTGATTGATGAGATATTAATTCCTCACAAATTACCGTTTTGCTTGAGTGATCGTGAGTGATTGCTCGCGTCAATGAAAAGGCCTGACCAGTAACAAATGGTAGCACTGCTGGAAAACTTCTTTAGCAGGCTTTTTCGTTTCACACAGGCAATCAACCTTGCCCTTGCCATGGCCCTCAAAACAAAATGATTGATTTGGCTATTGACAGCCCTTACAAAAACATATATCACCCCCAAGGGAAAAGAAAGTTAGAGACATTATTGTTGTTGTCACTGTTATATAATATAACACCTCCCCAATAGAAACAAACAATTATTGGAAACTTTGGCACATAAAGAGGCGTTGTCAAGGGCTTCCCTTGCGACCTTTTAGCTGAATGTTTTTAGAATGCAAGTGGCCATGGCAAGGGCATAAATGGGAACCAGAGTGGAGCTATTGAAAAACAGAGTCATTTGAGAATGCATTGTTTCACTGGGAACAACATGAGTTCGAACAAAGACAAAAGATATGAAAACAGATAAAACTGTATTAATGGGAATCGGGCCTTAATTTGTTTATAATCCTGCCTACCCCAAAAATGCTATCAATATAACTCACAAAAAAATTAAAAAACTACTTTTAAAAAAATTAACAAGAAGCTAAAAGAAACAAGTAACAAAAAAGGTATAGTCAATCAAAACCTGGTGCTGCGTGAGTGCGAAAAAAGAGTGCGATTTTTGGGCGAGTGTGGAGCAGTCAGAGAGGACAAAGGACGCCTGTGAAGGGGGCAGGAGGGACAGTAGCCAGCCCTTTACTTTGTGAAATTGAGCATTTTTCTGTGTTTCACTACTGTTATGCATTTTTTCTTGGTGCTTTGCCCCTGTTGTTCTCTCTGAGTACAGGCTTCTCTGGAGAGGATGAGGGAGAGAATTGTTCAACCAATTCAAAATCTGATTGCCATTCATACTCTGAAAAAGGGAACTTCTAGATAGTGGTTTTAATTTATTTGAAGCTTTACCTTAGCTGGTTAAACTTAGCATATTTTCTCTTAGTCTGTTCCTAAAAGTCAGGAAATTCCTGAATGAAAGATCTAGTTGCTAATGAGCAAAACTTCTTCGTTGTTGATGTCCTGCATAGATCATTACATCAAATGATGAAAAGCCTGTTTTTATGGGGACCAAAAGTATAGCAAGTTACAAAAAAGACGATGAAATTTTTTTAGCTGGACAATGATGGAAAATTTATTGAGATAATTATCAACATTCTAGACCTACAGCGAATTTCACCTAACATCATAAATGCCAATGCTGGGCAACCAAACATGATGTTCCTGCAATCTGACATCTCAAACAGCATCCTGGGTAAACGTTTGAAGAAATGGTAGATCATTCTTGACTAGTTTCAGAATATCAAAAAGGCATAGGATCTGTCTGCAAAAAGTGATGAAATTGTGCCTCCTGGAGACAAGCATTGCATGGAAACACAGCCCCAAACAACTAGGAAGTGGTCAGATGATTTAAAAAGACATGGTGATATATAAACTAGCTGGTCGGTATAAACAGTATGTAGTAGAATTTAAAAAATCCTGAAATATCAATAAAGAGAAGGGTAAAAAGACCATTGAGTTGAGAACCCATGTCTAGTGCCAGTCTGCATTTGAGACCCATGTACAGGATTAGTGGCGAGCATGATCCAAGTGTGGAATCTATAGCTTACCCTGGAGATATCCTGCGTAGACTAATGGTTTACCATTTTTTTCTATTGTTTATTGGTGTATATTTGGCATGAGCTTCACATGGATTCCACCCTGGGCATGATCTTTAGTAAAACTTGCCAGCTGTTTTAAGCTAGTTTTATCTTTAGCTTCAACAGTTTGATCTGTTGATGAATATTAAATTTTGGGTACTAGTTTTATTAGCAGCCTTTTCCTGCTTAATTTTGTTAGAATCTGTGACAAGCTAAAATCCCAAAATTCATACAGGATATAGCAGATTTAAATTAAATTTTATAATTTTCTTAATAACTGGAATTGAATTAAGCTGGATACCTGGATAGAGTTGCAGGGTTATAAAGTGGCTACTTTAATGGTGTTCTGTTCTATTCCTAATAAAACTGCAGACTTCCAGAGAATTATAAAGATATTTTAATGATATAATTGCAGTCTTGCTTCTCGAACTCCTAAGGATAAACGATTCACCAGTCTTGTTCTGTCGAAGGTAATCTGTTAGTAAAATGGGAACAATACAGCACTATTACACAGTGACAAAAAAGGAATCATTGATCAGTGGTATCTTCTAGCACTTTTTATCGATAATCTATTATTTCTTGCAATCTGCTGAGCATTACACCGATACTCGGTCCTGCTCAGTATCGATGTAGAAGTAGAGGTAAAAGTTAAAAGACCCGTTTGTTCTGACGGAGAAAAGATCAGCTATAAAGCTTACCGCTTAAAATCGTCCTCTGAGCCACTGCTGATTTCTTCACTGGAGTACGTCCTTTTCTTGTATCGACGACTCTTTTTTAATTTCTTTTTATCAGTCTCAGAGCTTGAGCTTCGTTCTCTCCGTCTACTTCTAGTATCACCCCCCATTTCAAAATTTTACAACATACTACAAACGATGGTACTTTTGGGTTTCTTAGGCCCATCAATGGTTTGGTGAACGTGCAGGTTATGCGCTTGCGCGCAGACAGCCTCTCTTTGTTCATTCAGGACAAGATGATAAAGATTATGATTGTTATTATTACTGTTTGCATAAATTGCAGTTTTCTTCCTTTTTATTCTTTTAAATTTTGTTTTATTATTAATTCAATGTAACTCTATCATTAATGGGACAACGTTATCGGCGACCGTGTAAACTTCAAAATTTTAATGAAAATATAGTCTTTAAAATATCAAAATACAAAAGTGAATACCCTAGAGCTAGGCAAAGAAGGGCAAATTGCTTTCATAAAACTTAGAGAAATTATATTGTTCTTTGCTGCAATGATACAAATTTGCTTGCATATTCTAAAATCCACAAAACAAGGTGTTTTGGTACAGAAAATTTTCGTATAGTGATTTTAAAGAGGTAATCATCAATTTGAATCCTAAATATTTTATTAAATTAATAATATTTAATAATTTTATTAATATCAATTTTAGTGCAACCTATACCGAGTGGCGGAAACTTAACTATCATCAAGCTTGCAATATAATCATGAAACTTTTGATTATTATATCATAACAGAAATTGACAACAATCTAACATCAAAATCAAGATGGGAACTTCTGCTTGAAGTTTCTGTAAAAACTTCCACCTTTACATGTTTATCTTTGAAAGTTTCAACTTGTTTATCTATCAGGGCCGTAAATCCCGGGGGGACGGGGGGGACTGGACCCCCCCAAAAAAATCTGGAGCAAAACGATTTTTTTGGAGAAATTACCATCATTTTCCTTGAAAGAAAGAAATCCCTGGTAGCCGGGTTAGAACCAAACTACGTTTTTCTGTGTTTTTGCAACAAACCTCAGCCACTAAGGTTATTTTTGTAAGCAGAGTGGTTTTTAGAATTTTTACAAGATAGAAACTTACCGTTTTCTACTGTTTTTTCCCGTTTTCTACCGTTTTCTACCGTTTTATTTTTGAAAACAAAGTATGAAATAAAAAGAGAGCAATCTGTCATTTTATTTGACCTATTTACTAACTTATTTACGTACATTTCTATTATTTGTCTATTATTTGCTTTTATTTAGTGAATCACTTTTTGTATCATTAAAATGTATTCATTTTTTATGTGTAAAGATGGCCTACTGAAAGCGCTCAAAATAAGAAGACGCACATTTCTGTTCAGAAAGTAAATTTCTACCAATCAATACAACAGCGTCCCATATTTCCTCAAAGTCTGTCACTAAGGTTTAAGCTCGACTCTTCCCCTCCACAATTTCACCCAATAAACAATAATCTGTGTTCTTCTGAGAAACGCCGAACTTTTTATCCTGAGCGATTCTAGTATTTTATTAAATTTAGTCTGGGGGATGTTTTTTTAGCCTTTCTAGAAGGTAAAATTTCAAAAATTTTCTTCTTGTCGGACCCAACCATGGTGGGTCCTCCTGCGACAGTAAACTTAATTCTTAGCACCCAAGGCTCAATTTCTTGGGGCCGTCTCTGAAAAATGTTATCCATCCAATTATCAACACAAGTCAATGTACTAAGGAATATCTATAAATACCTTCTATAGAGCAGAAAGTCTTGAGAAGTCCAAAAATATTGACTTTTGTTTTTAAAGTAATTTGCCCCTAAACTGTTTCCATAACACACCCTTGTGGTGCCATGTCCACTGCATACTTTATATTCATTTGCTCTGCTGACCCCCCCAATTCACATGACAGATTTACGGCCCTGTTATCTATTAATATACTATTATTCCCAAACATTAAATGAATTAATCTTTTCATTATGCTTGTTACTGTATGGATTATTAAACAGACCGCAGGCACCGTGGAGCGTTGTAAAAAGTGGGGGCTCTAGAAAAAGTGGAGGGGCTAAAACCGTATAAAAAGAGGTTTACTGGTAGTTTATTTCTTGATGCCTGGCATTTTTGCAAAATGTGAGGGGTGCCTGATTGACCGACCATCCTGACATTACAATTGGATGTTGCTCCTGGGTTGTTACGCTTCTTATTGGGTTGTTCTGCTATCCGCTTGTTACTACTTGTTACTGGTGTTGTAATATAAGTTTAGAATAAATATCGTTGCTTTTTTGTTCTTAATATTATTATGCTGTCCGTAGTCGATATTGGTTTTTAAGCACGCTTAGCTGCATCTTGTTGTCTTAAAGTAATTGATTGATGGATTTATTGTTTAGCTCAGTTGGAGTTGGGAGGGGCGCGCTGAGGGTTTTTAGAGAGAGGAATTGCGATCGAGGAGTTGGAGTTGTCAAGGACGTTTTCAAGTCGTTTTAAAGTTGTCAAGATCGTTCGTTGTCAAGAATGGAATTAATCATAATAATTACTTGTAAATAGTATATATATATATATATCGTGTTTATTTCATTGTGGGTTTTGCTACCATACACCGACCAGCCTTAAAAAGCACAACACTGGGTTGTGGTTGTTCCGCTTGTTCCTGGTTTTAGAAACGGCGGATTATATGTGGTTTGCGAAATGTGCCTCGGGAGACTCTAGGTTTTGCTTGCTTTCTATGGTCTCACCGTTTCTTGTTAAATTTTTCTCTCCTTCTCTCTTTTCGTTAAGCAGAGGTATTCTAATGATAGAAATGGTTACAATGACTTTCTTCGTGGGAAACTTTTTCGTCATTGCTTACAAATTAACACTAAAACACTTAAAATCATTATGAAAAGTTTCTCATCAAAACTTTTGTTATTAAATGTTTGTCCAGGAAAAATATTTATGGGCATGTTGCTTATGCAATTCAAAAAGTTCAAAAATTCAAAAAACCAAAATCTCTAGGTTTGAAAATTTTAGGTTAACAGGTATCTCTCATTAGCAGGGCAAAAAGAAAAATACAAAGGGAAAAAGATCAGACAAAGGGAAAATTATAAACACCGAAAAAATATTTCACTGGGAGAAAGAGCAAAGTTACAGTTGGTCATTAATTAGGCTAAGATAAGAAGCTTTTGTGGACTCTCCTTGTAGCAATGGAGGCAGGCCCGTAGACACTGGGGGGCAATACCCCTCAATAATTTGCAAAAATTATGTTTGAAGATCTTATGAGCACAGCGTGATCTGACAGTATTTCGTAATACAGTTATAGAAAAAGCTATATTTCTATCCATACCCCCCAAATCCAGTTTAGCTGTCTACAGGCCTGACCGGAGAAGATGGAGGGTATGATATTTTGGGCAGGCCCTGTGATAGGCAAATTCATGTGCCCTTGTTGCTCTTTTTTTAGTTAAACTTATTTCTTTTATTAAACAGCCTTTTATCAATTAAACAGCCTGAAGGTGATTTCAAGAGTGAGTGAGATTGAAAATTCTTTATCAGCCAAATGCTTTTGGTTTTGCGGCTAAAGTACCAAGTAGCAAAACAATTATAGAAATCAGAACAGTAATACAAATAGAAATAAACACAACAACAATTTGGTCTAAATATATATCACACTACCAAGTACAAAACGTGTCTATAATTTAGGTATGAAACTACAGAAGAAAAATAAGCCACAATACTAAAATTCCATGCACTTAATTTATCAAAGCTTACAGCAAACCTGCCTACCTACCAATGCAAACATTTTGGTTTCAGGTGAGGTTGTTTTTATTCAACAATTGCTTTCAAAGAGCAGAAATTCAACCAAGAATATTTTGAAAAATTTTACCTTCTTAGCTACATTTAATTTCCTAAAAACTGGCTTTTCTATGCAAAACATTCTCCATTGATGCCTACCAGGGGTTTGTGTTCCCAGGCTCCCTAATCAACCTTGTTCCAAATAACTTTTTTCAATGTTTGGCCCTATTACCCCTGGCAGGCCCTCTCCAATGTTAGAGTATTTGTACAATTTACAGAAATTATTTACAACAATAGAGCTGAAAAAGGAAAATTTAGAGGCCAGGCTTGATGCGGATGTGGTCTGTAATTGCTTACTTGCACAATCTTCTGTAGCAAGGTATTTGGAAAAAACAGGAAGAAATGATTGATGCTATAATTTCTAGACTGGTAACATAATTTGCCTTTTTATATATTCCAATTTCACTGATAAACATATAAATAACACAAAAGGTAAGGAGCCATTTCTAGTCAGTGCCAAGTTCTCTACACATTTCAAGATCCATACCAGCACGCAGTTCTGATAATGGAACCATCACTTTTCCAACTATTGTTTCCTGCATTCCACTTGAATCCATGACTAGGAAACACAATGTGTATTGCCGCAATTTGTGATGCAGAACATCTGGAATCTTGAATGACTGCTCAAAAATGGGATGTCGGGTATGCATAACAGATTCTGTCCGTTGCCAATAAAAGTCTTCAGGGAGAATACAGAAGTTAACATATACTTCAAAGTTTTCTTCTCTCACCTGGCTAACAGGAAGGTCAATAGCTTGTCTTATAACAACAACAAGCTGTGAAGCATCAGAGTCATAAAATAAAGACAAAATCAAAGCACCATTTGGGAACTTTCCCTCCACATCATTAACATCTCCTTTCTGATCATAGCTGACAACATAATCTGTTACCTCGAATTCATTATTAGCTTCCACTTCTTGAGATTCTGCATTCAACAATGAGCTGTGCAAGTATACTTCCTTGCTTGGTAAAAAGTTACGATTAGGCTCCAGATCAATGGGCTCAATAGGCTCACTTCGAAGACTGCTAGCTCTGCTGCTCGGTCGACTTGGCAGCTTGTAGCTACCATTTAGCAGACTCCCAGATCTGAAATAGGGTTCCCTTAGCTTTGGCACTAGTTTGCTGCTATACCTGTCATCTAAACTCCCTGCTCGGTTTATTGCTGGCTCACTTCGACTGCTGTTTGAATAATCCACTGCCCTGGTGTGTTCTGCATAATAATGCCTTCCACTTACTGAAACTGGCAAGTGGTAAGGAGGGCTGGCAGCTTTTGCTATTGATGCTTGAACAGCTTTTGGTACTGTGTATGGAATATATGATGGGGTCATGTGTCCATAGGATGCATGGTCTTGCATGAGGAATTGATGCTCTATTGGCAGATGCCTGCCCCGCTTTCTCAGTCGAACAATAACACAGGATATCAAGCATGTCAGCAATGCAACCATAAGCAAAATGCTTAATGTTGTTAAAAGCACAAAAAGCCAATCTGGAAAGAAATTATAACATTTATTGTATTGTGTCAATCATCTTTATGATTCTGTTGCTTAAATTCAACTGAGGAAACCAGGTCTGTTGGAAAAATTGAAATCAGTGAGATTGTCATTTGGGGAGGGTAAGGTACAGGTGGCAACTTGCATTAACCTGTCAGAAAATCATTGCGTTTTGCCAGAGGAACCACAAATCACATCTCAAGCAAATTCCTTGAGCTACTTAAAAAGTTCTGTTTTTCTTGAGATCATAGACATTTTCTTTGACAGAGACCACACCCTACTTGCCCAAATAGAAAGGGGGTTCGTTCGCAGAAAAAGTCCCTGGGAATTTCCGAGGGGCAATTCACTCTTTCGATTATACCTAAAACAAAAGGATTTCCAGGGATTTTAAGATAAAACAATAGGATTTTCACGAAAAGTTTACGAGATTTTCTTGGAGTGATTTGCCCCTCGGGAATTTCATCGTGTAAAAAGATGAAGGATCTTTTGACTGCAAGATAAAAACATGATATGGGTTGAAGCATTTCATGGTCTGCAAAAACTAAAGAATATAGGTACGGTATTTCATAAAGTTTGATCGAGTAAAGGTAATTAATTCAACATCACAAGAAAACAATTTAATTCAAACATTCCGAAACATCCGACAGGTCCTTATTGATATTAAAAAGGATAAAAATAATTGTACAACCAGAGAGATCTATATTTGTTCACAGAATGGAGACTTGATGAATTCACTGCATTCTCGTTCAGTGCACTTCGCTTCGCTAGTAGATCGTTATCATAAACTTGTTATCCAATATGCGTAGTTTCCCGTCTAAACTCGCTACAGTTGACTGCTCACTTACCAGGTACTTGCAGCATGCTTCCTGTCGCTTCAATAAACCTTTCCCTATTCACAAAACATATTTGCTTGGTAAGCTCTTATTTCTCGGCGGTTGCTCGGGGGGAGTTGGCCACGTTAATTCAAAAACCAGGCATTTTTCTTCCTTGTCCTGATCCAGAATCGCAGCATCACCAGACCATCATACCCCATACTCGATAGCACATTAAATAATCGGAGCCATGTACCGTGTCCTTCGCAAAAATTATAATCTTTGGAATTTGATTAAACAATCTTTTATAACCGAAAAGAAACAGAAGTCGATTTCTATTCTTTTCCATTATGGTTTATTATGATAAGCATATTGTCATGTCGATTAGAAAAGAACAAAGGCGAATTCAATTCCCATCGGCCATCATTTCTGTTTGGGCTTGTTACCATGGACTTGTCCGGATTTCTTTCTCTGTGGGGGGCGTGGCATTGTTGAGGCTGAGTCGCTACTTAGATTGTTTTCTTGAACAAGAACAAAATGACGTCCAAGAGCAACATAACTCTATTTTTCATGAACAATTTGCATGCAAAGACCTCCCAAATAACAGAAACGCTCCAAAGACCCCTTTTTATTTACAAGTTCTCAACAAAATTGCAAACCACTTTTGAGACAACATAAAAAAGCTACACAATAAAAAAAACCTTAGTTTATTCCCTCTCTATGGTTTATTCTCTGTTCCTGACATAAAACGAAACACCTACGCAATATGCAGAGATCAGCTGAAAAAACTTCCGCATTGCACAATAAGAGCTTGTTTCTGATCATTTTGTTCAAGATCAGTTCAAGGTTCAAGCAGAGTTATTTGATAAGAACAATTGTATGGTAGTCGTTTTTCAAGGATGACAGCAGATCAGCATAGGAAAAATGGATTTGAAAGGAAATATTTCTATACGGAGGTTCATATTATTTGCAAGGATTCTCAATGCATTTCGATCTTAGCAGTTTACAAGTAAACACATCAAAAATGCCCTTGTTAATAGACGATGAAGACTCCTAAAAGCACTTACTGTTATTTGCACTCAGAATCTATGCTGTTTTTTTTCTAGAAAAATATTCTAGAATATGCTGTTTTCTTTCTAGAGTTCTCCAAAAGCTGCCCGAGGTAGCTGATCATTCTCTTATAAATTTGAGGGGGAAGGCTCCACGAAATTCGCTCCATAGTACGTATACCCGCCTTGCAACAAGTAGGGCTTCGGCGGGTGCTTTGCACCAAGTGGGAATCAACGATAACTTACTGACGTTATATTCTAACTGCTCGTTGATCCTTGCATTTTTTGAAAGAATGATATATTCCTCGGCTGAACCTTAATTGGAAGAAAGAATACTTAAAAGATAACTCTCAGAAGTGGGATTATCACAAAGGGAGACTATTAGACTATTAGATTGAGACTATTAGACAAGTGGCTTGAGTGGGACTATTAGACAAGGGGCTTGAGAAGTACGATGCGAGAGTTATCTGCCTATTGCCATCTGTATACATGTGTATCTGCTCATTTACCAAAACGAATTTTCCTTTCTGCCATTCCTTAAGCATTATACCTTGTTTTCTCTTTTGAATAATATTTTCAGAGATCATCCATATTTTATTGATAACAAGGGACAAAAATTCAACCTTTTAGAATTGCAAAAAGCATTGCATAAATCTCAGCACAATCACAGGTATATGCAATGCATCTATTGTTGCAACTCAAATAACCTGGTTGTGGTTAATAATTTCTATTTAGCAAACCTTGCTGTTTCAGCCTGAAACCAAATTCTCTCTCTGACACCGACCTCTCTTGACAAACATGCGAAAATCTACAGCCGGCTCCCAATATTGGCAAAAAGTTTTGTTTACATTGTTTTCATAGTTTCAAATAAATCACCTTACTTGAAGGGGAAACGATGCAAAGTGTTTAAGGTGAACCAAAGAACTATAAAAGGAGCAGAACAATGCAAAGGTATTGAAAGAAACATTAACTCGGTAATACAAGGAATTGGTAAAATCCATACAAAACAACCGATTTTGTCAAGGCACCATAAATATATAGGTTTAAGGAGAAAGAAAGCTGGTCCTGTCTTTCAGATACCGGTTGTACCAGGGATACAATAGGATTTGAACTTTTGGGGTTTAAAGATAGGAGTTCCCTACAAAATCCTACAAAGTGCCAAAAATTTCTGGAAACCCCCTACCTCTACCTAGCCACTGCATCCACCCTTATCATCATGTTTATACAGAAGAAACAATGAATATTGGATTGCAGAAGGGACAATATTTGAAGATACTGAAACATGATTGCCAAAACGAATGTATATTGTAGTCATATTTAGAAATATCTCAAATATACACTAGCATTTTACAAAAATCTGAAATATTTAACTGATTGAATTCTTTAAAGTTACTGACGATAGACATTTAATGATTCTTTTACAAATGGAGAACGTTTAAAGTTTCTGAGAAATTAGGCAAGCAACTGAGGAGGGTAATCAGCAATGAATTACAAAACGTCGTTTACAAAAAGAGGGTTAGAAGACAACAGAGAGATTAGAATAGGGCTTGATGGGACAACACGAACAGGAATGTCCCATGTCATTGTCTCAACTTTGACGTCTTTTGGTATTTTGTGCAACACGCCCGTTTTAGGTCCATTTGTAATAATTTTATCTAATTCTGTCCTGTTAGGAGTTTTACCTATCTCTGTTGATTCACCACTACCAGAGTCGTTTTGACACGATGTGGTAACTTCGCAATGCAAGCGCCACCGAACAGAAACTGAAAGAAACAAAGATAATTTGAAAGTAAATTTTAAGCTACAGCCTACAGCTGCCCTGATCTAAACATACCATACACATATATGCCTTTTCTGCGTTTACCTAGATCTAATTTGCAAGAAGTCGTATATTGAATCAGTATATTGAATTCCAGCACAAACCCAGGTTTGCCAAAATAAAGGTTCTAGTGGCAGATGTAAACAGGAAGGATAGTTAGGCATGCAAGACCTATTTTCTAAGGCAACAGCCTCCACTTTGCTTTGAAAGCGTTTCTTGTAGTAACATAGCTGAATACCTTGTCTCAGCTATCGAAGCTCGTTTTTCACTTCGGGCCAAGTCTGGTATTTGAACACCATCATACAGCGGCGACAACAGCAATACATTTGAACAACGGAAATTACCATAAAATTGCAAGGAACATATGTTAATTAACACTTACCCACTTTAGACGTGAATTCAGGTGTCGCTGTGATGGGGATTGGTAAACAGAAACTTGTTTGTCGACAGTTCAAGCAGCATTCTTCATATCTACTGTAAGTAGTGTGAACTGTTTTCTGCTTGCTACCCGGTTTTCTAAATTTCTCTAAGACTTCTTCCTCTGATTGTAATGATACTTTATACTAAAAGAAAAATGAAATAAAAGTTGTTAGTTTTGTGAAAACAGCTGCATGAAAAATTTAAAGATAATCATAGAAAGCAATAATTAACAACACGGAAGACAGCGCTATATAAACATATCAGAATGGAAAAGGGGAGAAACCTTTAGGAAGTATATCAATTTAGGTTCCAGGAAAGCAGCAATAATTGATTGTGGAAATTTCAGAAAATATTAATGATAAATTTTTCCGTTATTCAATGCATAAATTAAAAAATTGTGACCTATACGAATTCAAAATATTCTTGAAGCACATTGACTGCATGGACTTGGCCTTATTATCAAATCTCTCATATTTTCAGATAAATATAACTTATCAGATATAATTACCATTAAACACCTAACAGTCGCATCTGTAAAATCAAATGACCCCTGCAAATCTTCACCAATACGATAATACAATTTTGATAAGCTAAATTTTCCTGCTGATCCTTGGCGACATGAAATATTATATACATCTGCAAAAAAAGAATACAAGTCAAATCAAGAAATAAAATGACAAAATAAAAAATGAATACAGAATAGAATTCGCAAGTAAACAAATGAGTGAGGCTGCAAAATACTCCATTAGGAAGCATGACAACAAGCCTATCTGCAATCAAGGGGCATACACACGTGACAGCAGATTAAGGTCTATTCGATAACTTCCACTTAGTTCACACTTGTGAACCAAGAGCTGAAGCAAGTGAAGTAGACATGCGCAGTTAAAATTTTTTATCATAAGCAGGTATGAAACAGATTGTGAAGTAAGCCGTTCAAACACACGAACACAAATTAATGCAGTCTGATATAAAAGTAATGTTTATCAAGATCGGCTTAAAACGAATGACATATAAACTGCAAGGAGATCTGTGATGTGAAGGAAAATTGATGAAGTTGAAGTTTTAAACACATCAGAAACGCGGACGAAATCATCTGCAAGTGAAAATGTCTGGAAAAAATGGGTGAGAGAAATATTTAAGCAATGAAAGAGAAAGGGTATATTTTATACATTGGCACTTGAAATGGCTCTAAGTGATAGAGCATGTGATCTGAAGTGAGTTGAATTATTATCTTTGTGGCCAATGATATTGTACCATGAGAAATTTAATTTATTCCAAAGCACGCACGCTACGCATGACCTTCACACTAATAAAACTGATAAGCAAGAAGAACGCCAAAGTGGAACAGATGCAGCAATGAAAGGAGATTATCAAATCTTGTCGATGTTCTTGCTTTAAGCTTTGTACTTGCTTCTGCGTGTGCTTCTGCGTGTGCTTCTGCGTGTGCTTCTACGTGTGCTTCTGTGTGTACTTCTGCATGTGCCTCTGCGTGTGTCTCTGCAGTGCTTTTGCTTCTACTTCACATGTGTGAACCAGGGTTAAAACCAAGTTGCTTTTCACGATAAAAACATCAGTAATAAAGTGACAGCTCTCTTTACAATATGTCCATATAAAATGCCACAACGTATTTTTAAGCAAAGGACTCTGCCTTTGACCCTGCTATTCTGCCTTTGAATGCTATGACCTTGAATGTAGCTGAAGAAGAATGCTACTTGAAGTTACTTTTTTAGAGCACGTGAAAACCACAAGAAGCAAAGGATGGAGAATGGAATGGAAACCATTTCACGACAGATGGCTACTGGAGTCACTTGGCAATATGAAAATAAGAAGATATAAGAATTTGTAAAGTGACATACTGTTATTTCTCTGGGAAGTCAAAAAAGTTAATCTGTCCACAACTAAGTCACTCAAAGAGTGCTCAATTTCACTCAGATCTTCAAGAAAAGGATTTCGTGATTCACGAGTATCAGCTGATTTTTTCATATCCACAAGAAGACCTTAAGGAATAAGAAAAAAAATGAAGAAAAATTACAAAATCAATCTAAGAACATAAAGCAATAATTAAAAAGTGAATAATAAAGAGCAATGGTGCCTCTACTGTAAATTATTGAACAAATGGCCTTGCTGAAAAAGTGCCCTGTCAAACAAGTGCCTAAGGATTATAGCAATTTTTATAGACACACTTGGTCAAGCTCCAAACTAAATAGGCCAAAGTGAATTTACTGACAAATGGCAGATGATATCAATTAAATTTAAAACACACAAGCTGGATCACATTAGCTAGAAACTAGGTCACCTAATCATTCATATCATAAATGAAATTTACCTAAATTCAAGAACTTAAAACTCCCTCCTCCTCAAAAACACCAGATATTTCTACTTTTTAATTTTGCAAATCTATGGGATTCTACTACAATCAAGAAGATCTATTGTGATCTGCTGCTTAAACAATGCCAAGGAAACTATAGCATTGAAAATGTAATAAATTACAAAAAAGCAAATTAATGTAACATATTTTAAATATATGATTACGTCAATGGCAGATTTCAAGCAATGTATTTCAACAAAGCATCAGATTCTGATTTTAAAACATAAAGAAAAACCACTGCATTGCATCAACAAAACTTAGAACCAAAACAATCAAGATGTTAGAAAAAGAAATAGATAATTTAGGGTTATGAACAGCAAGAAAAATGTTTTTAAGATCTAAAGATAGCAAAGCTGGATAAAAATAGTTAGTCCTTTACCTTCTGTGCTAATAACCCTTATTGGGAGCCTTATTAATTTTGTAGGCCCATTAATTGATCCAACTCCAATTGTGACTTTATAAGAAAATCTAACTGCTTGGCCTCTGTAAGATGGGGGTGCACTTGGTGGAATATCTTCTGTATAGGTAACTAAAATGTACAAGATTTGGACAGATATGTTAGCATATGAAAAAAAATCAGGGTAGGGAGCCTTTTCTAGCTGCAGACCAAATTTATGATGTTTGGTATCTGATAGGGCAAATCACAGGCCAGAATGGGATGAGCAGCATAAAAGCATGTTTATGTGCAAAGTTTTTTTCTGGTTATCATAAATTGCGTTATAAAACAGACCAGACAGACAACGATAATAAAAGACCAAGCATTTTAATTGGCTCATTAACCCTGAACATTTATGCAACTCCTTTAATTTTCAAAGATGTGACCCTACTCTTCAAAGCACTTAACACATTCAACAAATCTTGATGCTTTAGTTAGCAGAAAGTACCTGTTACACTTTGACCAACAAACATAGATTTTAACACTGATTTAACTACTAAGCTATTAAATTTAGCCACACATTTTTCCTAGGAGCTTGATTGAATGCCTAGAAAATTTAAGGTGCTCAGGTTGTCAAGCGCCTGCAATTTTGTTCCTAACAAGGCCTGCCTTTTATGTCCTTGTAAGTATTGAAAATTTGCAGGGCTCATTAGTCCTAACTAGGGAGAGTTTATGCCTTGAGTTATTGGTGGCTAGCCAATACGAAATCATTTTGATGTAGGCATTTAGAAATAAGTTCCTCTATTTAGGATTGAATATTCGACAGAATAATTGATGATACAAAGTTTTTCTTCTAGAGAAAGTTACATCTATACAAAAAATGTAAAGACATACAAAGCCTAAATATTATCTACATTTATCTCAAGGGGACTTAGGGATATATGGAGGGTCAAGTAGTTAATTTGAACAGGGAATCTGGGTTGTTCTAAGTCATAGAACACCTCTGCAGACTTTGTAAACAAGTTTGAAGATAAAAGTCTTGGTATTTGTTGTACATTTAGATCAAAAAGGTGAGCTTACATGTTTTCGTCTGTCCTCTTTGAAGTCTAAGATTACAAAGCAAGATCACTGGCTTTGTTGCAAGAAAACAATGACCTGTTTCACCTACAATACAAGGAACAATTTAAAACATTAGAGCCATGATGGCAAGAAACAATCACAAAACAACATTAACTAGTAAATAAAACATCCTTCATCTTCTATTGTGTCGGTTTCTAGGTTTTGAAGAATTTACAAATACAAAAATGTATGCTAATCATAATGCCACTTATAAAGATTAATTTACGCATGCAACAATCGCACATTTTCAAGATTTCAATGAGGATGAAAAAAGCATTCATTTGATTAAGAATGTATTTGGTTAATTTAATTCATTTTTAAAATGTATCTTATAACATTAGATTTTTGTCGCAGTTTTGCGTTATTCTTGAATTTTATCCTCATTGTTATATTTTGCTAGATTCACAGAATCCTGCGGACAGCCTGTCTGCAGGTCTTCCTTCTCACACATTCATTTGATGAACAGTAAACAAGTATAGCTGGGCTCATTCAATTGCTTGGTTGCATAAATTTTTTTTTGTGAAATGGTAGCAGCATACAAAAAGGCAAAAAAACGTTTTTGCAACTTTACAGGATGAAAGTCTTTTAGTTGAAAATAAAAGTGATATCAGAGTAATTTGTGAGAAGGAAGGACGGCAGGATAGGCTGTTGGCCAGATTCTGTGAACCTTGCAATGATTATAATATGAATATGAGGATAAAATTCTGCAACAAAGCAAAAGGGTGACAAGAATAGACCAATTCGACTTATGGCCTCATTTTGAAAAATTTTTCAAATTATTTTGTACAAGATTTTTGACCTCAGATTCGGATTGCGAGCAATGATTTTAGTATATACTTGGAAGTTTTCATTATGGTATTGCTCACAATATTGATTTTATGACGACAAAAAGATAAAAATTTTATAAGGGATTTGACGGTAATTGGCGACTGGGGGGGGGTAAAGTTTCCCCCCGAATGATTTTTTCGGTCGAATCCCTTACAAGTTTTCAAACTTCATTTCTCCATAAAATCTAAAATACAAGCACAAACAATATGAAAAATTGTATCCAGCCTAACATTATGGTGATAAAACCAAATCTGAGCTTTAAAAAGTTGTATAATTAGATTAGGAGACATTTTTAAAATGAGGCTGTGAGTCGAATTGGTCTATCTAATGTTATGAGAAAATTTTTCCAAAATAAATTAAATTAAACGAATACTATAATTTTGCCCCGGCATACAAGGCTTCATCAGAGTAAAGAAAACGAAAGAGTGAATGAATTTGAAATATTAGAAGGTGATACCAGATTGGTGGATGCTGAATGGTGTGAATGCAGCGCAGTGCAGAAAAAATGGGATGATGGAAGTGGGGGAGGGAAGGGTGGTGGGTGATGTGAGGGAATGTGGGTGTTGCTGTAGAGATTGATGTGATGGGATGATAATGATGACTGTGAATATGAATATAAAAAAAACAAAAATAGTAATAATAATAATTGTGATGGAACTGAGAATAATGAAATGTTGATGATAGTAATGATGGTGATGATGATTATAATGGTAGGGGAAATATGGTGTGGGTTGTGAGGACGGTGTGATAAGTGATTAGTTGTGTTGTAAAGTTAACGGTCTGTGGTTCTGTAAAAAAGCCTTTACCGTTTTGCTTTGTTTCTGAATTTTATCCTCATATCAGAGTAATACCTTTATAACCACCCCTGGTAGCTAGGGTTTGCTTTCCAAACTAATATACAGCATCGGCAGATGCAAGCATAATCAGTGTACTGCTGACATTCCAAATTTGCAGGAAAAACTTACAGCTGCACTGTGAATATTGAAAACTTTGGTTCGCATGTCAAAGGGTAAGTAAAGATTTACACTTTGAAAATGTGCCAGAAAATAGTTTGCATGTGCAATACCTGGTTGAGAACTGCTAGATGTTACAGATCAATAATTCTAAAACAGCCTAAATTTGTTTCCTATTTCATTTAGAAAAGCTAGATCACTCATAACCAGGGCTTTTTTAGTTGTTCTTTAAAAATGTTTCATTTGAATCCATTTCATTTCAGTCAGTAACCAATACTTACCACTGGTAGGCACAAAACTGGTGATCATCTCTGATGGCAGCTGATGGTGATCTTTGATATTATTCAATGAAAGAACTCTAGATTCATTTATGTGACACTGACAATAGATCTGTGCACTTGCCCAAGCAACATTTATCTCATCTTTCTCGAGTGCTACATGATTATGCTCCACTCTCTCTAAAATGTTTGTACTAGGTGTAGGCAACCCTCCTTTAGAATATGGCTCTGTCGCAGATAACGTTGGGTAAGTTAAAGATACCTGACACTGTACAGTTTCACCTGTAAAAAATACAGATCGTTGCAAAACCTTCGCTTCCACGATTACTGACATTCCCGAGGTTTCCTTAGGCCGAACTGATTCCGGGCACTTTGAAAATACAAGACAAAGTCAAAATCGCAGCAACACGAGGTTCTTGAGTTCTTCTTTGGCAATTCGATCGTCTCTTACATGTTATATTATGACAGATAACACTCTGCACTTGTCAGTGTCATGAAACCTGATCCATCTAGATAAATTTATACCCTGAGGCAACAAAACAGTTCAGATTTATGACGTTAATTTGACGACGGCAAGTGAAATCAACAGTGATTTTCTAACTGGAAATAATCATTGGTTGTGCCACAATGTATTCAAAATAAACCGCTCCTTTTTATTTGTGCTAACATGTATTATTCCACTTTGACCTCTCTAGGTCACAGAAGTTTGGCTGCCATGTTTTCTTGAAATACTCTGTATGAGATTGTCGAGCCCAGACCCCTTGTTATCATGTAGTATTTGGCAAAAATTGAGTGTTTGTGACTGTTTAAAAATAAAATATTGAGATATAAATCTCAGCCTAAAATATTTTGATAAATAAGATAGTATCTTATCTTGAAACGTATTTTAAGCACGACGCTTGTAAAATATTTTGACCCAAACTTTCGCTGTTTTACATAAACAATACAAGGCAGAAACTCATCAATTATCATATATACAAGGCAGAAACGCGTACTTGAAAACAAGAGCAATTGAAAGTACTGACAATAAAAGACTTCAATATGTGGATATAAACAATTTTTAACAATTATTCTACTAAAATTCATAAAATATACAAATCGTGTTTAAAAATTGCATGATAAGAACTGCAAGTTACAAAATAACAAGTTTTGAGTTAAACAGAAGACTTGGTAAATTCACCCAAATACAGAGAAAAGATTTAAAATGTAATAACTGAGTGATGTGGGGCAAAGATTCACTTTTCGCTTTGAAGATGAATTATGCCGTCGTGTAATAAACTGGCAATTTCAAGGTAAATAGTTTGTTTAGCAAAAGGAGCGCAGAGAAGCAAAATGATCGGTAAGGATGTGAAAATTAAAAGTAACGAGATCGTTCAATTGCGGTTAAAAATAGTCGATGGTAACGGCTTGTAAAAATCTCAGAATTTAACTTCTAAAGTTTTCATTCAACTGACGGATTCTGTCCCGATGAATTGTCTCCTGTACCAGAGACGCACCTTCAATGCTTGTCTTGGGATTTGCTCTCCAGGTGGCGAATACATGACACATGAGGCCAGCCAGCAATATACCGATGCGCTGTGTCTTCCAAGTATATTCAATATACCTATTGACCTCCTTGCAGAATACCAAATCTAATCAATACAATCTATATAGATGCATGAAGCACCGTGCTACTGCTGTGCTACCTATCCTTTCCTGCAATGGCTTCTCTTATTTGCCTGTCTAATTCCGCTATTATTTTATCGTCCGTCGAATAAACACCAGTTCGCAGCAGCGTGTCTCTTTCTTCTATTAGTTTTGCGATTCTGCTCTCTGTAAAAGAGTCACTTTTATATTCACCAGATATTTGTGCTGATGACGTATTAGGAATGTTCGATGAAGGTTGAGACAAAGGTTGTTGTGGTTGCTGTGTTGCAGAGACTTGGCTTGTCATTTGTGACTCTCGAAGTCTATTAAAAATAAAATTGATAAAAGGTAAAAAATACAAACATTAAAAGCCAGCATTTGTTTTTCAAAACAAAAACACAAAAATTAATAAGGCCAGATATTAAAATGCTTTATCACAATATCAAAGGGCTTTTGCCAATAATTGTCATTTTTGCAGTTTGATTAAAATTGCACTCTCGATAAGTTTATCTTCCCCTCAGGAGCCAATATCATATTCCTTTACAACATAATTCTCATTGTCAAACACTTCCAAGTTTTTTGAAAGACTGTAGCACAATTCAAGAATTTAAAAGAAAAATAAAACAGTGGAATTGTGATTCATGCACCTGCAGATTGTGTAAAGTTTTTATCAAAGATTTAGGGTTTTTAGATTAATTAATTTTGTCATTTCTGGGTATTGTTTTTCTTTGTAAATTATTATGAATTTTCTTTTAGTTCTATTTGGCCTTAATTAGCTGTTATTTTAGCTATTTGAATTATAAAGCCAACTTAAGATAAATCGATAATAATGATAATAATAATAACGAGCACAATCCCACAATGCCCTGTGATGGCAATAAAAGCATTGCATGGAAAACGTCAACAGCTTTTTGTAGAGAATAAAACAAGGTCAAAAACAGTTGAAAATTTAAAAAAATAACTTCAACAATTACTCAGTCATGGGAACAAATAAAACAAATGTATCAGCCTAATACATAAATTTTGCCTCCAAAACTAAATTAAATTTCTCAGCTAAAACAAATATTGACAAAAGAAACAGCTGTTCGGTTGGTAGATTAACAAAACAAAAAAACCGCAAGACTAAAGATTTTTCCTTCTCGTTAATGAACTTGCTGCATGTAAGGTCACTTACATAGAAAATGTTTTATTGATCTCCAAAATAATCAAAATGATACAATTCAGAAAACATGGCAGCATTTTTGCGTAGCCAGTTTCAACAATAATCTAAGTTTAAGGCATACAAATATTTTGGTCTTAAGAAAACGCACTCTGTTTCAAACATAGCTGGTATCGTATGAACGATTTGCGGTGTTCCAAATAGACGTTCATTATAACGATATGGTTTGCTATCATAACTGTCATGATACGGTTTGCTATCAAAAATGTCATTATACGGTTTGCTATCATAACTGTCATGATATGGTTTGCTATCATAACTGTCATGATACGGTTTGCTATCATAACTGTCATGATATGGTTTGCTATCATAACTGTCATGATATGGTTTGCTATCATAACTGTCATGATACGGTTTGCTATCATAACTGTCATGATATGGTTTGCTATCATAACTGTCATGATATGGTTTGCTATCATAACTGTCATGATACGGTTTGCTATCATAACTGTCATGATATGGTTTGCTATCATAAATGTCATTATACGGTTTGCTATCATAACTGTCATGATACGGTTTGCTATTGTAATAAACCAAATATTGAGACGTAAAATGACTTCAAAATATATTTATCTTCATCATAATCGTACATACAAAAAAACTGACTTACAACACGTGCTAACTGGAATAGAGGCTAGATATGATTTATGCACATATTTTAATACTATTGTCCACAGGGGATAACACTATCCCCCTCCCCATCTCTCTTCCTATGTTAGTGAATGTGAACGAGTTCTGTTTGGTAGTATGTTTGCAATGTCTACTCTGCACCAATTTCTGTTGATCATGTTGTTATTATCTTCTGGTTGTTCTCCGTGGTTCAAGTCCCCTGTATTCCCTCCTCCTCTTGCACCCTCAACGTGTACTCTATCATCAATGAGATTTGTTGTCTTGGTATTGGTTAGGTCAGCAAAAATATCACAGACTTTTTTCTTAGGAGGTTCCTTTGCAGGTAGGGGGTCAGTTGCTTTTTTGAGTAAGTGGATTGATCTTGGAGGTATATACTTCAGTTGATTGACATGAATAGTAGGACTGGCTTTGCCACTGGCGTCAACAAGCTTACAATTCAGATCTCCTATCAAGTGGGTGATTGTCCAAGGCCCCGACCACTTTGGTTGAAAACAACGTGATATACCCCTTTTCTGAGGTGGGTTCCATAACATGACAGTATCATTGATCTTATAATGATGTTGGGTAGTTTTCTTATCGTACTGTTGTTTCATTCTTTCTCTGCTCTGGTTGAGGATACTGCGAACATTTGTAAAGGAGTTTTTAAGGCACGTACCGATGTCATTGGCAAAAGCTTGAGCCTGTTTCACATGGTGTGGAGCAGACTGTTGAATCTGTTGCTGTGGTGATTTATTAAACAGCAACGCAGTTGGTAAAGAAAGTTTAGCACCAAGAATAAGTTCAGCAGGTGTAACTTTAGTGCTATTATTAACACTTGAACGAATAGCGTAGACAGCTGATTGCAAGAACGTGTCCCAGTTACGGCCATGTTGATCAATTTGTTTCTGCACACAGGACTTAACTAGTTTTACCATTGCCTCAGAAAGGCCATCACCTTGTGGGTGGAGACGCGAAGACTTGGATTTACCGATACCCAAGATTTTAGCGACTTCCCGCATAACATTGCCATGAACATTTGAGGCACCATCACTGTGCAAACGTTGCATAATCCCATACCGACAGATCCATTGGTCGTGAATCGCTCTAGCAATAGTAGGTGCCGATATCTCTTTGAGGGGAACAACTTCAGGCCATTTTGTAAAGTGGTCGACCAGGATAAGAGCATACTTGAAACCATCTTGAGATGCAGGCAGAAAAGGTCCGGCTAGATCGTAGCAAACAAGTTCGAATCGTTCAGTAGACTGTATTGGCTGTAACTGATCTTTGTGGTATCCTTGAGGGGGTGGATTAAAAGAAGCACAAATCTTGCAACTTTTCACCCAGTTGATCACATCCTGTTTGGCATTGGGCCAGAAATAGTGTTCACAAAGGCGAGACCAAGTTCTGTCAACAGCAAAATGACCAGAGGATGGGTGGTCATGGCAAAGTTTCAGGACGGTTCCACGTAAATCGTCAGGTACTACAGTGCAGTTGTGCCACTGCAAAATGCCATCCTCAGATACAAAAAGTTTATTGCGATATGGTTTTAAGGAACCTAGACGGCAGACATCAAAGTTTCGTTTATCAGAAGACATGTATTCGATTGCTGCTTGGATTTGTTGATCTTTTGTTTGGAAATCTCTGATTGCAGCCACTGTAATATTAGGTTGTAATTCTTCCAGTGAGTTGACACTGTGCATGCGACTGAGACAGTCGCTTATGGCGTTGTTCTTGGATGGAATGTGTTCTATTTTATAATTGAACTCTGAAAGTTGCAAAGCCCAATTCAGCAATTTTCTACTCTTAGGGTTGCGTTTGGATTGCAGGAATGAAGTTACGCGATTATCAGTACGCAAGAGAAAGGGTTTACCAAGAAGGTAGTGACGAAATTTTTCGGTAGCAAAAATTATAGCATGCGCCTCTTTCTCTACAATGTTCCACCTTGATTCAGTTTCATTGAACTTTCTGCTGGCGTAGGCGACGATGTATGTTTTGCCATCGCTTGTGTTATGGGCTTTAAGACATGCACCTTCACCTCTGTCTGATGCATCGACTTCTAGGATGAAAGAGTCTGTACTTGTAGGAGCTCGTAAAACTGGTGCGGAAGAGAGAAGCTGCTTTAGTGCTTCAAAGGCTGCTTGAGCTTCAGGTGTCCAGACAAACGTTGAAGTCGGTTTTGCAAGTTCGTGTAGAGGAGCAGCAACAACAGAGAAGTGGGGAACAAATCGATCACAAAATTGTGCCATGCCTAAAAATTCCTTCAAGGATTTGGCATTGGATGGCACTGGAAAATCGGTGATGGACTGAATGCGAGCTGGGTCAAGGCGAATGTGTCCCTTGTCAATGAAATGGCCTAAATACGGCAAACTTGTCTGGAAAAATTTGCATTTCAAGGCGTTCAAAGTGAGACCAGACTGTCGAATTCTTGCTAAAACTCTGCGAACATTGGAGAGATGATCTGTGAAATTTAATCCTTTAATAACCACATCATCGTAGAAGGGTGGTAGAATACAGTCGCTTAAATCAGAAAATGTTTGTTCCATGGTTCGTTGGAACAAAGAAGAGGCCGGTTTGATACCTTGAGGCATAACGTTCCAGGTCCATTGACCAAAACCGTAACCAGGAGAAAAGGCAATGATCGGTTTGATTCTATCAGCACACGGAATTTGGTGGTAGCCACTGTTGAAGTCGATTGAGCTGACATATTGAGAGCCGCGAACAGAGTCAAGACATTGTTGAAGGGATGGAGAAGGCCAACCTGAATCTTTGATGGCAGGGTTGAGAAAACGATAGTCAACTACAAGTCGAAAACGATCGGTAACATCACAGCTATTTGAAACATTCTTTTTGGCAACAAGGACTGTAGCAGCACGATAAGGTGAATCAATATGTTCAATTAGGCCATGAGCTTTATAGTGTTGTAAAAGGTCCTTGACAATGGATTGTTGATGAAGTGGCACTCTGCGTAAAGGCATTGAAATGGGTGTCGAATGAGCCAAATCAAAGTCAAATTCTGTCACGTTGGTTTTGCCAATTTTGGTGTTTGATAAAGAGAAGACATCAGAAAATTCCATCAGTAAATTCTTGGCTTGTTGAAACTGCGAGGGAGACAAGTGGGTCAACTGTGAAGTGAGAATCGTAATAGGATCGGAGGTTTGAGTAGAATTATCTGTGTCCTGAGTAGAGAGAAGATTAATTGTGTCTTTAGGAAGAACAGAGAATTCTTCAAAGTCATACGTCCCTAGAGCAACCTTGGTGCCCTTTTTTATGGTCTTTGCGACGGCAGAAGTATTAACAAGGACAGTGGGAACACATGAGTGTTGATGAGAAACCTTGTATAAGTACGGAACAACCTTTACATGCAGGCGTTCTTCAAAGGGTGCATGTCCATCAATCAGTGCAGTCGGTTCTGAAACTGGGCGGAATGCATGAAGGGAGGGCCCATTAGCAACTGTCTTAATAGTCAATGATTGTCCGGGTAGTATTGTGTACTTGTTCGGTGTTATGAAAGCAATGTTATCTTGAAGAGAAGGCTGAGAAGATACCAATACCATGGATTGATCTAGATGAAGGAGTTTCTTGGAGTTGTCAATGCCCCATTTGGTAAATTTATTTAGAAAACTCAAACCGAGAATGCAAGAATAAGGCAATGCATCAATAATCATAAATTCAACAATGTGAGATACAGCAGGATGCCCTACTACAAGAGGGGCTTTAATTACACCAAAGGGTTTCATTATTTGTCCATTTGCATCAAGCAAACCTGGGCCAGTATAACCCTGTAATGGTAGGTTTTGCAAGTAAGGACTGCCAGTGAAACATCTTTTGGCAAGACAGCATACGGTGGCACCAGAATCAAGCATCATTGGAATTTGCTGTCCATGTAATGTTCCTGTTAGCCAAAGCAAATTAGGTTCTCTCTGCAGAAAAGATTGTGATTCTTCTTTTTGGGGGGTCAATGAAGCATTGTCGGCTTTCCCAGTATGACCCTTTACTGGGGGCCCCAAAAGTTTCCCGACTGTTGAGGAAGATTAGCTTGCTGCTTGTAAGCTAGGCAATCACGTTGGATATGATTTAAGCCGTGGCAAAAATAGCACTGAATAGGTTGCCGTCCGTCTGGCCTTGCGTTTCGAGGCTGAAAATCCCTGCCAAAATTGCGTTGAAAACCATTGCGTGATTGCCGACGGTTGCTCTGCGGGGCAGAAAAAACAGGGGCACCATGCTGATGTTGAAGTTGCTGTGAGGGCCTAAACGGAAGTTGACGGTTGAGTGCATTGATTTGGTCTTGTTGTTCATCAAGCTTCCGCATTGTGAGTTGACTTTGTTGCTCAAATTTGGTGGACAAGGCAAGAATGGCGTCCAGTGTTGTATCAGATGGATTTGCAGCAGTTAAAACAGCATCAGAAGGCCCAGTGACAATAGCACCGTTGATTGTCGCAGATGGTAAGGAAAGATGAACTGATGCATCGCGGCAAGCCTTGAGCAAATCTTGATGGGTAATTTTGTCATCATACGGGTTGGTGCAAAAGATGAATATATTTCTGCGAAGTGTATCAGAAATCCCTTGTAAAAACTTGCGTTTCACCGCATGGTTTATAATGTCAGTTTTGGCTTTTGGATTGGCGGCTCTGAATAACTGTAAAAGGTGGGTCATGAATTCTTCTTCACTTTCATCGATCTTTTGAATGCAGCGTTCGAATGCAGTCATGTGAGCTTCGCGATCGGTTTCTGAATCGAAAACCGCGGTGAGTTGTTCCTTAAGCTCGCTGTATTTCTGGGGACTGCCTTTCTCATCTTCAAATTGATCCAAGATGGCTTTAGCACGGCCATCAACACAAAGCATTAGAATTTGGCCAACCACGAGGTCGTCAGATTTCTCGGCAATAACACAACATCTGTCGAAGTTACGAAGCCATTGGTGCAAATTTATGTCCCCGTCGCCGGTGAACTTCTCAAGTTTTGAAAAAATTATGTTAAAGGATGACATTGTAAAATGATGTGGGTCAAAACGCTCCTGTCACCAGTGTAATAAACCAAATATTGAGACGTAAAATGACTTCAAAATATATTTATCTTCATCATAATCGTACATACAAAAAAACTGACTTACAACACGTGCTAACTGGAATAGAGGCTAGATATGATTTATGCACATATTTTAATACTATTGTCCACAGGGGATAACACTATCATAACTGTCATGATACGGTTTGCGATCATAACTGTCATTATACGGTTTGCTATCATAAATGTCATTATACGGTTTGCTATCATAACTGTCATGATACGGTTTGCTATCATAACTGTCATGATACGGTTTGCTATCATAACTGTCATGATATGGTTTGCTATCATAACTGTCATGATATGGTTTGCGATCATAACTGTCATGATACGGTTTGCTATCATAACTGTCATGATATGGTTTGCGATCATAACTGTCATGATACGGTTTGCTATCATAACTGTCATGATATGGTTTGCGATCATAACTGTCATGATACGGTTTGCTATCATAACTGTCATGATATGGTTTGCTATCATAACTGTCATGATACGGTTTGCTACAAATAGCGGGAAAACAAACATGGTGTATACCTTTGAAGCTCCTCTTTCACGCCTGCTAGATCCCTCTTCTCAGATTTTATAATCTGCAGAAAAAACCATTCGTCAATATAACATATATTTGATTCAAATTTCGAGGCATTAAGAAGATTGCCCGGATTTCATACACTGTCTTAGCTTGATGTCTATTAGGCTATTATGCTGACTATTTGACCCCCTTTAAACAATGATAAAATTCATAAGACATAACAATGGAACATTTGACAACTCAAAGAGTTCAACGTGCATTTGTGTACAAAGAAACGAGAAGTGCCAACCTCTTTCTCCTCTGCAGCTAAGTATCTCAATCGCATGTGTTCCAGCTCTCTTTCTTGTTGCTTTAATCGCATTTTCGCTGCCATCTGCTCATTCTGCTTTATCTTGGCAAGTTCTCGCAAAGCCTTGCCCCATTGTTGCTTGTAATGAATCTTTGATTTTGTTGCTTGCTCTACTCTTCTCTCAAGCTCTGCCTATAAAGTAGAAACATATTACATACGCAGAAATAATGCCTATAAACCATCAGTACTGTGAAAAGAACAGCAAATTACTAATTGCAGTATAATTAAACCTTTTCCAGCAACATTAGGTTCAAGTCTGCCTGCAATTTTGTCTCTGGTCTGTCTATAAACTGTTCCTTTAATGACATGATCTCATGTTCCTTGTCTTTGTATCTTTTTTCAGCTGCAGTGAGTTGTTCCTTGTATCTTTGGCACTGTTCCTTGACTTCTTGCAGCTTCAATCTTTCCAGTTCTATTCTATGATCGCAGTCCTCCTTCATGCGAACCGATGCGTCTCGCAAAAATGATAGTTTCTGTTCATGTTCTCGAAGCAGATCTGATTTCAGTCGATGTACTTCCGCCTCGTTGGCGGCCACTTGCTTTTCACGGCGTTCCAAATCAGAAATGGACTAGAAATAAGAAAGAAAATATGTAACCTGTATCTACAAAAGTTTTCAAGGGTCTAAGAAATTTTTCTGTAAATGTTCAATTAGACTTCTCGTTTTAGACCCTTGGAAGGAAAGAAAAATTATATCTTTCTTTCTTCTCTCTTTTTCTCTCCTTTCAAAAGGCTTAAAGACAGACTTGAAGCATGAAACAAGCATCTAACAATGAAACAAGGCTACCTACCAGTTTCAACTTTTCCTCTAACTTGATATATTCGTCAACCTTCCTTTGGAAAATGTCTTCCCGTTCCTTCTCTCGTTTCTTCCATTCTCCAGCCAGGGTCTGCATGAGTTTTGCTTCCTTCTCTTGCAGCTAAAACAAACGATTAAATTTGAAGTACCGTTTAATTTGAGTGATACCAATGCAACAAAGTAATGGAATAATTAAACGTCAATCAACATCAATGGATTATGGCTAAAAATATTTGAAGTCTACGAATTAAACAGTGCGATCAGAATGGAAGCAATCTTTGTGTTGATCAGAATGACCCAAAAGTTGTTAATATCTTCAGAGTCAATAATACCTCATACTTGATCATAAACTAAAGGCTTCTTAAACTTTATTTTAAATATCCATATCAATGAAATTGGGAATGCAAATAGTACGTCTTGTCTTTCCAGGAACCCCTTTTGTTTTTTCCAGCCTTATTCGTCCTTTTGTTCACTTTCCCCGACTTCTCTATCAAATTTTTACATTTTTTCCAATCATTTACAACGTTCCTTACTATCAAGCTACAGAAGAATTGCATAATCCTAATAGCAATACTAGACACTCTAACTTTTACCAAAACGCACCCGACCCCAGTGTTATCTAAGCTCAAATACATAATATTATTAAAGTCATTACAAAAGACTGACATAATTTTAACTTACGTAATTCCTTTCTTAGAAAAAATAAACAACAAGTCACTGATTGCAAATTTTGAAACAATGAACAATTTAAAATTGTACCAATGATCTAAACAAATCTTCCTGCTGCTCCTTCCATAGTTCCAATTCAATGGCAGCTTTGTATTCCGGCAAATCACGAGGTTTTCCTTCTTCAGATTCAGGCTGATGTTGTTTTTGTTGTTGTGGTACAGAGCGGTGTGAGGCAGGTCGCGGTTGGTCGCTGATTTCAGACATTTCAGAAATGGTATTTTCAGATAAAGAAGCACTGATGAGAGACTGCAATCAAAGAATAATTATCATAAGCCTCGCAGGGCTCAAAAGGACAAGTGAAATTCACCATGCTAGACCTTAAAGACAGCTTGAACCTACACAATTCACAATTAATTGGACTTGATTGCGTTAATGGCAACGGTGCTTTTTGAGAAAACAGTGGTAGGTGGATTGTTCTAGAGTCAATTGCCACGAAGTTAGTTAAGCTAAAACTTTTATATATTTTTCTAACAATTCACTAATATGTTTCATGAATGATTCAGTACTCAAGTGAACAGTTTATTCTTGCAATTAGCTACATAAAAAATGAATGGATGCTTTGCAGAAAGTATACAAGACATACAGAAAACAAACAATATATTACCCTTGTTCTCTACTAAATAAGATTTACTTTCTTGCTATATTAGAAAAAGTCATCTAGATGAATGTAGACCAAACGCAAAATTTGCAACGGGCAGGCAAGCTCAGACAGTGGCAACAAAGCGTAAATGGAAAATTTTTAAAAATGATAGATGGATGAACTTCATACTTGTGTAGTGCCAATTTCTGCGTGGGTCTGCTGCGTTTTCATTGGTCCAAAATCTTCTAGACCAAGAACGACATGAAGTAGTCCAACCTTTCTTCGAAAACTACATTGAAAATAATCTCATTCAGGAACCCTAACTTTAACATGCATTTGACTATGCGTTTGACAATGTATTCGACAATGTACTTGACTACGTAATTCATATCAAAATTTGTATGCTCAAAAGCATATGTCAAGAAGAGGACAACGCAAGAGGGAAAAAGAATAATGTTAAAGGAGGCCTATTCAAAATTCTGATATGATGGCTACGATATTCATAACACCTCAGCCGTTCATCGTAATGAGAGTACAAAAATTCAGATATATCTAGAATAACAAACACAGAGGGGATACAAATAAAAAAAATTTGAAAAAAATATGGAAACATCTTTTAAAAAAATTTACCTGTCTGGTGTTACAATATTTGCAACCTGGCTACATATTTGTCGATAGTTGTTTCCCTGCGAAGCAAACAAAATTCAATATACCTTATACAAATGAGAAGACACTAAGGATTTATTAAAGATATTCGCACTTCTTAATAATTTGTTCATCATGGGCCCACATCTTCTAGGTTTAACCAATCTTTAGATTATCAATACGTTAATCTGTGAATACTAACATCTGTGAAATATTTAGGCTTCAAAAAACTTGATAACTTTTCAATAAACTTGTACTCACAATTAGCATCTGCTTTCTCTTGAAAAAGCTCAAATAAAAGAGATTTATAACTAGGACATCTGCTTTACTAAACAAAACAAGAAAAGCGAAATATTGGATACCTGTGTGCTGACTTTATCGGCAGTGAAAACGGAAGAGAGGTCAATCTGACAGACACCAAGCAAGGCGTCTTTGCGAGTTGGATCTCGATGCCATACTTCAACGATGAGGGGAATCCTGTGAGCAGTGTCAGAACAAACGATGAGAATTATTACGTTTAACAAAAAGGAGTATTTCAGGCAAGGGGCGTGAAATTGTATAGAACTGAGGAAAAATTAGTACGTTAAACAAATGAAAAAAGAGCATATATTTACTTACGCATATGTGTAGGAAAAGAGCTGTTTGCATTGAAAACAGTGCAATAGCCTTATAGATGTAAAATCACATTTTGCTTGTAAAATAATAAAATCTCAAATGGTTGTGAATGGATTAAGAGATAACAAATTTGTTTTCAACACATTTAGTACCTACCTTGTGAGAGTCTGCCCTAAGAGTTGGACATTCGTAGCAAAATCAAATGCACAGAAAGACTTGGGAAGCAAGACCTCAGTGTTCTTACGGACATCGACTGATGGGCTAGTAAGCACAGGCGAAGAGCTGCCGAAAAATGGGTAGGTGTATCTAAAAAGGCAAGGAAAAATATTGATATTAGTAAAAGTAGCAAAAGGTCGGCAAATGGCTCTTCCTACTTCGACAGACAATGACAGAAAAGGACAGAAAGGGCGAGTATAGAGAGATCATATTAAACCTTAAGGCCTTTTTAGGCCTATAACATGTTTTCATGGACCAATTAAATCTTGAATCTTAACTTGCAAGACTGCCATTCAAGACAAGAGATCTAATTATTTTCAACATGCATCAGTGTAGGATCAGGTAATTGGAATATCAGAAGAAGCAATAGACGAGAACTTGCCTTCACTGAGAAAATTATGAAAAATAGCCACTATAATAGAAAGGTCATGTTAATATAAGTCGATTACCGACAAAAGCAATTAACAGGGCGCTCGACATCAAGGTTTTTTATACTGCGCAGATCAATAGAGAAGCAGTAATGATTCGACTTTTCGTTGACTTTTAACTTCGCACCCGCCTCTTTTGTCGAAGGTCTTTGTCTGTCTGACTTTCGAGTCTGGTCTTCTTCTTGGGGGCTTTCGTTAGAGGGACCATCAGCAAATCTTAGTGGACGCTTGGTTTTCTTGCCTGCTCTATCTCCTGTCTGTTCACGTGCATTTTCTGTGATGATGTAATCTGCATCTTTGCCTGGTGTGCTTCTGGCTTTTATGTCATCCTTTTTAGGTGGACTTAGAGGGTGCTACAAAGGAAGCGGCGGTTGAAAATATAATGAAAGTAAATGGTCCAGAAGAAGAATTTATAGTAATAATTTAGAAATGAAACTTTCAGTCGTACAAAATCAAAGATGTGAAATGTGATAACGTGATATCACCACAACGCTAAATTAAGTGATGCTGAAGTTCCTATAGCCGCAATGAAGTTAGGTTGTTGATGTGAATCTTGGATATAGTTAACACATTATTGTAAAGTTTTTATCTTGTAAAAAAGGCTCGCAATATATAAATTACCCTGGGTTCCAGAGCGTCAGTGTCGAGGAAATAGGGTGTTAGACGCCTCACTTGCTACACCTGACGGTCTGGAACCCAGGGTACATATAAATATACAAATATACGAAGTATTGGGTCGCTAGTTGGAAAAAACGCAAAACTTGGATATTTTTGTTACCTAAAAGAACCACTACATTGGGCTAGATATTATTTCTGAATATAAGGCAGATCTGGGTTACAATAGAGAAATTAATATTTTCCAATGAACCTCTGGCAGGAAAGATGGATCTTCTTGAGCCATTTTAGGTCTTTGTTGGATTGGGACTCCACCTGCGTTCTGTTCAGCTTCAACCCGCAATACAATGGAAATTCCCACAAGTGCTGCCATCTGTGCCGTTGAATCAGTAGCAGGACTTGAGCTCGGACTAGACAAGGCGAAGAATCCCTCAATCTTCGACGGGTTGTCCTTCGTCAAGCCATCGGTCACGACTGGCAGTACTGACACTGTCGTTGACCCCAGGGAACTCTTACCGCAGCAAAAATGAAACTTGAGAGGAATGAAGACTGTTAATGTCTGTTATGGTTTAAAGGGATCACACGAAAGAGCATTGTAAAATCTATTTATAAACACGAAATAGGTTGTTTCCCTAAATGTTTGTTTCATAAAGACAGTAGTGCTATATGGATCAAATATATGAATACAAATAAATAAACAATGAAACACTCTCTAAACATTATATGAACAGTTGAAAACAACAAACACTGCCTCAATGCACTTGAGCATAAAACTGCCTCAATGCACTTCGGATTTTAAATCATGGCAAAAGACCATCAAAACCATTTGGAAAATATCATAGAACACTATCATAAAGTCCAATGCTAAAAACACAAAAGGTTAACGCTAACGAGTGATGACAACACAAGTCTTACGTATTCTATACCTCAATAGATGAATCACGAGAGAGAAGTTTTTTGAGCGTCAAAAAATTGGAAAATAATCGCACTGACGCCCTTTCTGCAGCGAAATTTGCATTAATGACGTCATGAAATGGTTCGCTTGTAACTTCGTTACCGAGCAGCTTGTAAAAGAAATAGAAACCATCTTGTTGATTTAACTGCCGATCTGACGGAATAACCTGAAATAAGAGAGTTGGTAATGATTGAGAGATATCTAATTTTTCAAACTTGTACTAGAACTCATAAGGTAAATTGAAAATTGGCGAATAGCGGTAAGGTGCGAGCCTGTATATACGTATTGCGTAGAGGCGTTAAATTGCTACAAATCAAGAACCAGAGATAGAAAGATTTCGTCACATCAAGAGGAAAGCAATGTAATGCTCGAGGAGTGTAGTTCTACAATGGCCTAGGTCAGCCTTAAGTTGCAAGAAAGAAACAGACAAAGAAACAAGTTAAGCAACTCAACGGCAGGCACTGCTGGCAAGTAAAAAACGATTACTAAAACATTGACATACATCCATGCTTCAAACGCATACATACATCCAAGACAAATGCAAATATACAGAAACCACTTTCTTAACAAAAATAAAACATTCATAGCCTAGGGCATATAACCCACTGCAACACCAGAGCCTAAAAACAGACAATCATGCATTCAACAACCAACACAACAGCATGGCCAATGAAAAGAAAATAATTAAGTCTCACGCCTAAATGCTACGCTGTTTTCATTGATTTGTGAAGAAGGCTTTAAATGCATTAGGGCATTATCCAATGGAAAGATCGAGACTATTTTAGACTCTGCACTATACAGAGCCTAAAATACAGATTGTTCATATTCTTGATGAAGAAAGAAAATATATCTAGCTGTTATGGTTTGCAAATTAAACAAAAAAAAGACAAAAAAAAGAAGATGTTTTTGTACCTTTGTCAAGTTTTTAGCAGCAGCAATCGTCACTGACAAGCAAAATATATCGGTTGCTTTCTCTCTTTTGCCAATCAAATAGTATCCCTTCTCTTCATCAAGGACTGGTTGTAGTTCATCTTCAGTTTCTTCAGATGACTTTTGCTTCACAGCTACAAAAGATGTAAATTAGAGTATGAGATTGAAAATCAAAATACAAAATGAATAATGAAAACACTCAATTAGTTTACCTACTGAGAGAGCTCCTCCCTTAAGTAATTCCCTGCATGAAGATTAATTTTATTCCTTTGTTCTGTATTTGCACATTGTGATAATTCTTCATTTTACTGTAATAATTTACTGTGATAATGCCTTAGGTAGTTGTAGTTTAATTGTTTCTTTGTGTAGTTAAATTCTACTAAATTGTATGTTTTGGATTTTAAAAGATCATACTGAAACTGAAAGTATTAATTTGTAAAACAGTAAGAAGGATAGTGCTGTTAAAGATGGTTGGAATAAAGAGTATCCCAATCACAACATATTACTTGTGAAAAAAAAATTGCCAATCAAGAAAAAAAGGAGATTGCTAAGAAAGGTTTTCTACCCTCGGGTGAACCAGTCTTTGTGTTTTCATCTTCTAAACTGACAACCACCTTTATTTCTGGCTTCATTCCATGATATTTTGAATTAAGCAAAGCAAACCAAGTTGGTTTCTGAAATAGAATAATGTTGAAGTTACAGGTGCACACAAATTGTTAGTTAGTGCTTCAAGATAAGTGGCACCTGTTAAAACCTATAGCTTGCCCTAGATGAAAACATTGAATAATTTTTTACAGATTCCAGAAAATATGAACACTGAATATCAATGCAATACTTTAGTCAAGACATGAAGAAACAGATAAAACAGCAGTTGAAATAAACAAATCAAATCTATCAGCCCCATCCTTCTTTAGCACGTGAGCATAATCATAAGACTATCATAAATAAAATACAAAATATTGAACATTACAATTTCATACCTGAGGTGAGCCACTGAGCTGAGCACTTCGTATGTCAAGAATACAATAACCTATTGGTTCTTTTCGTTTTTCATTTGCATCAATTGCATAGCACTAAAATACAAAAAAAATTCTTAAAAAATTCTTATCAAGGGAATTTCTTCCAAGCATGGCCACCTAATTCAGAAAAACTTTTATGGGAGCACTCATTACAAAGGTTGCCTGAAAGAGGTAGGCACTTTTTCCTACCTTATGCTTAGGATTATAAATGCCACAAATTTCCTTTTCACAATTGATTGAAATAAATAGATAAATTTTTACACTCCCAAAGTGTGTTGTTTATTTGCTCTATGTTTTCTGATATAAATGGCCCCTTTCAAAAAACTAATAAATGAATTTATGCTGGACCACTATTCATAATAATTTGTTCAAATTGTTAAGTATTATCCAGGTTCTATGATTATATAAATACATACACACAAAATAGCTTTCACAGGAAAATTTTTAAACATGTAATTAAGACAACAACTCTAACAAACAGAATTTTTAGGAAGAAAGATACAGAGTTTGAGAATACCTATAGCTAACATAGTAGCCAGCAAAATTACCACCACATGTTGCTTAATGCAAACATTATACATTGGTCAAATGTACATGATGCATTTAACTTTATCAAATAGCTAACAAAAAGAAGGAAATATAATTCATTAAAAATATGAGGGACGATAAGACTATATAAGAGAATTTATATAGCTTCATGAAAATTTCTGAAATTTTCTGATTAGGATTTAAAATTTTGACTAGAATTTATCATAAATCAGACTCTTAATAGACAAAATAAAGGCTCAGAAAATCTGGAGTCAAATATGTGAATACCTGTAGCTTGATTGGTGTCCTTTGCAAGCGGTGCTGATGCAGTGATTTCTTATCAGATTCCCATGCTAGTTCTGTAGTAATATCTGGGTTCTCTATGTGGTCCACTGGGTCAGTAGAAAGTGTTTCACCATCAAATTTTGCCTCAACTAGCAGCTTACAATTGGATTTTCTTGGGAATCTTCTTCCTGAAATAGAATTGGGCTTTTCAGAATGCATTCAAGACATGCAAGCTGCCTATAACTATCATTTTAACTAAATACTGCATTAAAGGCTGAAAGCTTGTCACATTTTTAATGTGGAGTGACTTCACATTATTGGACAGACTATCACACCTACTTAAACAACTTATAAAAATAACCAAATTTTAATAAGGAATATATTTAATAAAGTGCTATCAACATAAACAAAAAATTTTGCCCTTTGGTGTAGTGTTAGGAACCACCGAAAAACTGGATGGGGTTTTCCAGAATTATGTCAGTGACGCGACACGACAAAAGGAAGTGTCTTCAGTTTCAGTTGATTATCATAATGTGTTACCTACAACGCCAGGCGAAGGGGTATATTTAACGTAACTCAACTTCAGAGGATATAGGTCACTTTTAACTCAAAGGAACACTTTTGATATATACAAATTATTAGCAGCAGAGTTAGCCCGGCGGGTTTAACTGTAGAGTGAATGGAGTTACCAACTTAACTTTCTCGGCCGTTGTTTTGACATTCTGCCTTAAAATGCCCTGGAACATGAATTTAACTTGCGTTCTTTTGGAAAAACCTTTCAGAATGCTTACCTTCAATAATACTGACCACTAACAAAACTTTATCAACAGTCATCTTGCCGAATCGAACGGTATCACACGATGCTCTTGCTTATTCGGGCAGCCATTTTAACCAACAACAACAAAACAACCGCCAAAAGTCGAAGGCGTTCACAGGGGTGCAAGGCGTTCACAGTGAAGTGGTTGAAAGGGTCAACACAAGCGCCCGGCGTGTTCACTCTCATTCGGTCGTGTACCCAGACCAGTAGTGTACCTAGTGATATCATAATAACAAGGTGAGCTTTTGCACAACGTGTTGCAAAAAACAACAGCAAAAGTAGAAATTTGATAACTTTCGGCATTTTGATAATTACCGGCGAACGAGGGGGGGTTCGGCCCCCTAGTACTACACCCCTGCGTGTGCCCAAGCTCATCCGAGAGATTTAAAAAAAACCCATTCCTCTGATTTATATGTGAACTTTTTATAACCTTTTCGCTGAGCTGAGATGTTATACATAATAATAATAATGGAAACTTTTCATTATCAATTCAATTAAAACTACAATTACAAATTTCACTATTACAAAGGTAATTTGCAATTGGCTAGCCTGGGGTTACAAAGAAAAAGACTATTACAAGCACAAACAAAAGAAATTAACAAATAAAGGAAAAAGTGTGTTCGTCATTGTTTGTTTTAGAAGTCGTCAGTAGCAGAGATCGCTAGAATTATAATAATAATAGTAATAATAATAATGAACTTTGTACAAAAACAAAGTGTACAGGAGTTCCTGCTCTGCTACACTAGGATTCTGTAACACTATTTTGTCTTAAACAGGGCCTCCTACGAAAGGGGGCATTGCTCCCCCACTATTTTGCAAAAAATAGAACTTTTCACGAAATCTTTTGTTATGGATGCTTAATTTTCCCTTGGGGACTTCCAAAGCTCTAGTTGTATGATTCTTACGTTTCTAGGTTTGTAGGTAGGCCTGGAAAGGTGATAAGTGTAAAGGAACACATTGTGAAACAAACTATCTTATACATTCAAAAACTTTTCTTCAAATTGTTGTATTAAATAAAATTATAGAGGTGGTGCTCCTTCTATAGAATCTTTGGGAAACGATCTAAGGGAAACGCAAACGGGATTTTCTACGACAGGAGAATAGGGATTTAGGTAACAAGGCCCCCTTATGGAGAATAGGGATTTTGGTACCCTGGGTACCAGACTCACTATATAAAATAATATATAGTGAGTCTGGTACCCAGGGTAGGATTTTGGTAACATTGACAAAAATACGATCGACAGGAATGTTTGCGAAAAGAGGTTTGGAACGAGCTTTGAATATCTATAGACAGTAGTGTTATTGCTAGGTAAGAAGTGAAGTTTAAATAGCACTAGCAGTGTTGTCAGCGCAAAATCTTATCAGGAGGAGGGGGAGGGGGAGAGGGGGAGGGGTGGTCTGCCCATTCAATTTTGTGTTACAAATGTAACACAGTTGCCTGTGGGGCTTCGTCTCCATCCAATCGTTTCCGACAGCCCTATTTATTTTGGAAGTTAATTGAACAAGACAGTTTAGGAGAACCTTGTGTATTTACATTTGTGTACTTCTGATGTTCTGTTTCGTTACAGTATCACGAAGATAATCATCTTTAGCAGCAGTCCAAAATTAAAACTAAGCAATTCGCAATTGCAATGACGAGCCATAACACGCAAAAACAAAAATCCCCGATTATCAATATCTGAAAAGGAGATTTGGATCATCTAGTATTCTTTTTAAATTCTGCATACCGCTTCCGAACTTAAATCGATCGAAATTTGCATATCATTGGGCCAGCACACAAAAATGCATCTTGTTCGATAAAATTTGCCACAGCGCAAACAACTTTATAATTTGAAGTAGACGAATAAGAATGACTCAGTATGCCAGAACAACGGCTACGTAATATTGCAGAAAAGGAAGATATCTTTTTTTTGCAATAACACAAAACTCGTTTTAAGAGTTCATTATTTCATAAAGCTTTGCTATTTTTTGCTAATGTTTTTTTTGTAAATGAAAAAAGCTTGAAACATAGACAAAGGACTAATAAAGCTTTATGGTTTTTGCTCAGAAAGTTATGTTGTGTAGAATCCAGAGGGAATGAGAATGTGCCTGGAGAGACCCAGTAGCGGTTTTATGGTTGTCCAAAGGGGCCACGACCCCAGGCTTGGCGCTAGGGGTCTGGAACACATGCTACCCCACAGCTACAAAAAAGATGAAGATTATGAAGAACAAAGGCCCCGCAGTCCCTACAACGGCGCTGGTGGAACCTGATGAAGATGCAAAATCAACCATTTCAAAAACAGTATTCAATTTGATATGAAATTAGGGATATGAGTTTTTCTTTTGGTATGAGTATTCCAAGCTGCTGTTGCCTCTTACCATATTCCCGAAACCCGCTTGGAAACGCGACAATTTCCGAATCCAGAGTCGAAAATATGCAATTCCTTATTTCCGAATACATACTGTTCACCTTGACGTTTCATCTTTGGACGCAATTAGGGAGAGACATCTGGGCAACACTCCCTGCAATTCTTTTTGCACTCCCTAGACTGTTTAAAAACTGTGAAGAAATCTGGGTAAATGCACCGATTTTAATAGACAAAGAGAGTAAATTTCTTCAAATTTCTTGAGAATTTCCTCTCATTTTTTTATAAGAAACAGTTTATAAAAACCTGACCCCTAAGATATTTAAAGGTGCTGCTAATCACGCTCAATCTTGAAAACGCTAAAAAGCGATTCTATTGCAGATGGGACAGAAAAATTTCTTTCCTTCATTTTCATATGTCACGTTTACATCTCATGTCAAGTTGCTATGTTCCTGAAAAAGCAACTCTGCAGCACTTCTTATTCTTCAAGAAACGTTTAAGATACCTTGAGAACCAAAGTCACAAGCTGAGTAATTATTCAAAATAGAGTACCACATACCACTCATAGGAAAAGAATAACAAGGTGCAGGTGGCAAAATCCAGAAAAATGTTTGCCTTTGTTTTGAAACATTCAGAAAAGAATAATGATTTTATGCAGAGACTTTAAGACCAGAAGCATGAGGGCACTAAGTCCCCTCAAAGTTTCTTAAAGTGCCCTTTTAGGGGTAGTAGTTGCAACCTTTAGGCTGAATTTTCACTGGCACAGTGCCCTTTTTGAACCCTTTGGTGATTGGTGACAATAACAAGTCTCCTTCTAAAAGTCGTGCCCCAAGTCCTGACTTGACGCTTGCATGGATCATCCAGCTTGTTTCAAAACAGCACTGTATTCATAAATTACCTCAAATTGCATAACATATAACGTGATTAACAAGGGTCATTATGTAACTTTTTAGTCATTCGCTGAAAGTGGATTATGGAGGTCCCCCTGAAAACAGTCTGCTTGACAGGTGCCTGCATCTCAGACATTTAATCAGATTATTGCAAAAAGAACATGAAAGAAGTACGCTAGAAGATACAGCAGACACAAGAACCCGAGAGGTTCTAAGAACTAGAGCTTTGCATCGAACATAAAAACCTTGTTTGTTCTGCGAAGTCCTCAGTGACCACAAAGAATGATATTCGATTGTTCAGTCCGGAAGAAAACACGAAGAGCGAAAACGGACGAAGTTAAAACATGGGGTTTGCGAAAAAGATACATTTGACATTTTGCTACAGATATTTAGGAGTGTTAATTTGTTTGGCGTGCGGTGCTGCGATTTTCAGAGAAGTAGAATGGCACAAGGTTGAGCGGGATCCAGCAACGCAATATATTGCAAAAACAAACTTGAACATTGAGTTGGAAAAGTTGCATCAGACCCTTTCAGAATCACTGAATATGACTATTGATCTGCAGTTGTTCCATAATATCACAAAGAGGATTACTAATGAACAGGCAACAGTGGGAAAAAAACGACTGTGGACGTGGCAGCAAGGCGTGCATTTTGCATTCACAATTATGAGTACCATAGGTAAGTTCTTTCATAGGAAGGCAATGACGTCACCATATTTCAACAAACGGGCCTTCTAAATGATCTACTTGCAAGAGTGCTAACTTGATGTTATCCGTTCGTGGTGTTACCAAAGAAAATTGATGGGCATAAGTAAAAAATAGGACAACCAAGAACAAAGACACCTTTCAAAAGTAACAAAATGAGTGAAATAAATTTTATTTAAATCTCATCATAAGGCATGTATGTGGCAAACTTCTAAACGCCAACGTGCTTTTTATATGTCATCATTTCTGTAATATTGGCTTGATCGAAAGATTCTTCAACCATCCCATGTTACTATTCAAATTTCAGCCATTTTACCTTATCGTTGAAAGATGAAGAAAGGCATCTTGATAAAACGGGAAAGGAATCTACCAAGTAGCACCTTATTCGATAACTTCAAAGTAAATAATTAATTTCTTCTCTCGTTAATCTATTGTAACTGAAATTCTTCGTTTAGACGTTTGTTCCATCCTTTCCCACTTAATTACGATAATGTACATTGTACAAGTGCAAAGTTGTAAAATTATGACTAACTATTAAACTAGTTGAATTCTGCAAATGATGCAGTCTTAAATCCCAGGTCGTGCAAAAATTGCACTTTTAAATTCATACAAAACAACTGCGTCTTGTAGTGGAAATTTCTTTATGAGAATCTTATGAGCTGTTTCTATTTGATTTTAGGTTACGGAGATATTGCTCCAAAAACAAACCTCGGCAAAGCTTTATGCATATTGTATGGCGTAATAACGATACCGCTCTACCTTCTAGCACTTTCGGCAGCTGGAGATATGAAGCGGTTCCACATAGAGAAACTGCTTATGTTAGTTGAGAGGCGGTTGCTGAAGCGCACGACAATTCGTAGAAAAAAAGTGAAGATTATTGGAATAACAATTTTCTTTTTCATTGTTGAAATGCTTATAGCCACTGGAGCTGCCCGAGAAACTCAAGGTTGGGGCATTTACGACTGTTTTTACTTCTGGTTTATCAGCACTAGCAGCATTGGCTTCGGAGATTACGTTCCTTCTTATAGAAGCTTTCCAGCAACATTTCTGTTCTTTCTCTTCTTCACATTGGTGATGCAGAGTGGCCTGGCAACGATCTTTAGCACGCTGACCGAGATATCAAACAAACCTAGCGCGATCACTGATTCAAAAGAGTAATGTACACATAACGACTACAACGTTACCTGGGTTGACTAATAAAGAACGCAGCGATGTTTACAAAGACACCATAGTGTTTACGAGAGCAAGCGAGTAAGGGCTAAAAATACGGGGTAGCATAGGCTGCCGACATTGATTCGTGTTCTTGTTCTCGTCTCTTTTTGCTCCCAAGCCATTGTTTGCATTGACGCAAGTAAAAGATTCCAACAATGGCTCTAGCCTGGACCATACAACAGCAACAGCATCATTTCATGTTGGATAAATTGGATTTCTAAGAACATGTAAACCAACCTGCTATGCAGAATTTGTTATGTAGATGTTTACATAACAAATTGAAACATCTAAACAATACCAAGCTATATGAAAGCAAACAAACGGCTTTCTTTCTGTCGGTCTGTAAATATGATCTTTTTAAATGGAGTAACCGTACGTCACGGGGCTTATTTTGAAAAAATATTATGGGGTAGGGGCTAATTCGAGTAGGAGCTAGTTCGAAGGTGGGGCTTATTCGAAGAGGGGGGCTTATTTAGCAGCAACCAAAAATATTGCCAGGGCAAATTTTCTTCCTCTATTTGAGGCTGGTCAGTATGCTAAAAAATCCAGATGTATTGGGGTAAATACCGATTGCTGTCGAGGTTATACCTTTAATCGAGAGTGGGGGCCTATTGCACAAAAATTGCTTTATGGTGGGGGCTTATTCGGGGGCGGCTTGTCCGAAGGTTGGGGCTTAATCGAGGACTTACGGTATTGGTAACCCTGCTCCAGCACAAGAACATTGTATCTGCTCCAGCACAAGAACATTGTATATAAAACCATTTCATCGGGAGTACCTCAAGGCTTTGTTTTGGGTCTTATTTTATTCAATGTTTACATAACGATCTGATTTTGTTTAAAAAACAAGCAAAATTACATAATTGTGCCAATTATAATACTCTGGCTTATTTTCCATGGCTTTATCAAATTTGATTAAGATTCTGGTGGAAGAAGCTGGTGTTGCTTTAAATTGGCTAAAAAAATCAAATGATAGCCAATCAAGAAAAATTCCATAAACTAATTATTAGAGAGGATCTATGAATGGACAAGATTTTAATATCCAAGGTAAACTGATAAAGTATGTAAACCTCATATTTCTGAACTCTGAATAAAAGCGCCATCACAACTCAATGTCTTGAAAAGACTAAGAAAATTCATTGCTTTAAAAGAAAGGAAGATTCTTGTCCAAAGCTTTGTGTACTCAAATTTTGAATATTTTTCTCTCGTTTGGTACTTTTTATCAGCTTAATATTTGCAAAAATTGAAAAGACTCTTAGATTTTTACACAATGATCGATTCACCTCTTACAGTGACTTTATTGCGAAATCAGAAAAGCGTACAATTCATGTTATGAGAGTTCTTTCTATCTAAACTTTTGAGACATCTAAATTCGTCTTTCATGCAAAACGTTTTCAAAATTAGAAACTTTACCTATTCATTACGAAATCCAAATTATTTACCACATTATAGACCAAACCAAGTAACCTTTGGTTCTAATAACCTGAAGTAACTGGGACCCCAAGTTGAGAATTGGCTGTCAATTGAAATAAAATTGCAACCGGTAAAAATTTGAATACCTTTAAATGTATGATAAAAAGTGGAATAGCCCAAACTTAAAATGCAGTATGTGTCTCAAATCTTACCTTTTATACATTTCTTTAAGTATAACACTGTAAAAGTTTTTATTTGTGTACATTTAATTATTTATTCATTTATTCGTGTAGTTATTTATCGTAGTGATTTTGATTAGTTTGTTTGTACAAATGATATTATATATATATATAGTAAGGTAGAAGTAAATGAACGATGTAAAACAAGTAAAAAACAGTAAAAAGACCATGAATTCACGAAACTCACAGAAAGGAATTCACTAAACGAATTCAAAATGGTTTAGATTGAATGCTGGATTTGAATCAAATACTGGATCAGATTGAATAAAAGATTTTTCGCTTGATTTCAAGTGAAGCAAACCATTTCAGCGACAAATCAATGCTGTTTCTAGACACTGTGGCTTTACGTTGACGAAGTGATGATAAGAGCCACTTTCCCCTGATTTTAGTGGAAGGAAGAGAAAATTTAGTCGCTGAATCGTTTGTGTCCTACTGAAGGGTTTATGTTTTCACGGTAACTGTAAATAGAGGCCTCAACTGATTACTAAAATGACTTTGAATCATCAATAGATTTCACTGAATGCTGTAAGTTGTCTTTAAAGATGCAGATGCTGCAAAAAATATGTAAAGTAATAAAAATTGCTTCCTCAGCAATTTCATTTCCAATCTGCAGAAAATAAGACTGAGCGTCCTTCTCCCAGTGGACTGCGGGCTTAACCCATTTTTCTGCATTTTCTCTTCAGAAAAAAGCTGCATGGCCACAGAAAACTATCCAAGCAAATAGAAGCGATACACAAAACATTTCCTACTTTGCGAAAAGGCAATAGGCGTATTTCAGGAGAAGTATAGTAAATTCTTTAGTTGAAAAAAGCAGAGTTTATGTCGAGATGCTGATTTTCAACACACTCGAAGGATCGTACTGGTTTGTTCGGCTTGCTTGTAACCAATGGTTGCCAAAATACCACTGGGTGTGACAGCAATGTTTTGTGGAAAAACAATGGCTGAAAGCTGGATCACTCCAAACTTATGATAAGAATTCCAATACGCTAGAAACAATCTATTTGTTCACAATGGGGAAGGTCTGAAATCGGCTTAACTTGGATCGTCTAATCTTTATTGGTTTTGTTAGGCATTTATGAATCTAAATGTTAAAGGAAAATCGAAAACGTCCCGAAAATACAAAGTCAGCATGAGTACCCACTAGTTAAAACACGTTGGTATCTTCAATCAGATTGCACGATAATGCACATACGAATATATTATACGAACAAGGTTAGATTAGGTTGATCAAACTTTTGATTGAAACTGTATCCTTAGCTTTTTGAAACTGTTTTTCATGGCAATGATGGCATTGGTTCTTCGCGCCAGGTGTCCTCTTTCAACCAATCAGAATCCTCGGTATCGAGCAACGCAGGTGCTTCCACTGTTGTATTCGTTTGCAACTAGAACGAAAGAATCAACACTTTAAAAAGAATGAATTGATATCAGATGAGTGAAAATTCAATAGAAAAATAGTCATGGTACCTGCCAATAATTATAATTCTATTTGACACGAAAAGATAAATCCATTCAGTATCCGCTAGATACACACAAAAGCTTCTATCAAACTCCAGGCGGCCGTGGAGCTGAAAAAGATCGGCCAAATAGCCCTTGTGACGGCAAATAAGAGCCCACCGCAAATGACAGCCGGCAACCAATAAGCGCCGCATTATAACACGTCGCTTATTTACATAGAAATCATACATTTAACAACCAAACGTGAAATGGAAATGAATTAAGTATTGAAAATGTTTAAGTTTTGGCTTTAAAAATTTAGGCATAATATTTGAAGTGTCACTAATAGCTGGAAAATGAAAATATGTATTAACCAGACCTAGTGGCAATCAGTAGCGGCGCCACAGGGGGGAACACACGCCCCCCAGTTCTCAGCAGAATCGGTTTTATATTTCGTCCAAATTCGATGAGGAAATGTTGGGGGAGGGGTAATATTTTGACACCGTACTTTTTGTGATGTAATCCTATGATTTTCAAACTGCCAATTTTCAAACAAAAGTTAGTCATAGGCGTTCACTTCGGATAAAAATTGGCGTTCCCTGTTGGTAAAAGGGCGTTTTCTGGTAGTTAAAAGGGCGTGGCTTAATTTTTTTTTGTCCCCCCAGAGCTTAGTGGCTGGCGCCGCCATTGGTGGCAATAATCAGACTCAACTACTAGGGCAGTACAGGGTGCACAGGCTGACAAGCTTTGAAATCTCGGGCCTAGCAATGGACATTGGACCTTTGAAATTGCCAATGTAGTCCTAGCAGAGGCGTTTTCCCGTAGGGGAAAGGGGGCTTTTGAGATCGTCATTGGGGTTCATACAGAACAAGAAAAATTTAATATGTAAAGAAATTTAATATGCAAAGTAAGGAAAAGTTTTCAAAAAGTGTTTTCACCTATCTTGATGCTTAGATGCCTCTTATTTCAGCCCCAGCCTAAATTTATGTTTGTAGCACAGCCTCGTAAAGACAAAGGAGATAAAAATAATCGGAAGTTTCATTGCTTAGCGAGGTTTACCTTTCCTCTATACTTTGTATCCTAAAATGACGGCCGCTGGTTGAGGCATCGGCAGAGTGCCGAATATTATACTTGTAGACATAAATAACTACGAGGAACATATCAAAGAGGGAGAGTCTGCGTTGCTATTGAGAGCATGGATAAATATTAAGCAAGATCGCATTCGGAAACGGAATAGTTAGGAACAAGCCTGGTTACAGAGGAGATCTGAAATTCAAAACCAGCTGTTACACACTGATGTTTTAGCAATGCGGAAGGATAGCTGACTTTTCGATAAGGTATCGCAGCACTCATCCGCGAATATCCATAATGGGGAAGCTACTTTCAGCAACACGTTCACTGGGACTGCGGTACGCCGTTGTTTTGCTTTACATTTTAGCTGGCGGAGCAATATTCGTTGCCATAGAAAACAAAAGCCTTGAGGACGAGAGAGAGCGAATAGAAGTGGAAATGATGCAAATCGCGTCGAAGAAGGAACTTTTGAGACAACAACTTTCAGCACAACTGAACGTGCCAGTGAACGTGAGCATATTTGAAAATTTACAAGTGCGATACTAAAGTTGTCATCAAAAACAAAACCAAACAAATGGGATATGTCAACGGGTGGCCACTTTGCATTTACAATCGTAAGCACCATTGGTAAGTGGCCGTACCAACTACTAATATTGAATTACCTGCTTGGCAAACCGCAGTAAGTGATGCGTAACATGCCTTAGAGACGCGCATTGGGTACAACGGAAAGGGGATTGTTTCTTTCTTAACAAATGAACTCAGCCTTAGGAACTGTTGTGGGGCTAGCTGCTTTTATAACAAGCGCTTTTCTTTGTAAAATCAAAACCATAAAACAGTTTGGCTATTTTAGAAATTATCGAAACCTGAAAAAAGCATTTTCGTCATTTTATGGTAAGAGTCTGTCCATGGAAACAGGGACCTAAAAATTAAGAGGGAAACTCTTTAGGTCGCTAGAATAAGGGTTTTATACGCCATTGAATGTAAATAGACTGTTGATGCACACCTTCAAGAAAATATTTCAATTTTTGCAGAGATCTAGGAGGAGATTTAATTTGAAGCGTGCATTAATTCTTATCGCTGGCCCACTACACTTATTGTAAACCCAATTTTTCGAAGCAAGGGGGAGGGGGGGGGTGGTCCAACTCTGATTTGCCGACAAAATTGGTGAGACATACCTTGCTTGCCAAAAGTATGGAAATTTGCCAACCAAGCACCCCTAAATGGTAAAAAAACTCCTCTTTTGAATTACCGAAATTTTTTGTCGAAAAATTGGGTGAGACATCCTTTACTTGCCAAAGAGCGTGGAAATTTGCCGACTAAGCGCTTCTAGATAGCAAAAAACTGCTCGTTTTAATAACCGAAATAAGTGTCACACCCTTACGCCCCCGTAGCGACGACCCTGATAAAGTCCATCCTGCATCTGAGGCCTTAATAAAATCTTACCAAGCCTACGACTTTTGAGTCAATCCAATCAGCTTATCACTTGTACCTTAATTGAATTAACAAGTCGATTCGCTGCATCATGAATTGGCTGCGATTATGAATTGGCTGCGATTATGAATTCGCTGCATTATGAATTCGCTGCACTGCATTTATGACTTCGGTATCATTTCTCTTAGTAATCGGTGCTCTTTGGTATTGCGAAGAAATACATGCTAAGCATGCCTCCCTGTGCAGTACTGTTGGAATATTGTGAGGTTGCGGTTTTCTTGTTTACTTGCACCAACATGCTAAACCCGAAATATGATGCCACTAAAATACAAGATGAACATGCTTGTCACTATTGGAAACGAGTGTCAAATTCGAGCACTGCATTTTTTGCAAGTTGACCATAATATCATCTCCTACAGGCGGCCTAATGGATAACCAAACTTTCTCCTTCCCTTTGAAGTTCAATAACGATAGAAACTTCTCTTTTTCGATTCAACTTAAGTTACAATTACACATCTCACAAATGCAATGGCAATGTGCAATTGACTAGCCTCGGTTTACGAGAACAACTATTACAAACACAAAACGAAGGAAGAAAAAAGGAAAAAAATTGACTGCCCTTTTGTGTTTCAAAAGCTGTCTGTAGCAAAAACCCTAGAATTCAAGAAGTCTAGGATTCTTTCAAGATTTATTGCTACAGCAGAAGATGGTACAGATGGTTATATCACATAGTTTCGAGATAATAAAACTAAGAAGACTCTCGCTGATATCTAATGATTGGTTGCGATACATGAGAACCATCGAATGCATTGCATCAAAGCATTGCATCAAAGCATTGCATCAAAGCATTGCATCAAAGCATTGCATCAAAGCATTGCATCAAAGCATTGCATCAAAGCATTGCATCAAAGCATTGCATCAAAATTCGTCTCGTATTCTACAGTAAGCCGGTTGTCAGAAATGGCTAGAAGTCGATCAGGACGGAAAGAGTCTCCTGTTATGATAGAGATTAAAAATCAAATATCTTTAAAGATCAAACCAAAAAGCCTACTAATAATAATATAATCAATTTATTTACAGTTGGCGGGTATGATATAGCTATCTATGTACAATTTATGTACAAGCTAATTTAGGCCTACTTAACAAAACTTTAGAATAAAAAGCATTTGAGAATTAATAATAATTAATAATGTCATATATAAAACAATTAGTTAAATAATGAAAAAAGTGAAATTGAAGAATAAAAAAACCTTTTTAAAGTTTACAATGCGTTTATAGTTAAAAGATGTTTCAATATTTTCAAACCAAGACGACTATTTTCTTTATTTTCTAGTTAAGGAATCCAACCTGAGCTAAGAAGCATCTACAAAGTTTGCAACAATATTCTTCTCCTTTCCATTTTTTTATCCGAGTTTTAAACTGGGCAAGATTTGATGACTCTTTTATCAAACTATGACTATCTACGGCTATTGAATTTTGAAAACCTTTTTAATACAGCGATTTAGCAGCAGGGTCCCACATTGCAATATCCACTTGAAGAATTTTGAATTCAAATAAGATAAAAGCAAAGTTTGCGGTTTGCTGCATAGAATTCAGCAACGGATTATTCATTCACTTTGATATACTAAGGGAACGTGGTCACCGAACAGTGGCGAACATTTTGGCGACGGGGGGCTATTATAGGTTTGCGGCTTCCTTTAAAGGTTCTATGCGGTTTGCATCTTCAATCGGCATTTCAAGTAGTTTGTTGTTTCGATAGCGCAGCCAAGGGATGAAAACACAGGCACAGAATACGAAAATGAAACGCAAAATAAAAATGGAGCTAGGAGACATTGGCATTGTCACTGTAAACAAAGGTTCCAATAGAACCTCTATAGATAAAACAAAATGCAGATCTTGATATTTGATCAAAGATTTTGCTCAAAATTGTAAAAGAAGTGTTGATTTGCTAGAAAATATGATACTGTTTTTTCCACCCGAGAAGATAGATACTTAAAATGATACTTTCTCTGCGCGAATGTTCTTGTCACTACAAATTGGCGCATGTTCAGAATAGTGTCTCAGTTTTGAGTGTACAGTTGATATCTCCACTGCTGGCTACCACAAAAATTCGCTATCTAAGCTAAGGCCCCGTTCACACGGGAACGCAATCGTTCCGTTCCATTTTTGTTCCAGTTTCTGGAACGAAAAGGTATACTGTTCACACGGTAACGGAACGATTGCGTATCGATTTTTGTTTATGTTCAGACGGGAACGCAATCGTTCCGTTCTGCAATTTGCGCGCCAAAATAAGCGAATGATTTTTAATGCGCATGTCCATAATGGAGATAGATTTCATCATTTCGATTTTTGTCTGAGCTATCTCTGAATTTTTTAAACAATTTGAATAAATGGGGAATACAAAGGGGCCCGAAAATAAGCAAGCTCGTGGGAAAATTGAAGCCAACCCTAAAAGGAAGGAATTTCAATGTTTGCAGAATGGTGTTGAATCTTTTAAATGGATTTAAGGGCGAGATTCAGCCAATGGTGTTTTTGAAATCCTCCATTTTCTTCGCTGAGTTCATTATTGTCACCTTTTCCTTCCCTCAACAACAACACAGACGCATGCGCCAAGGGCAAAACTCTTATCGTTCCATTTTCTGGACCAGTTCTGCGCGTTCACACGGGAACGGAACGGAACGATTGCGTACCGTTCCACTTTTCGTATCACTTATTCTATCGTTCCACTTTTTGGAACGGAACGAAGTCGTTTGAAGCGTTCCCGTGTGAACACAACCCCTGAGCGTTCCGCTTTTCGGAACGGAAAAGAACGGAACGGAACGATTGCGTTCCCGTGTGAACGGGGCCTAAGGTCGAAGATATTGTAGAACTGACCCTTAAACTCATATTTTTTAATAGTGGAATTTTTTGATGGTCTAAACAGAGATATATTATTCAGTGCTTTGTAAATAATCTATAACCTAGAAATTTTGGATTTTATAGGACATCCTTAATCTCAAGCATTCGCTATCTCGAACAAATTTCCGTTTTCCTTTCGAGTTCGAGTTAGCAGACGTCAACTGTACATGAAGTAGTTACAGCTATAGTAATGACAGTATTCTGGCAAAGGATATGCAAAGTATTGTCATAGAATAAGCACAATTACGTCACTTAATGACGATTAAATTCTTTTTTTACTTGTAGGTTATGGTGTGATTGTGCCAACATGTGATTCTACACGCATTATGACAATATTCTACGCCATTTTTGGGATCCCGCTTTTTCTCTATGCCATGGCAGCAGCTGGAGAGTTGAAAAAAGAGCTGTGCGACAGAATTCTGCAGCTAATTGAGACGAAATTGCTTAAAACTCATAGCATACGTTATAAACACGCAAAGGTGTTGGTTATAACGCTAGTTTTTCTCATGATAGAGCTTATGATAGCTTCTGCAGCTGTTTATCAAGAAGAAGACTGGTCGTTTTTCATCGCAATGTATTTCTGGTTCATAACCGCAAGTACCATTGGATTTGGTGACTACGTACTGAGTTTTAATGGCAATAACCAAGTGACATCTGGGATGATGGTGGCAGTCATACTTGTGACTTTGATTCTAATGAGTGATCTGGGCTGTTTCTTCAGTACGATTTCAGAGTTGTTGGAAGAGAGAGGCAAGATTCCTGTCAAAAATAAGTGTTCCTGTTTTGGGTTGGGAACAGAAAAAAACGAAAATTCAGTGGAAGAGCCACCCCTAGAAATGAAAAAAGTCGAGAGAAGCACTGGGTTTCAGAATAACGGTATAACTTTTTGAAATATAAATCAGACCAGGGGGCAAAAAAGCAGAGAGGGGGAAAAAGAGCAAAGGTGACAAAATCAGAGACACTATGAAATCAATAGAGGCAGCACGAGCTGTACATAATTTTTAACAATCAAACGAATAGAAATGTCGTTTCAAATGAGACGCACTAAATGGCATAATGCTGTTATCACTCTGGGCACATGCTATACGCCTTGGGAACTTGGTGGCTAGGCCATTCGGTTTCATGAAACATATTCCTCGTAGAGACAATTGCCTCAGCTGTCATGCTTTAAAGACGCCTTTTTATATCATTTGAGCAATTCATCTACTCAACAAAAATTAATTTAGTCGTGAGTAAAACTTTGCACCTGTCCTGATGGTTTTTCGAATCGATTGCATTGGTTGGCCCGCGGGTTCCTGTAGTCCGAAACAAAGTTTTACAGTCGCCATTTTAGAGATTTTGCTTTCCATCGGAACAATATGGTATTTTTCAATCGTAACAATATGGCCTTTAGTGTGAGCGTCTTGAGAAAAATTTACTCGGTTGAGAGCTTTAACTATCATTTATCGAAAGACCAACCAACATGGGAAAATCCGGCGTTGCATCGATTCACCCTTCACCAAGATCATGGCGCCACAACATTCGTATAAAAATAAGATGACTAACAAAAATAAATACTTCATCTAAACATATTTAACTAATTGGATTTGTTTTACAAATTTATTTATTGTTTCTATATTGACTAATGGGTTAATATATTGACTAATTCAACCAACTTCCATTGTCCTGTCAGTACCTTTCTCTTTCTATCGATAACCTGACATCCTTCGGGAGTCATTTAACTTGCATTAGAAGAGTGCTGAAGGTACATCGGATTATATCCAGCACTCAAAATAAAACCAGAGCAATTCTGAGCTCGTGGGCAGAAACCAGTCGATAGAGATGAGAATTCTCTTAAACTGTGATCGATCTACCACTTCCGTTCTAAGCCTTTTCTACACTGAAAGTTCCCATACCTTAACTCCCAGTGTAGTGAAATATAGGTTTTCAACTTACAGAATCATTAGCAAAAATAAAACATAATTTACTATCTGTTTTACGAATGTCAGATTACAATCGGAGCTTTCAGCAACATGCCAATAGTTTTTTATGAAAGCAAGATAGCAAGATTCTCTAATCCAATTGTAGAGAGACAAGTCCATGTCGGCTTAGCGGTATAGCTGGTCTTCAGAGAGCATTACATGCACCTGTGACTACAGTTGCCGTTGGAGAGAAACAATGAACCAGGCTTCGACAGGTAGTGATTTGAGAGATGTACCTCATTGATGGCATCCGAAATCTAAAAGTCTTTTAGCACCGCTAGGCCTATCTTTGTTTTCAGATAAACCAATCGGAAAAATGCAAAGATTTCAAGTCGTTTGCTTCAAAGTAGGTTCAGCTAAGTTCTTGATTCGGAAATGGTATACTGTTATGTTATATTTCTATATTTGTCTAACAGAAGTAGCTGGCCGTGAATAAATATCAAACATGCAAAGTTTCAGAGGCCAGCTCATCAAAAATAGAATAAACGTAATATGAAAATTATAAAGAATTATTGGATGCAGAAGACTCACCAAAGCATTTTCCTCTTCGTCACTTCCTGGTTCTGTTGTTATAGAGGCTTCTTTTTCACTTTGCAAATTATCGACCCTAGTAGAAGATATTTAACATCTAAAGTTATGAAAATTACTGTTTACCGATACCGTTTAGGCAGAGCTGTACACACTATGGGGTGTATAGAACAGAACGGTTTTAAGTTAGATGTTCAGGGACAAAGCAATACGACGACGAGAATCCAATGTCACGAGATAAAATTTTCAAAATAAATTAAGTTTAAGGAATATACTAATATTTCGTCCCGGCACCCGGCATACAGGGCTTCATCAGAGTAAATGAAACGAACGAGTCAATCGTACGAGTCGGTTTTAAGTTGCCGTTTCTAAGGATTGAGGTAAGCTAATCATCTCAGAAGAAGGAAATTTTGTTTCCAGATAGGCCCCAGATGGCTGACGATTCAAGTACCTTTCTTCACCGTCTTATTCAATAAATAATGATAAAATACTACAAAGCATGTTGTTATTTCTCCTCTTCTTAGCTGATTCGTTGCAGCTTCTTCACTTTCTCAATTATCTTTGTATCAAAACCTACTGTTATGTGAATCGTTTAATGGTGCAATGTACCGTTAATGTACGAAAGATTGCCCGATAAAGTGCTTCCATATAACAAGAAGATGGATCCCAGTAGATTCGGAACCAAAATCTAACAGTTGCGATGCGAAAATAGTGAAACGTACGCATTGACAGACGGTTTGCACCATTGATATGCCCTAAAAAATTAAGGACAAAACAAAACCATGAAAACAAACCATTTTTGGGCATTCCGGACTGTCTAATGACAGCTCAGAACTTATCTTTATGATCGATTCCGACATCTAATGTGAGACAAACTTATTATTGACTATTGTAATTCTGTTGAATTGTAAGCACCATCTGCAGTCGGGACCAGATGACTATATGTCCTTCCCCACTGCATGGTGCAAATAAAGTAAGTTGTTTCTCTTTTTAGGTTTTGATTCATAAAAATAAAAAAAAACCATGAAGACCTAAATAAAAGAGTCTCTTCGTGAGCACAGCCCTTTTTAAAATAACACAACCGTAATCATAATCAAAAGCCGAACATTTCTATCAAATCTTCACTTTTTACATTAGGTCAAGTCAACTACTTCTTCATCTTCTTCAATAAACTATACAGTATTGCTTGAAGGGCATTGCTATCATATCTTCACTTTCTACAGTAGATCTAGTTAACAAAAGTACTTCATTTTCGTCACTAATTATACAGCATTTCTTGTAGGGCAATGATTTCAAATCTTCACTTGCTAAAGTAAAGTTCTTGTCAACAAAAAGTACATATACTTCTTCATCTTCTTCACTAACTACACAGCATTAGTTGTAGGGCATTGCTATCAAATCTTCACTTTCTACAGTAGTTCTTGTTGAATAATAGCTGATACACTTCTTCATTTTCGTCACTAATTATACAGCATTTCTTGTAGGGCAATGATTTCAAATCTTCACTTGCTAGAGTAAAGTTCTTGTCAACAAAAAGTACATATACTTCTTCATCTTCTTCACTAACTACACAGCATTAGTTGTAGGGCATTGCTATCAAATCTTCACTTTCTACAGTAGTTCTTGTTGAATAATAGCTGATACACTTCTTCATTTTCGTCACTAATTATACAGCATTTCTTGTAGGGCAATGATTTCAAATCTTCACTTGCTAGAGTAAAGTTCTTGTCAACAAAAAGTACATATACTTCTTCATCTTCTTCACTAACTACACAGCATTAGTTGTAGGGCATTGCTATCAAATCTTCACTTTCTACAGTAGTTCTTGTTGAATAATAGCTGATACACTTCTTCATTTTCGTCACTAATTATACAGCATTTCTTGTAGGGCAATGATTTCAAATCTTCACTTGCTAGAGTAAAGTTCTTGTCAACAAAAAGTACATATACTTCTTCATCTTCTTCACTAACTACACAGCATTAGTTGTAGGGCATTGCTATCAAATCTTCACTTTCTACAGTAGTTCTTGTTGAATAATAGCTGATACACTTCTTCATTTTCGTCACTAATTATACAGCATTTCTTGTAGGGCAATGATTTCAAATCTTCACTTGCTAGAGTAAAGTTCTTGTCAACAAAAAGTACATATACTTCTTCATCTTCTTCACTAACTACACAGCATTAGTTGTAGGGCATTGCTATCAAATCTTCACTTTCTACAGTAGTTCTTGTTGAATAATAGCTGATACACTTCTTCATTTTCGTCACTAATTATACAGCATTTCTTGTAGGGCAATGATTTCAAATCTTCACTTGCTAGAGTAAAGTTCTTGTCAACAAAAAGTACATATACTTCTTCATCTTCTTCACTAACTACACAGCATTAGTTGTAGGGCATTGCTATCAAATCTTCACTTTCTACAGTAGTTCTTGTTAAATAATAGCTCATACACTTCTCCATCTTTGTCACTAACTATACAGAATTTCTTGTAGGGCATAGCTACCAAATCTTCACTTTCGACATTAGGTCTTGTCAACGAATAGTTCATATACTTCTTCATCCTCTTCACCTGAAACATAGCATTGTTTCTACTTCTATCTTCTACGAATTTAATCAACTACTTCAATACTGAAGGCTCTGATGATGTAAAGAAAATCAAAAACAAACAAACAAAAACACACACAAAGTTAACAAAAAATAATAACAAATAAATAAGTTAAGCAACAGAGCAGCAGTTCCATGACTTAGATAGTATTTATCCAATGTTGATATTTTACCCTATGAATTTTTACTATGAAATCAAACTGCACTGCAACCGTACCTATTTATCTGTTACTGGTTTTTGTACGATTTTTTAAAAAAAAATTTTATTAAACTTATTTTGCCTTTTTTACAATAAGCTTTTCTGTTTTATTTAGTTATACTAAATTGCATTTTTAAAAGAATTGATTGTTTTTGAGACAATCACTGATTGTGGTAACATATTCCACGCTTGAATTGTGCGGGGAAAGTACGAAAGCTTTAGGGCATTGCTATAAAATATCTACTTTCTGAAGAAGGTTTTGTTATGGAATAGCGCGTACATTTCTTTATCTTCATCACAAGCTAGACAACATAGCTTGCAAGGCATTACAAATTCAGATCTTCTAAAAGAAACCTTTTCCAACTTCTTATGCACTTTTGTCTTCTATGTTGTATGTACTTTCTTTGCTATTCTTCCCCTACGCTTTCCGTTTTTTCTTCTTCATTTTATAATTATCACCATCATCATCTTCAGGCTCTACATCGTTCCAAAGCTAACATAGATTCAAATCTTTACCTTACGTATTCAAGCTCTCTGCATTGAAGCTTCGTTTTCATTTTCTCTTCAAAATTAATCAAATTCCTCTATCTTTCACAGCATCACACTTCTAATTGGATGGCTTGTTGCAAGTCAGCCCTCGAATGTTGAGCTTTTTTTAAAAAAACCTAAACACAGCTTCTATTTCATTTTTTCGTCATCGTGTTCCTCATTGTCAAACATATTTTCATTTTTTTCTGCCCTGTTGATATCAAGAAGAAATGTATACTCCTGAAAATCATATTTTTTCACTATATTTTCTTCTTAATCATTTCTGCACTAAATGCCAATTATTTTACAGCTTGGGTTGAAAAAAATTTTCTCTGCTTATCTTTTTCTTAATAAAATGCAAACTTATTTTTTCAAAATTCCTCGGGAAAAAGAGCACAGCGTAGTTTTTCAAACAGCGATACCTATTTTCACTGACCTTTATAATGTTTCGTTTTTCAAAGCCAGCCGGTATAATACCTTTTCGGGGGCCATTTTCTGAGTTAATTCATGACTCTAACAATTAATATAGTTCATTTATCATACAAGGCACGTGCATCAAAGTATCTTTTCAATAGCCTATTCTGTATTTTGTTCTCGCTCTGCCTACTTTTCTGGCATTTCCTTTACTATTCTCATTTCCCACGCCTTACCTTCCTTCTATCTTAACTCTGGAATCATTTTTTCCTTTAATGCTTCATCATTTCTTTCGTTATTGATATTTCAGACTTTTCTTTCTCTTTTCTATTTGTTATGACTCTCTAGCCATTGAATTATTATTATCAATGTAAAAATGTTTATTGAAATCTTGAGCTCATGGCCTTTCTTGAGAAGAAGATTCTGCTAAGGAAAGGCAACTGCACCACGGAAACACGTGCCGTTATCTGGGGGTGGCAGAGGGGGGTGGTAGAGGGGGGTGGCAGAGGGGGATGGCAACATATTTTAGAGAGCAGCGTTGACCCTTAGCTACGAACAAATCAGACAGAAAGCCAGATTGAGCTTCTTTGCCAAAGATACAGTCTTAAAAACCGCTGATCAACTTAGAACATCACAAAGTACACCACTTAATAATCAGCTAATCGCGTATTTTCTATATTGAAAAGACACCACCAAGAACCTCTATTCTAACACAATTATCTGGACATATATAAGTGTTGAACAAAGTATTATAAATTTAATTCATCAAAATTTGACAAGCAGACATTTTAAATTACACCTATTAGCAGAAAGAAAATCTGTACAGACAAAATTTATCTGAAAAAGTAAGGCAATTTTCATTTTGTTTGGTTTTCTGACCAAAATTAAACACGTTCTTGGAAGAGAGCATATGCTTAATTAATCATTTATAAAAGAAATATTTGTACAGACGTTAAAATTTTCGTCGAAATAAGTTTACCGCAGCTTTTGGATAAGATAAGCGCTTCCAAGAAACCACATATGAAGATTACGCATGGCTTGATGTTGCAATCGATTGCTGGGTTTGTAAAGTTATTTGTGAGTATGATAACTTTGATATGATGTAATCAGAAATGGAAACCGGGGAAACGAGAGTCGAAGCTATGCGGCTACATGTGCAAAGTGAAGAAACAACAATACTTTGCCTGGGGTAGAAATTATTTAAAAAAGAGAGAAATAAATGTTGCAACCGCTAGCATTATCAAAGTCATGTCTCATTCTAACACAGAACTCCAGACTCCAGGGAGCCTAAGTGAACACTTGCGTATTAAACTTCTAATAATGATGAAATATTTCGAGAAAATGTCACGTTTCGTTAAACTTATACAATATTTCCAAACAGAATTGTCCAAACCACTAGCTTTTTATTAGCAACTCCCACAAACAGCAACCTTCATTAAGTGATCGAAACCTCTAAAATTAAAGAAATATATGGACTTTTCTCCTAAATTTTCATTTTATCGAATGTTCAGATAATTTTGACAACATAAACTATATTGGGCAAAGTACTACTTATAAACCATTTCCAAAAAATATCATCTACAACCGAGAAGTGATAACTAATAATAATAATAATAATAATAATAATAATAACAATAATAATTTTTTTAAACATCTCATTTTCATTGAATACATTTCAAATTTACAATTATACGACTGGCTTTTACAGGCATCATATAATTGGCTCATCTGCATTACAATATTTAGAAGTCAATCAGTTCGTGGCTTAGCCATGGTTTGTTTCGACGACAGAAGATATAGTAGGTGCAGCGGATAGAAATGTTCATGAGTTTCATCAAGATGGATTTAGTTTGATTTGAGTCAAAATTGAGTTGGTGTAGCATGTCAGAGAGAGAGATAGATGAGGTTCCCAGAATGCCAAGGGCACTCATAGAAAGGTTAACAAAGGTAGCACGTTTATAGGCAGGGTTCAGTTCCTTGATAAGGTCACTATATTTCCTAGCTTTTCGTGTACTGTTTTCGTCGATGTTGCTTTCGAACCCAACAGTAAGCTCTAGCATGTAAAGGATTCGATCTTCAGTTACGAAGACAAGATCTGGTCGATAGGAGTCGCCTGTGATTAAAGAAGGTGATAGAAATGAAGGCAGGTCGGCGTAAAGTGAGCTGTTTCTAGGTGTTGAGAGGGTTTTAGCCAAATATAGAAGTACAGAATCATGTCTCTAGGTATACCTACCATGTTCAAGATAATTCTTGCAGCTAGAGACTATGTGCTGTAATGATTCTGATTGGAAACAGAAAGAGCAGGCAGATGACTGAGTAATTGACCATTTGCAGAGGTTTTTCCTAGTGGCAAGAGTGTTGTTTAGGTATTTGATGGTAAATTTGTAAATGTTTTTTGGTAACTTTTGCTGGACACTAGACCAAAGTTGATTAGTTCCCTTAGAAGCAAATTTTAAGATGCACGAGATAATAAATCCTTGAGATGTAAGAACGTTTTCAATGCGGTTCTCGTGTTCACTTTGGATGGATTTGAGAATTTGTTTGGTGTTGCGATAAACGTCATATTGTATGTTTGTACCAGTGCTAGAATCTTTCCATAAAGAGCATGGTAGGAACAATCTGTCTCTGGTATTGCAGTCCTGTTCAAATCATTCTGTGTAATTAGCACAGCATATCACTTGTACCAATTTCATGTTCTTTTTCGCGTTTACAAACTTTGCCTAACGATTTTGCATACACACCCTAAATCTGCGATTAACAGTTTAACTATTCATACGGAATAAAAATATATTGGTGAAATATAAGAGAATAAACTTTACCAAAGCACCTTTTTATATACCTACCATATACTTTTACATTCTTATTAATATCTTTTCAAGGAATATTTAAAGGTTTTTTCGTGTTCAGAACATCTAACGTAGACATTGCTCAAAATTTAAAAGCGAAAATAGGAAAATTGACTAATTAGATGAAAACATATCTGAAAAACAAAAGCTATAGCTGCAAATGTATTTTTGCTATAAACAAGGTGTAGTTATGCGTATTGAGTATTTGATCGTAATTGGCAACTGTATTTCTGATTCAAAGATAGAATTGTGGTTTACGAAAGCCGGACTGGTGTTAAATAATTAAGAAACTTTTACGGGGAGTTGTTTTGAATTTGCTGCAAGTAAGTGCACAACACAGCTAGAATATTCTGTGATTGTATATTGAATGACAATAAAAGCCATATTGTTCATAGCATGCGTTTTAAACAAAACTTTTCTTTCTATATGTTGAAGATGCCATTCTGACACTTGTCATGATGTATATAGCGATGCTGATACCGCCCCTATATATAATGGGAAATTAACCATTGTGATATGTTATCGCCTGCTCATACCTTGTAAAGTAATACCTATTAGAATAAGAAGCTGCCTTCCAGTCAGGCAGCAACATCGGCATAAAATTGGGCTGACGTACCCGCTACTTCACTCACTTACACCGTTGAAAGAAAAATTCAAATGAAGACATTTAGATCCTAAGACTGTGGGTCTACCCTTTTCTACTTAAAGGTCCTAAGACTTGCATAAGTGGACGATTCCTAACAAAATTGGAAAGGGAGGTATATGGAATGATTGAAATCTAGTAATATCTTAAAAATTAATTACAGCATTTACACCGCTGGCTAATGTAGAATTATCTTCTTCTTCCTTGTCGAGCAAGTGTTCCATTGACAATGTCTCACAATCTGTAGAACAGTATCTTGATGCCTTGATGCATTTATCTGCCAAGATTAGAGCAGCTATGATAACAATTAAAATCATAAAGCAGTGCCAAGCAAATGCTATTGGTACGAACATGGCAGCAGAGGCTGACTTCTCTGACCAACGCCTCGGTCCATAGAGCATAAACGTGATCTGATAAAACCATGTTCCTTGCAAAATGACCAGAAAGCAACGAGCGAGCCCAAGCATTCCAGAACTCAGCCATACTGATTCCAAGACAAATACAGCGCTAGTTGCGAAACACAACGAGTAAATGATACTGTGAGAATGTGAATCTAGTGCACTTCTACCATCCAGATGAAAACAAAACAACACCCCCTCGATGAAAAACGCAAATGCAATTGCAATATGGCCTAGTTTGGAAAACATTTTCCCATTCAATATTCGAGCTTCTTGCAGCACATCCACAGCGCCCGACAGACTGAAGAAAACGAACATTGTTGCGTGAGAAAAGTTATTTATACTCTCAGCTTCAAAATCACCTTTCGTGTCAAACAGCGTCCAATGCGCCCCAGTCAGTTCCATGAAAACTCCAACTAAGCCCATAACAACCTTGATCAATGGTTCCAGCAAGTGTCTGCAAAGCACAATACGGCTGCTGCTTACTCGCCGAACGCCATACCAAACCTTCGAGACATACGGTCTGGCTTCATCTAGTCGTACAGACTGTGCAATTCTGATGTCAAAGACGACATTGTACATCCACCAAAATCCGATGAGAATAAATATGGTACCAGGAACTAAGTGTCCGGTCACATGACCAAATAGAGTTTCGTCTAGATTTGCTGGATACTCGCTGAGCATTTCAGTAGCTTTATGCCAACGTTTCGCCTCAAAAAGCATGCAGCAAGAGCGAACGAGCAGCTTTGCACCTCGTGCTAAACTAATCAACAGCTTCCCTACTGGTGTATTATATGATGCGTCAGGAGCCTACTGCCCGGCAGCTGTCTTTGATTGTAAAGTGAATATGACCTTGCGGTGGTCTGATTGAAGATACCTGCTATTTACATCGAAACTATCAGAATACAATTCTGCAAATTCATTATCATCAAGCTAGTAGCAATTAACCATCCTAGTACAGACTGTCCTTTATATTGTCATGCAACAAGGCCTCAGGGATGATTCTTCAATCTTTCCAGTCCATCGCTAACATATACTGGAAACTACGTATACAAACCACGAAAAATGTGACAGCCATACTTATCAATTGTAAGGTTCTTTGTTATGTAAACATGTTGCATTGTCAATTCTTGCTTGGCTGACTGCCCTTCCAGTTCTCATCTTCAAAAAGTACTTTAGCAAGGCTTAAATAAGGCTTAACAAAGAAACCAACGACGTGAAAGGTTAGATCTTGGCAACCCGTAAACCTGAGCTTTCTTGGTCACAGAAAATCTAACTATTCTGATACCTGTCATGTTTACAGAAAAGATAAAGTAGAGGAAACGAAAAGCATGGAACCAGCCGTCATCAAAGATTTGAAAAGGGCTGTCTAAACTTCAATAAAAAGTTTCCTTTTACCTCGCTAATGATGGATTTTCGATGTTGCGAATGATTTAAGGTTGTGGTGGGGGAGGGGAGGGGGAGGAGAACTGCATGGCCAACTAAAGCTAAAAATGAAGGAGAAATAATTCACAATTACGAGCAAACGTTCTTGTTATTAGTTTGTATAGTTGCTCTTGCTTTCAATCTGTGTTAAAGGATTCAAGATTTCTTTGCATGTTCAGCGAATTCTTTCTTGGTGAAGGCAGATTTAGTAAGGAAAGGAGTAGCGGTGAATAATTCCATGTATACAAAGAACTTAAATCGTGCAATTGTTTTAATATTTCAGTGATCAAGAGCAGCTTTATGCTATATTTCCTATATACATCAAAACAATATGTAAAAAAATATTTTTAGAAAGGAAATGAAGAAGAAAATTGATTATTTTCTTCAACGTTTTCGCAATTAAATAATCTTATCGATTGAATAGGCTGATGATTCCTCGTTGCAAGAGTAAAACGCGTTTTCATAAAACAGAGTTTTCTATTAACAACCACTGCTTTTTGTGAAACAAAATTTCGTCACCATTACAATATCCATAGACAGAACACTGCATAACAAACACAATAAGTTGATTATGCAGTGCATAATCATAGCATAAATTGGATTTCGACCACATTGCCAATCAGAAATGGTCTATGAAATAAAAGAGCACATTTAGAATTAGAAATTTAATTAAACTGCCTGCTTCAAAACATCGCTGCAGGTTGTGAACGCGAATTTTTGAAAGACTGAATATAAGCGTCGACTGTCACGGGACTTGTTGATCCAAACAAAGCCAGGACTTATTGATCCAAACAAAACCGCACAAACACACTGATTTGCAGTGTTCAGCTTGCCTGATTGAATAGAAGAAAATTTGTCTAAAAACCCCCACAGACGCAACTCAATAGCACTTAAAATCCTGCAAAAATCTATTACAACCAACAGCATTTCTCTTGTTAAAATCAACAAGGAACCGACCCGACCAACATAGAAATATTTTCAAAAGACAACTTTGGTCAAAATCAGGATCACTAATAGTTCAACAAAACAGGAAAATTAAAAAACAGTGACGCTAGCATCTATTGGCATAAAGGGGCAAGTAAAGCAAATAAGTTGAGTGGTAGGTTTGGTTACATAAAGAGAATAAGTCCTTATAACAGTAGCGGGTAGGTTTCGCCCCAATCAGAAGAGCAATGCTTGAGGTATCATTAGACAGGATATTATGATCCTTAAGATACATTGCAATAATCTACACAAAACGTTCTACAATTATTACTTTGCTAAGTCTGTGAATGCTACATTTTCCCGGACTGACAGCTTTCAGTAACTTTGCAGGAAAGATTCCAAACCTACCATTAAGGGGTGTTCCACAAAAGTCCGTGCTAGGTCTTATACTGTTTACTCTACAAGTAAGCGATGACTATAGCGTCAGACTTTCCCTGGAATTTCGTCAGATTCAATTTGCAAATAGTAATCAATATAACGAAGCTGATACACCAGAAACAGTCTCATTTATTTAAGAGAACAGCCTTGAGCATTTTCACAGTAAAAATCTTTCAAAGGCCTGTTTTGGACAAGGAATGTACACTTCAAATTGGATTGGATGAATTTGACTCTCATTTAAACTTTATCATCTAGCTGTATTTTTCATCTTCCTTTATTGCAAAAATTGAACTATGTTATCTAATCTTATCTAGAACTCAAGGTGGACAGGTCTTTGCTTTTCTTTGTTGTACAGAACACATTTCTGCAAAAATAAATAATTTATAACATTTGACCTTTATTGTTTACTCTTTAGAAAAAACTAAACCGAAATGAACTGAAACGTGGGAACAGTATGACGTCACCGCTGGAACCATTAAATGTCGCTTTAATGGACCTTTAAAACAGAATAAAAGTAAGAAACAAGTCAGTTCTTGGAAAAGAAAGAGAAGAGAGTACCAAATATTTCTCACAACTTCAGTACTCTCAACACGTGATAATCGCGGAATACCGTGAAAAACTTTGAGTTCAAGGCATGTCAAATTGTAGATATTTTCTTTAGAGTATAAATTTTTTGCATTAAAATATACCTAGCTCCCGAAGATAGTTTTTAGTACACTGAGAAGCTATATTTAACGTGCAGTTTCATGGCCCTACTTCTCGATGTTCCGCACCTCGTGATTTCTATGCTGGAATGACAAGAAAGCGGCGATTATCCTCACTCTAAGTAAAAGTTTGGGCATTTAGAGACTCTTATTCCAGACCTTTGGCTCTGCAGTCCATGCCCTAATCACAGGGCTATAATGAATAATACCTAAAAAAATATATGGCTTCTTTAGCTTAAAATCCACATTGTCAAATTGTGCTAAATAGAAAAGGGAGGGGACTCATGTAATGCTGCATTACAAAGCTTTGGGGTCAAAAGTTGGAAAACACGACCTGGGATAAGAAGAAGAACTGGATGACCCAGCGTTTCAGGCTGGAGGCAACATAGGCTAAAACGTACGCACATCAAGATTTGAGATAGTCAAAATAGAAGGAAATTTTATCAGATTGTTTTGTCGGAAGAGCTTACTAGATATTTAAGGCTAACATCGCATACTACTACACAAGATATCCAGTCTAAATTTGTCTCGAAGGCAGATGCCGGATGGCAAAAAGCTAGCAGCCCGTAGGTAAAGATCGACCAAAACAATTTCAAAATATCTCTGAAAATTTTTGTCTTTCTTTAAATGAAATCAATGAACCAAAATACCATACCAGAGGCCTGGTATTTCTCTTTAAAACTGTCTATAAATGACAAAACAGATAAAAAGCTAAAAGAATAGACAAAGCTTCCACGAAACTTTTCAAATCTATTTATCCCAGATTGTTTAATCCAACTACCCTTAATTATGAAACAGAAGCATATGTTAAAGTTTAGAGGAAAAGCAGGTGGATGACACAGGATGACGCCATGAACACCAGGCGTTTAGTATTTGAAAGAGTTAGCCATTTCAGTAATGTCTTTCGACAAAGATTGATTCGCTTTGGTCGCGCGTCTGTGAGAGCGCACTGCCGCACATAAACACGTTGTACCTCGAAAGCCCATGCCCAACCTTTCGCAAAATAACTCAAGTCGGTTAAAAGCAACAGATCGCATAACTTTGAATTCGACAATTTACAATTTATTGGTCCACATTCGACAAACTCGTGCGTCCTATCAATTTTACAAGACTCTTATCGGAACGAATCTTAACAAGAAAATGCTTGAAACGCCGAAAAATTAGGCAGCTGATTGGAACATGAGAAAACCCGTGCTAACATCTACCTGAAAAAGCATATTCTCAAAACCAAGAAACCCTTTTATTCTCAGATAAATTTTCCGATCTAAAGCAAAGTATTGACAAAATAAATCTGTTGAGCTCTGCAATGATTCCTTCTATTAGATATCCAACAAAGTTTCACAAAAAGTTTTAAAAATAAAATTTTAGACGAGAATCACAATAAATATAAAATACTACCGTGTATTAATGTCTTATCACAAAACGCTAATATTGAATCACTGCCACGTTTTGAGGACATTTTCTACCAATCTTGTAGGATTTGATTACATTAATTGTGCAATCGCGTCAAAAAAAGCCAACCTAATATGAGCAGCGTCAAAAATGAGTCTAGTGTCAATTCAGCTTAAGATTGATAGCTAGCATTAGGTTCGAAAAATCGCAATGTTTTTTACTGTTGCTTTGTTTTGACTCAGCAGCTTGGCAGAAACACACATTTGCCGTCTCGTTATTTGGAGCACGTTTATCCAATGAATGTTTCTTCTAAATTTATCATAAAGATTTCACAATAATGAACCCAGTTCCCGTCATTAAATGACTTTTTGAACAACCTTCATACATCATATAAGACACTGGATTTCGATTAAAAAACTAAAAATAAGTATAGCTGCTTGTTAGCATTAATATTCATCATGATTAAACAAGCACTGTCCTATGATTTTATGAGTCTTTTTTACTCAATGCGCCGGACGCTAGGAGATATCAGCAAATTTCGCTTAGTCGTTTGGCTGCCATTTTACGACATCACGAGGCAAAATTAAGGGCAAATGCAAAACATTAAGTCTCCATCTAGAAATAATTTGAATTTCTTGCAAAAAGTATGATAATGTTGACAAAAAGTGATCAGTAAAAGAGTAAGAAAACCTGTTTGCTTTAATGTTTTAATGTTTGAGAAGGAAAACTTCACTGCAACTAACTTTAGAATTTCTTGCAAAAAGTATGATAATATTGACAAAAAGTGATCAGTAAAAGAGTAGAAAAAACTTGTTTGTTTTAATGTTTTAATGTTTGAGAAGGCAAACTTCACTGCAACTAACTTTAGGATTTCTTGCAAAAAGTATGATAATATTGACAAAAAGTGATCAGTAAAAGAGTAGAAAAAACTTGTTTGTTTTAATGTTTTAATGTTTGAGAAGGCAAACTTCACTGCAACTAACTTTAGGATTTCTTGCAAAAAGTTTGATAATATTGACAAAAAGTGATCAGTAAAAGAGTAAGAAAACCTGTTTGCTTTAAAGTTTTAATTTTTGAGAAGGCAAACTTCACTGCAACTAACTTTAGGATAACATATTATATGGAAAGGATAAGACTATAGTATTTATATATGTTCATTAGCTCTAAAGAGAACTTTGATCGTTTAAACCCTACAGACTCAATGGTTTTCAATACAAATTACTTCAAAGCTGCCGAACAAATAGCAGCAACAAACTTTGCAAGGCAAAAACAAGCAGAGCAGTATAAAAAATATACGCATGATGACGCCCATTAAAGAGAATACTTCAATGCGATTTTAACTCAACACAAAATTACGAAAATGTGACGCGATGCATAATGACGTGTCTTGTGTGAATTCAGCTTAAGAGCTTTATGAAATTTTTGCAGTTAACCGCGCCCTCGCCTTTAAAAACAGTACTGTAAATAACCAAACTAAACAGAGTATCCAGTTACTACCTCTTCCGTCTTGACTTACGAAATCAAGAAAAACGTTTTTCGAAATTTTCCAAACAAAGCCGTATCATCGAAATTGTTTTGGTAAACTTAAACATGCCTGGCAGTGTAAACAAAAGGAAACGTGTCAAAAACAAAATTCCTCGTGTGCCCCAAGAACAGAAACAGCTCGTATCTCTCCCTAGCATTTTGTAAATGGGATTATATATATCAGACATTTGTTACTAGGATTAGAAATATAACTGGAGCAAGACTAGAATCAATAGCTTCAAAAGATAAATGCATTTCGGGTTTCTTAAAATAAAAAAAAGAAATCACCACGGGACTCGTTTTGCGTTATCAGACGCACTCTTTATTGTAAGTTATTAATGCGAAAACTTACGTTCTTTTTAAAAAACTCTGGAATAGATTCTTTGATTTTCACCAGAGAGTGATTTAGATTTCTTTGTAGAAATAAATCAACACAAAATAAAATGCAACAAACCCTAGAGTGACGTCAGTTGGCCTTGGTGCATTTATTCGCTGTCGTTCTTCGATGGATCTCCTCATTGCCCTGATAATGGATGAGAAATATAAGACCAGTAGCATAGCATGCATATAAAAATCAAAGAATAACGCAACAATCTTTAAACACAACTGCAACTATGCTGGTTCTGAATGCATTAAATAGCTTGCCTTAAGTTTGGGTTATCATTTGCGCAATTGAAACTAAGGTATGTCTCAGGCAATTGCAGATGGGATCTAAAAGAGCTTTCAAGAAAGAGAAAAATCAAAACATCTTTATAAGCCATTTACAACAGTTTCCCAGTGAAATTCGAAGACAGACCTACTACTAAAATTTCCTATCAAAACCCAAAAAAATTCTTCCATCTGAAACATCCTTTAATCCATAAAGCAACATCCAAAACACATTTAGAAGCTATCTGAAGCAGATTGTCCGTGAAATTCGAAGAAAAACCTACTACTAAAATTTCCAGAGAAAGCATAGTTTCAGACCCATAAAAAACAGCCAGAATTTTCAAACAAACGTTATTCCAAAACATCCTTAAAATCTATTTATCTTCTTCTAAAATACCATTAATAGAAGTCATCTATAAGAATGTTGTAATAAAAACTTTTGAAAAGAAATTACTGCAACTAGACGTATACTATTTCAAACACACTTGTCGCCAATGCAATATCTCATATTTCCTTAGGCCGGTCCTTGAAATACTTCATGTATTACAAACTTATCAAAAAACATAACATCATATTTTCAAGCCATCTGATGGCAAAATACAAGTAAATCAAATGATGAAATACTGGATATCTTTACCCTACACCTGACTGGTATTCAAAATGATGTATCAAAAACAGGGAAAAATTTCCATGGAATAGGTAAGCAGCTTCTCACAAGATATAGAGAAATCCATTTGGAAAGAGCAATTAAAATGGGGGTATCTAGATTGGTAAACAAATAAAGAGAAAAAACTGAAGGCTTCAACTTACGATGAATATTTTTTACGAGAAATTCTCGCTTCCTTCTTCCTTTCCATTATGAGTTCATGATATGTAGGAAATGGTTTTCTATCGCATGTTAAGGATTGTCAACAAAACATAAAATAAGGACAAAAATCAGATAACGACAAAAATCAGATAAGGCTTCAATTATCATAGACAAAAATGGTAACCATTTTACAAAATAAAGTTGAAGGATACGGGAAATTTTCAATTTCCGTACGTGTAACCAGCTTATTTACTTGAGAAGGCTTTTCGCATTGAAGTCGATTAGCAGCAAGAAAATGCGAAATCAACGGGCTTTTGCCATGAAGATTGAACGAGACCCTCTGAAAACCTGGGCCTGGACCAGCCTGGTGGGACTGAATTACAAAACAATATCACCACAATTTCTTATACTCAATAAAGTATATGGATATTAATCAAAATTAGTTAATCAGTAGGCTTGTGAGTGATATCACGATCACTGATTGGTCAAATATGGATCTAATATCTACATTGTAATATGGATTATAATTTCTAATGAGGTATTTGGAAGACCTCGGTATAGTTTAATCAGCTGATTTGCTAGGTCAGCTATAGTTAAAGTGAGCAGAGGTATAATTTCTTGTAGGAAAGTCTACAAGACAACTTAAAATGGAATTTGTTTAAAAAGATTTCGGTCTTTTTTTAATTTTGAAGACTCAAGAAAGATTTGTCGTAAACATTCACGATCTCTTTATGGTACAATACTTGAGGACACTTTTCGAAATTTTACAAATGTTTTTCAAACTTCAATTATCTTTTATTGTAAATCTTAGCGTACATGTAAGAAAATTCCTCCTCTAATGTTCCAGTTCTAAATCTCACCGCACAACATTTACTAAAAGGAGATAGCAAGGAAGTAACAAAAGCCTATGTGTGAGTATATAGAGTGGGCATAAGAAAATTTACCTCCTTCACAGTGTACTTGGCTTTGGCCGGTGACGCAGAAGCAAAAGTGACTTGCCGTTCCATGTTTTGCTCGTGTTGGTCAAAGTCCAGAAAGTTTTCTTGATCGAATGATAAACTTGCTGCAAAAAGAAAGATTCTAACGATACAAAAAGCAAAAAGAGCAATGTATTTCTAAGTTTTCTCCGATGAAAACTTATTTATTTCATCTTATCTCTTAAGCATCTTCAAAGGCATTGATTTTTAAAAAAAGAATTGGAAACCAAAAAGAAAACCAAACTGGACATATAAGCTTAAAAGAATGATTTAAAACTCACATTTTAATTGATGGGCTCTATCGTCTTGCAATGATTTGATTTGATCATTTTCTAAAAGATCCAGATTCCAAGATTTCCAAGAGCCCGGCGGGGGCCTTATCCCTTGAAAAGAAAGTTTACCAAACGGAAGTGTAACAAAATTCTTCATACTTGATTTATAATGTGTGTCATTTTTTCATTTTCATTTTTCGCCAAAAACGATTAAAATTATAAAATATTAAAGACATTAAAAGCTACATCGACGGGAGAATGCTTATTTATAGCTTTATAAACAAATGTTAGGGCATTTAAATGTAGTATATCTTCAAACTTAACTAGTTTTAACGAATTAGATAAGGAAATTCATAGATTGTTGAAATTTCATAAATCTGAGGATTTTCTTTTTGAAAAGAAATGGTGGGGTGAAACAGTCGAATGTAAGACCTCAGACAATAATTCCATAATTCATAAAAGATAAAAAAAGTGAATTATACGGACATGAGTCGGTAAAGGAAACCAGTGCCTTAGTTTGAAGAAAAGTCCAGTGGTTCTAGGGAGTTTTTTGGAAAGTTCACATGTGTTGTATTTCTAGAAAAGGTGTTCGTCAACAAGGACACCTAGGAACTTAACATACTTAGTCCATTATATGTTTGTATTGCCAAACTTGAGAGGGATCAAATCATGTATTTTCTTCTCGGGCTAGTGGAACAGTACGAAGTTTGTTTTTTCAATGTTTGATGCAAGTTTGTTACAATCCAACCATTTTTTAACCATCTTACGTTCTTTATATGTTTGTATTGCCAAACTTGAGAGGGATCAAATCATGTATTTTCCTCTCGGGCTAGTGGAACAGTATGAAGTTGTTTTTTCAATATTTGATGCAAGTTTGTTACAATCCAACCATATTTTAACCATCTTAATTTCTTTATAGATTGCTTTTCTCAGCCTAGTAAGATCATCAGTTTCAAAGTAAATATTGGTACAAAAATGATACAAAAAGCCTTCAGAATAGTGTATTCGCTATAATAGTATATACCAGTTCCTTGACTTTTGCAGATACTCCTTATATGGTAATCTTACTTTGATAGCTGGTCACGTGCTATTCCTAGCAACTTTAACCTTCCAATTAGTTGATTATCTAGTTAATTGGATTCAAATACATATCTGTCAACATACAATTCTGACGTTAGAAACCTAAATTGTATGTCATATCTTATCAATACATATAGCAATTCGCATACCTTTATCGCAAACTTATAACGCATACCAGTAGCACATACCGCATAAGGTTTGATTATAAGGCACATACCTGTGAACCATTCTGATATCATATCTAAAAGGTCTTTTCGAAACTCGTCATTGAATAACTTAAATGACATTGGAAATGATGCGCAGAAAGCGGAGTATAGAGCTTGAGCCAAACAGTCAGAGAATTTCTGTTTGAAAGAAAAATTTGAAATAAACATTTATGGAAGCACATAATAAACTACCCTAACATTAGCACCAATACCGTAAATCCTCGAAATAGCCCTCTGGTAGCTAATTTATTTTTGATATTTTTGGATGGGGGCTTATTCAAGGGGGCTTATACCAGGGGGGGGCTTAAAAAATTATTGTAGACATTGAAAAGACACTATAAGAAGACCTCGTTTATTTCAGTAGGAATTTCTTTATGAGCATTTAATTAATTACTACCAAAAGTATGAATTTGTTGTGGTAACTCAATAAAACGCCATAGACAACCTTAGATGCCAAAATTCATCAAATGGAGGGGTCCAATTCGAGAATTTACGGAAGCAATAGGGGCTTATTCGAGGGGGGCTTATTGACAATTTGTAGTTCTAGGGTGCGGGCTTATTCGAAGGGGGGCCCTCTCGAGGGGGGGGGGCAATTCGAAGATTTACGGTAAGGCAATCTTTGAAGAACAAGGGGGGGGGAGAGAAATTTTCAACTTCTACTACGGGGACGCTTAACGGGTTTGATCTGGCAAAATCAAAGTAGGTACAAATAAAAATACACTTCAACTATTGAAAATTGTTTCGTTTATACTATGATCACAATAAACTAGCAGCATACGTTGCGATTTGTGTGTAACACAACAAGTGTCCCAAGACACGTGCTTTTCCAAAGGGCATTGCTTCATCCTTGGTTTAGGCTCGATTCATTTTCAGAGGAGGAAAAATCAGTAATATTGAATGAACTGAAAATTTGCATTGGAAATAAATGATTTCGTCGTTCAAGCTCGTCTCTGAAAAGCCCTAGATTCACATTATTTTGAACAAATTTGGAATTCTTGAAACGTGCTGAAATTTTTGCAAGTCGTTAGAACGTTTAATTAACGTAATATGTTATCATATATCTTATTTATAGAGAGGCTCTTGTATAGCGCGAGTGTCTATATACTAAATAACTCTGCTCATGAAATGCCATAATGGAAGAACAAAAATAGCCATGTTATCTAAACATAGATCTTTATTTTTTGCATTATTTAAAGAATTTCACAAAGAAAAAGTTGGCAAAATTATGCATGTAAACATTTTTGACAAAGCTGGTGCATTTAAACTGTTTCAAAGTTAAATCCAATCTAAAACTGATTTTCTGTCATGCAATTCCAAATGCTCTCTGTAATGCCAGGCATTGGAATCATGAGGTGCAGTCACATTGAGAGGAAGGACCAGGACACTGCTTGATAAGCATTCCTTCTCAGTGCCCTAAGGCAACCTTCGGTTAGCTACTAATGCAAATACAGAATTGTTTATCAGAAAGATGCTACTACTTACTACATATGTAGAAAATGATTGGTAATATGCAGATTAAACAGTCTAAAAAAACTCATTTGGGTGTTCATAGCCTCGAATCTCGAATCACCATGGCACAACATTGTTCCTTCACTTTTAAAGGAAGCTAATACACAACGAAAGCTCAAAGGCAAGCTGCTTTTAAGAGCATTGTGAATTAGATTTACGAATTTCGTCTGATATGAATATGCAGTAGCATGAATGTAACAGCAACTGGGTATCTAAAGATGGTACACTCTTTTGAAGGAAGTTGCAAGTAGATCATGCTACCAGTATTTATCATCATACAAAGCCAGAGAATTTCAAAAAAGCATGAGCAAAAATGTTTGCTCGATATCATTGATAAAGTCACATGTTGTTTACCATCTTTAAAGATAATCTATAACGTCGACCAAGAGATTTGATTAAAGGAAAATAATTGAGGTATAAGAAGATTATCAATCTTTAGATCATCCAAAAACACAAGCTTTGAAAAAATCACCTTCAGAACACGTTGAAGAAGCGCAATTTGAGAAAGTTTATTGATAAAAGGATGATACCTGAAAAAACAAGTCTTTTTCTGTTGTTGAAATTGCAAGAAATAAACCGACAAAACTATCAGCCAATCTGTTGAACAAAAGGGCTTGACTTTCAGCATCTGTCTATAAACAAAAGAAATGTGTTTTGCTACAAAAAATACAATTAATCCAAATCAACATTATTTCAAATATTGCAAGTCAAACATTTGTCATATGCTCCTACTTCGATGACAAGAACAATTTTGCAAAAAAAACACAATTCTCATTCTATAAATCCATGCTCCTATGATAAATCTTTTTGCTTATTCCAATCTGAAATTATGGAAAAGTTTAAGAATTTCAAATTATGTTGTTAGAAATTAACAATACTTTACATACTTGATATCGATCAAGAAACCACCACCAGAATGTGTCCTTAAGAAAAAATCATTGAAAATTGAATTATATCAATATATCTCGCAGTGGTTAATTTAGATATAAAAAGACATTTCCGTGTGTTATAACTTAACATGGCCAATAATTACATAACGTGAGAACTTGATCAACAGCATGCTTAATTCGTAAAATAAAGTCATAAAAAGAAGCAAGTTCATGAAAATTCTCCCATTAAGCTACATTCAAGAAACTGCTTTCCTTGTTAATGTGTAGAACTCTGGATTCCTGGGTATTCACACACAAGTCGAAAGATCAGTCAAAAACGTCAATATATGAAAGGTTTTATTCTAGGAAAACATAAGGCGGAAGTAAAATTTTCTCTTTTCTGCAAATTCAGCAGTTTAGCAGCCAACACTACGGGAACAGCTATTGTGAAAAATTTCTAAAAAAAATTTAAACAAGTTAGTTGGAAACCTTTAGGTGTGCCACAACTTTCGCGATAAGGTTTGTTTTTATCAATATAACGTCATACCATTCTCTACATTTTTTCAAGGTTTTCTTCGGTCAATCAATAGCTTAATATTATATTGATAATCAAAGAAGTTGTGCGTGTTGCACGTCGAAAATGAACAAGATTTGATACAACAAAAAACGACTTTGTACAAGAAATGAATATTTAGGTATGAATCTTAATGGTATATGTATGCGAGTCATAAGGAACAACCAACGAAACAAACGCAGTACATATTAAACAGATAAAAATCTGGAAGTAGACTGAGTGGATAAATTCACAGAAAGCAAGTATAATCTAAAATAGCATGGATAGTTTTAATAGCTTTACAAGAAATGGTTGTTTCAGCCTATGCGCAAACTAAACTGGTTTTTTCCAGAGATGAATTAAGTTGAATGGGAAACTCATTCAACTAAATTCATCTATGGAAAAACCAGTCGAGTCTGCGCGCAGGCTAGGTTGTTTTGGCTGTAGAGCTTGCTTTTGAAAATTTCAACTAAATATTTTGTAATCTAATTATAAAATAACCCAGTTTGTGAGGAGAGCTGTGGAGTGTAAGAAAGCAGCGCACAGCCATACTGAGAACTGTATAACTGAATAATTGATTCAAGCATCGTAATACCTACTTGAAAGATAGCAACAGTGGCATCCGAAAGAAAGTATTTTTTCCAAATTTTCTTGAAACTTCCCTAAAAAAAACTATGAGCTATTTATCCAGCAAACAGAATGAGAAAAATAAAGTTAAATGTCTTTGACACTTCCAATACTTTTTCACAACTTAAAATACTGATGAGCTATGGAGTTAACCTGTCAGCAATCGGTTCATCCTTGATGTGCCTTATAAACACGCCCTGGAGAAAGATAATCAGTTTAGCGTAGTTTAAGTTTTCAAAAATAGCTGCTTAATGACATTAAATAAACTGCTACTGCTACTGAAACAGACATATAATAATTATAAAATTATTCGAATAATAACAGCTCTCGAAGGTAAAATTCTTGAAGACAAATTTATTAAGCCTCTCTGCGTACGCTACGCTGCAAATTTCATTCGTTCGATTTCAAAATAACGCTTTTTACTTACATGAAAATTCTGTATATTTGTAACTCTGTTGAGTAGCTGAGGGGCCTCTAGCGAGCCAGGGAGAGGAGTTAATTCATTGAAGCGAAAGCCAGGAAACGATGTGTGCTAAAAAACAAGCAAATATAAAGACACAGCTTGCACATCCTATCAGCTGTCAATGAAAAAGGTTTCTTAAAATTTTCAAAAAGAGAAACTTGACGCTTTACACATGCACAGAAGCCCATACAAATATATCCTTAAAAGAAGTAACACAGACAACTTCAGACCTAGTTTAAAAGATAGGGCAAGCTTCTTAAATTTCTGGCTATTTATCAAAAAGTGGTTTGGAAGAATAAAGTTGTTTCCATTAGCGCGTAACTCATGTATGTGATGAGCTGCTGCAGAAACATTGAAGGAGAAAAGCGCGTAATCCTCACACATCACATTCACAAATTTATACACAATTACAAAAAGTACCAACAATTAGCAAGTTGTCAGAAAACAGTTAGAAAGGAAAACAGGAGGCTTCCAAGATTCATGAGAGGGAGCACAAATTGGCACTTTGCTTATCTCTGTACAACTATAAGCTTCTTATACTTCACCTTAAGACAGCAATTTCATAAAATGCAAGTAGAGTCAATTAATTTGTCTTCTAAATGCAGTTAGCTATGGATGAAACCGTACTTTTACACACTTACTTCTACTCCACGGTTCTTGGATCCAATGAAAACCTCAGACTAAGACAGAAGAAAGACAAACTGGTTAAAGGAGGCAACAAGAATTCAGATGATAAACCAGTTTCAGCAACGATTAGCTACAACGTCTGAAGTATTGAGCTTTACATAACTACAATACTTCATGTTTGTTATGTTGTTTGTTTTTAAAGAAATGTCTCAGGCTAAGATAAGTGTGATTTGAGGAAACAAGAAAAAATCTGCAAAACAGGTGGGTAGGTCGTATTTTCTGAAATTTTTTCTTGACACCCTTTTCTTCTGTTAAAACATTAGACAATTGCGGTTTCTAACTATTATTCTGACATAACATTAACAATCACCTGCTTTGTTTGCCAAGATGGTAATGACTTTGCATGCATTGTCTCACAATATGTTTCTAGAAGTGTAATAATTCAGTAAGCAAGAAATTCTAATGAATAACCTCAATATCTATTCTGCAAATTGTTATTGTAGTGTCCATATGCATACATTTCTACAAGATCTATTGCATACTAGCATGCAGCAATTTTGCATCTGTTTGACTTCAATAATACTAGGTTTAAGAAATCAATACTAATTAGGCAAATTCGCATCTGCTTAACTTTCACAATACAATGTTTTCGGTAGAATGGGTGACACCTGAAAATCTTTCTTCCATAGTACTGTCACAAGATGTTTCTATTTAATGTAAAATAATTGTCTTATATACACGATTAGTATATAATAGAAAAAAGCAACACCATCTAAAATGATGAACCATTAAATTATAATCCACAAACAATGATAGGCATTTAAATGTTTTTGGTAGCTTTTTCAATCCTTCTTTTGATTTTAAGCATAAAAGAAATGGTAAACTGGATTGACAGCCAGTTTAATTTGTTTACTTTGCAAATGGATGTTGTGCAAGTAGAGCCATGACTACAAGTTCCAGAACACAATGCATGCAATGGATGATGTGACATCATTAGGAATACGGCACATTATACATTGTTATTTTAATAATTTTCCACAATAATCCATACTTTACCATTAAATCTATAAACATACTGAAAGAAAATGCCAGTGCCTGAAAGAATCAGGGACAGACTGAAACCTATAACCACCAACACTGTCTTAATTGTTCCACTAGCTAGATGTGCCACCTACTCACATTCTCCCTGAATAGGTTTTCCATTCTGCACTCACTTAGATCTATAAATCTTAGCTTCAGCTTTCAAGGTCTTCCTGAGGTACAAAAATTGAGTATTGAAGGGAGCTATCGTTAACATTTTAGATTAAGGCTCTACCAAATGCAAGTTTAAGCATTTCATTTTTCAGGTACTAACCTGTATCGTTATCTCATGGAAGCACAGACATAAGGAGCATTTAAAAAGTATGGGTACATGTGGCAAAAAATGGGTACATTTTCCGGTCTTGGAAAAGCTTGAGGGTATGTACCCCCATTGCCACCACCTAATTCTTATCTTTATGCATTAAAAACTTTTAGATTTGTTGGTTTTTCAACTAAAAAAGAATTGAGAACCTGTTTGATAGCATTTGGTCACCAACTGAAAAGATGTGTTTAGTATGTATCAGAATTACAAAAAAGCTTATTTTACCTTCTTCATCATCCTTGATTGATTCTTCTACACTGCTATTTTCTTTATTTTCCAGGACTTGGCTTGCATACTTGTAAACACTATTTTCCAACATTTTTACTTTTTCAAGCAAGGTGTCAAGAACATTGATGTCAAATGCTAATGCAATGTTAAGGACAAACGTTTCTCAAAAAATAAGTTAGTCATAGTTGAAGCCAAACTGTTAAATTAATCACTGAAATGATATCTGGTCAATAATTAAAAAACATTTACCATGACTTTTCATGGCTTGTTATATTTCTTTTTATAGCCATCTTCAAAGTGTATCAGAGTTTCAATGTCAAATTGCAATGGAAATTTAACATGAAATATTTTATTAAAGTTGTTAAGTAAAGTTATTAAGTAACATATTTGTCTTCTTTCAGAATTAAGTGGTAATTAGCATAAGCAAGCAAGGAAAAATCTATGTTGCATCAAATGGTAAACAATAGCCTTTTTGCAAACAGATATTAATCTACTGGATCTAACTTGCTGGTTCATCAAAAGTTAATAAAACATTAAAGGTAATGTGTCCATATAAAAGGACTGCGTATACCCAACTTGTCAAGCCACCCATCAAAATAACGGCTTGTGATTGGTTAGTATTCTTACGATGCAAAACTGTTCACATGAAAAGCTAACCTCGCAGCAGGATAAATAAACAGAACGACCATAATGACTGGGGCAATGACATGAAAAATCACATGTTTCTAAAAACCCCTGCAGAGTTGCTTGCTATAGCTGGACACATTACCTTTAAAAAATATCAATGTCTGTAGGTAGAACAACTTGAAATACAAAAGGAAATGATACAAGCATGTGTTTTCAGGTCTTCCATTAGCTTATCTTTGGTTTTGATTTGATGGTTGGTGTTTGAAATATCTAGCTCCTCTTCTGATGCTAATGGTATTGGCCAAGTTCTAAGGTTCTCTCTTTCAAACCATTCATCAGCTGTTTTAACAGGAAGGTTTGGTCTTTCATTTTCTCTACTCTTTCTACTCAGCCTTTTTCTATCATTTAATCCATACATCATTACCTAAATAAGACAGAAAAATTAACCAACAACAATTGAAATTGGTTTGAATTTTCCACAGATTTTGGATATGACATTGCTTATCTCTGCTGTCTACACCAAAGCCATATATTTTGATATTGCAAAGATGATTGGTGATCTTCAAACAATCTGATCAACTCACAACTAATAATTTTGAATTTTCTATACACAAGATGGAATTTCTAATATGAAGATAGGTCAATCTGGAAGCCCAAGAGTTGTAGGCTGCAACATCTTTCAGCCAAATACAAAAAGCACAGAACTTTGAAGAACTAGCCAAAACCAGGTAATATGATGTAAATTTATTCAAAAGCAGCTAAAAGCAGCAAAAAGAAAGCTGAAAGGCTAAAATACACAATCAGTTTAAACTGTCAGTTTTCACTGATGGCAAAAAAACTGGTCATGTAAACTGCTAAAAACTGATGCTGATATTGGATATGTTTAGCTTTACATTAAAAACGGAATGTCAATCATCCTTTGAAAACGATGTGTGCATCAATTCCTTCTTCGTACTCTTATCAATTATTGCATCATGTACCAACTTCATGTAGAGAAGTCTATTTTTCAAAAAGAAATGGCTGACAAAGCGTCATCAAGCAAACAGAATTTTTTATCAGCGTATGGGAGGAAGAACCAAGTTTGTGGGGTGTTACAAGTAGTTTATCCAAAGATCTTGATGCAAAATACTCTCTATACTCTTGCTCCACTTCAAGATAAAGTTCATTAAACAAACAAGCATAGGCACCTAACTGTGCTTGTTTTTGAAGCCAATGTTTAACCAATAAAGATCTTCCTTCTGTTTCTAAATTTTTCCTTTTACATTTTGAAACCTATGACTAAAGCCACAGCAGCACCTTCTATATCACTGATCATCGTGAAAATGAAGGAAAATAATACTAGGTCATCAGCTTTGTCTGATCAAGGGGTAGATCGATCAATCAAAACTAATGAAAAAAACCTGTGAGGTGAAACTGATCAGTTCAGACTACTTCAGCCTTAAGGTAATCAAAAGTGGTATGTTATGGAGCAAAGCAAAATTTCCAAATAGCTTAAATTGTCACGGTCCAAATTATGAACCTAAATTTTTTTTCTTAGCAGACATTCTAACAATTTCTAATTGGATACTTTACAGGTTTCAAACACTCAGATACATAAATAGGAATTCTAGCCTAATAATTCCACATTCCTGCCCATTCGATCTGCACTTCAACATATAGCATGTTTTTAATGCATTTCCTAGTGAAGAAGGCAATGAAACTGAGTGAAAACTTTTTGCCTTCAAAAAAAGGTTTTTCAAAAAACAGAAAATTTTAAAATTCAACCAACGTTGAAAAACTACAAATATGCTAATATTTTGAAAGAGTCGCTCTCCAAAAGTGTCCAATCTTATGACCTTTTGTATAACCAGCAATTATGTAAACAAAATTGTTTGCTATATAAACTGTAAAATTACTTTTTTAGTATAAATTAGTATTACTTAATTAGTATAAAATGAATTTGAATAAAATTGAAACGGAGGAGAAAAACAAGAACTTCATCCTCATCCGGTCTGGATTTCATGGCAGTTTTCGATGAAATCTCAGGAGTGCACAAGCTATTACCTGGAAGTGCAAGCAGGGACACCGAAGGAGGGGGGCATGAAGGGGCAGTGCCCTTTTTAAGAAAATAACAATTTAAATATAGCCATTTTGTATTTAAAGATTTAACGTTAACCACAATTCCAAACGGCTCTTATGACAAACATGACAATATATATGATAACGGCAGACAATAAAACACAAAAAAAGGTTTACCCTTACTGGAATTGAGCCACTGAATTAAGCCGGCTGCTATTTTACTGATTCTTGGCCCAAAAAAAGGTCCTGTGCAAGAATCATGATGGAATTGCCTCTCTCTGGCTTGTTGCCATGGGTGACAGAATAATGAAATTATTCAGCATCTTTAACGAAATTAATCTTCACATGATAAAAAAGTGTCGCAAAATTCCATTTTTTGGAAAAGTTTACCTTTAGCTCCCTCCTCAGTGCCCATGGTTAACAGACGGGGACAGAAACATCTGTTAAGAGGGGCCCGTTAATGACCTTTTAAAAGTTTACAAACATTCCATATTGTATATTATTTACTCAATGCAATCCATGAATGTTGAAATCCTTATCATTAAAACATACGTATGTATTCGCAATATACTGTATTATATATTTTGCAATCTGATGAGCGTTAATACTTTCTCAATAAAATAAATTAGTACTCTCGTCTTGCTTTTTTGAAGAATCTTGAAAATTCTTAAAAAAGCACAAAAATAGATAAAAAATCAAACTGCCAATAAAAGTCTTGCCTAGAATTTCTTTATTGTTTCTTAAATTTAACCATTTTTGCACCTCAATATTCTTATAATATGTTGTTCACGTGACGCCGGCTCCAGCTTCCACGCCCACCAGTTTTGATGATAAATCGGTGACGTCATGAGGTACTGTGGAGGAGCCGGAGAGTTCTCGTAATTCCTTCGCCATAGTCGGGACCGAGCCTCCTACAAAATATCAGTTGACGAAGAAAGGATTGGCACATTGTCTGAAAGAGATGGCCGATGAAGATGCTAACCCGTTCGCAAGCCCTTCTGAGGTGAATCCGTTTGCTGTAAGTATTCAAGACATGTCAGCAGATGCTGGTTTTAATTTTTTTCCATTCCTGATATACACCTGCCTTTTAGGGCTGTGATCGACTGGCCTAAATGCAAATGGAAATATCATAGAAAGAGCAAACTTTCATTTTTCTGATGCAAGTATTATAGAAGAATATAACTTTGATTGAAAGATTTGAAATTTTTGTACAGCATGACTAATTTGTTGTATGCTAGTAGGTTTAACAATGTACGTAGTCTTTGTAGAACTGGGTTTTGAAGATTGAGGAAAGGTTTTATTTTAAATATTTAGATTTTTGATATGACAGGTTTCCTTAAGAATCAGCATTATTTTGAATTTCCTGTTTGTAGCTATTCAGAATGAATACGAAATGAAATGGAATTAATCACAGAAGTAAGCTGACTGAAAGAAATTGCAATCTGGACGAGTTTATGGCATTTCAAAATGTCTTTACTGTTGTTGAACTGTCATTTAAAACTTTTCCAACAAGAGCCACTAAAAAAATGCAAGCACATTTTTTTCCAAGTTATTTTAATTGCATTTATTAAAATTGCAATTGGCAACAGACACGGTTTAACTGACTTGTAAGATCTTAACTTACAGGAAGGATGCTAAAGAATATTTTTCTTTAGAATGGAAAGATTAATTATTGAAAAATCTATTTTGCTGTAATATTTCAAATATTTGCTTGATATGATTTTTGTTGTATTTTTAAGGATCCTTCTGTGAAGTCAGCGACCGGAGGACCTTCAAAAAATCTAGGTGATTACAACCCATTTGCTGAGCAAGCTTCCAGACCACAAACAACCACAGCCCAAACTCCGGTAAGCCCTTTTCCCAATATTCAGTTATTGCTTTATGTTATATGACACTGTTACAAGAAAATTGCAAAGAAGCTAGTTATTAGAGGCATATATAGAAAATAAATACTCTACTCAAGGTACCGAGATCTTCGAAGAATGGTTGATGCCCTTTGTAACACCTGTACAGAATGGCATTGAATGCAAGAAAGACTGAAGTCATGGTTGAGAGAAATAACATCAACATCAAGGCAAATGGGATACAACTGGAAGTAGTAAAAGAATACAAATATCATGGACAGTGGGTAACAAACGATGGTAGATGTATTGAAGAAATTAAACATCAGGATGGGCTGAGTGAAAAGCAAATTTTGGGATCTGAAAGAGCTGTTGAGTGAAGTCCTAAAATTAGAAATAAAGAAAACTTTTTAATACTTATATATTTTCAATCGCTGGTTACAGAGCAGAAATGGATGTATAGCAAAGAAACTTTGAGCAAAATTACTGCATTCGAATTCTGGTGTTAATGCAGAATCCTGAAAGTCATCTGGAAAGACCATGTAATGAATGCTACCATTCAAAAGTGAATAGGTTATCAAAGGAATTTAGCAAACAGATTAGTTAGAAGGAAAATGAGATATGTTGGTCACACAGGAGGGTCAAGTGGGAAGATGGCAAACTTGATGCTGGAGGGGTACATTGGGGGAAAGAGAGAAAGAGGATCGTAACAAAGAACTTAGGCTGATGATATTAAGCAATGGACAACATCTACCAGTTTAGCAGAAGTAGAAAGAAGGACTGAGGACTTAAGTTTGTGGAGAAATCTTGTTGTCAACCTTAAGATTGATGATGACACTTGATGATGATGATATAAATAAATATAAATACATTGAGGCCTTTCCTTATAATCAGGTACTTGTCTTGGCCCTTGACTGGAAACTTTGTTTCTTGAGCAGTCACGTTCACTTTGAAATTTTGAAGACTGCTGGCCTGAAATAATGCACAATTAAAATTTATAGGGGTGAGTAATGTTAAATGTTATTACCTAGGTATTTTTCAAGGCCAAAATGCAAAAAAGGCAGATGTGTGTGCTGGCAATAAATTGCAGGTGTGCAGCAAAGGTTCTAGTCTGGTCTTAGCCCAGCCAGCACCATCTAAGAATCATTTTCAGGAGCCTTCTCGGATCAAGGGTAACCTTCAACCAAAATGTGTCCCGTCTGCAAAAAACATAACATCAATAGAGAGAGACAGTTTTACTCTTTTTTATCTCTTTTACATGAAAAAGATGTTTTTTGTGTGCAACTTTTTGATAGATTATTGCTATTTCATAGCGGTTTTCAATTCCATTGGATTTTAGACCAAGCAATTTGAATGCTGTCCAAGAACAGGCTAATTTCAAGCACAAAGTGTTTAAGTTGAGAAAAAAATAACTTTCAGTGCAGAGAAAATAATTCTACAAAAGTCAAGAGTAAATCAATTATGGTTTTATTGGCAAATTTAATATGGCTCTTTAGCAAGACATACCTTTTGCTCTGATAAAGCCCCATATGCTGGGGCAAAATATTAGCCATATATAACTAAGTTATGTATGTTTGTTGTTGTACATTCTCGTCCTGTTGTGGTGTTCCTTCTTTACTACCATGTTATCAATTTTTCGCCACAAGTATTCCTCCGGAATCCATCAAGCAGCCTGCTATCGTGGCCTCTTCTTTATTCACACATACCTCAGTTTGTTGCAATGTCTCCCTTGAGGAAAAATAATCTGCTTAGGGGTTGAGGTTAACAAGAGTGATCAACTGCACATTTACGCAGTTTTATATTTCACATAATATTTATAAAGACTTTATAATTTTTACCTTGGCTAATTACAATTTTGAATGTATGGACAGTCAGTTGTCCTGCATTGTTTATCTAAAGCAACAAATATATAATATTTTAAGTCTACTATTTCACATTTTGATTATCTCTCTCCAGCCACTATCTTAATCAGCCACTTAAAATTTGACTGAGCTGCAGGTTCACTGATGCAAAATTGATTTATTTAATTTGAATTGTAATTGAATGCCTAATCTAAAAGACACTTGAAATGTTGTATAAACTAAATTCTTTAGCAAACTGAAATATATGAGGTAGATTTATTTTAGCTATCCAGTTTTTTTCTTAGCCGGCTTCAACAGCAGCCTACATACAGCCTGCAACAATTGAACCTACTAAAGCTGAGGCACCTCCATCTTATACTCCCTATTCTATACAGAGTCAAGTAAGTTGCATTAAATGTTATTGCATGAAATATTCAACATAATCCCCAAGTCTTCCCGTTAAAAAGGGAAGGTATTTTTGTCAACAAAACGTTCAGCCTACTGAGGTTCAAGGATCAAAACAAAAATAGTTTGACTGGTTGTAAAACTATGGGGTATTTTGGCAGAAAGAGAAATGTCTTATATTTCAATATTTGTAGACCTAATGATGTCTACCAAGTGGTTGTTTACAAAATTCATTAAATGGGATAAACTCATGCTTCGTTTCATGATAACATTTTTGGAAATGACATCAGCTGGGTCTAGGAGTGCAGAGTATTATGCAGCAACCAGATTTGGCTTCAGATTCTGCAATGTGAGGGAAGCATATCCCTGACATTCATCCAACAAACCAGGAAAAGTGTGACTTTAAAAGACATTTCGGGCAAGCATACGCTAGGAGTCCTACCAAGGTAAAGATGATAATGTCTGACAGGAAAATCACAGGAAGAAGTATAACATCCCATAGTAAAACTTCTGAGAAAAAAGACAGTTTAGTCCAAGGATAGAAACATCTGAAAATACCCAAATTGCCAGGGAAAATACATTTTCTGCCCAACATAGCTCTTATCAATTAGACACCCCTATTCTGAATGCTATCTTTATTTCTTAACATAGCCCTGCAAGTGCAATTCTCTTTTCTTGAGCCTTTATGAATGGAATTTGAGTTAGCTGACTTAATAATTAATTTTTTGAATTATTTTACTTGTAGAGTGATCAAGAGGCCATTCGACGTCGACAGGAGGTAGATACAAAACTGTCATATTCTAGTTTGTTAAGCTCTGGTCAAACGATCCAATGTTTCACCCAAAATTTTGCCAAACATTTTTTTTTATGTTGGAAAGTGATCCAACGTTGGTGGTCAAACGATCCAACATTTCACCCAACATTTCGCCCAACATTTTCTCGCACAGATCAAAAAGGGACTGGGTAGGAGGTAACATTGATGTTGCCTAACAAAAGTAGGCAGACCACTATGCATAACTATAACTATGCGCCACATCACAATCCAAGAAAATAAAAGGCAATTGTCGCCATAGCTATACAGTAGAATCACGTTAAAACAGACTCGGTTATTACATACTTTTGGATATAACATACTGGTATGCTTGGTCCCAGGAAAAGATGTGCTTGGTCCCGACAAAAGGTGTGCTTGGTTTTCACTTACCCTCATTACAACATACTTTGGATATAACATATTTAATACGCTGGTCCCTTAAACTATGTTATAACCGGATTATACTGTATCAATCTCACTATTCTCATTGTCATCCTGGTCATCCAGGGCGAGAGTCCCCCCCCCCCCCCCTTAAAGCCTCTAGCCTAAAATCATTTCCCTGAACTTTCCTGTAGCTCCTATGTGCTGCAGGCTCTTCATTTATGCTTGATGCTTGAATATTGCCTTATCTTGCGCACAAAAATTTGTTATCTTTCAACATCTTGTTGATAATTTAAATGTTATCAATGGTGAGCAAAAGCAAGAGTCGAAGCGAGAGTTGAGACGACCGAAATCAACCCGAGAAGTCAACAACAATGCAATGATTGAAGTTTGGCGGTCTTCAACCAACTGCACGTGCGAAGAGCCAACAATATTGGCTGAGGTGGTCAAACCAACCAACATTTCACCTAAAACCTCAATAGAATATATTTATTACTAAATATTAATAGATAATATAAACTTTGTATTCAAATTATAATATATGATAAAATGTGAAATCTCATTAATCCTTGAACTGACCAGCGCATAAAAACCCCTCAAATTAGTCCGCTCCATGGAAGTAAAGATTTACAATAAACCTCCACCCTAACATCCAGTTTTCACAATAAGGAAAAACTAAATTAAGATTCTCAAAGTTTTTGTTGTGAAAAGGAATTTAGAGAATGCTTCATTTCCATAACTGCATAAATAAAAATGCATAAATCAAAACAATAGAATTGTTGGATGTCGGCAGCCAACATTATTGACCACAGTCAAATTTTGCCCAACATCCAAATTTACGATGTTGGGTGACCCAACAAGGTGGTCAAACCATCCAACATTTCACCCAACACCATCTTGGGCGAAATGTTAGGTGTAATATTGGGTGAAATGTTATATTGTTTGACTAGGGCTTTAGTTCATACTTCTAGCTTAGCTTGCCATTTATCTAATTCTTGAATTAGCCCCCTGAGGCTAATAAACCTTTTGAAGGGGTTGATTGGAAAGGTTGCTGACTTTGCTTATATGAATAACCTGAGCTTATTAAAATTTTCATCATGTTAAAGCTTGTTTTCAAAGCCTTTTCCATTTTTATTTATGCAGTATGGAAATGAAGCATTCTCTAAATTCCTTTTCACAACAACAACTTTGAGAATCTTAATTTAGTTTTTCCTTATTGTGAAAACTGGATGTTAGGATGGAGGTTTATTGTAAATCTTTACTTCCATGGAGCGGACTAATTTGAGGGGTTTTTATGCGCTGGTCAGTTCAAGGATTAATGAGATTTCACATTTTATTATATATTATAATTTGAATACAAAGTTTATATTATCTATTAATATTTAGTAATAAATATATTCACAAAAACTATCAATACTTCACCACCTTACAGCAAACGACATGCAACAAAACCATTTAACTTTATATGTCTTATAATTGTCTAGTTAGTTGCTAATTATGAAATGAATATTTTCTGAAATCCCGTTAAATGCTACAACAAAATTTTCATTAATTTATTTTCTTGATAGAAGGTTATTCATCTTTATATCTGTATTCTAGGAACTAGAAAGGAAAGATGCTGAGCTAACAAAAAAAGAAAACGAGTTAAGGGTGCTGCAACAGCAAGGTAACATTTGTCACTCAAATCTTTCACTGATGTAATTGCTTTGACACAAGTGGATTCATATCAGATTATTATTCAAACATTTAAATTTCAAATTGACAAAAACTGACTTAAAAGTTTTATCGTTCTACCAATATGTCAGAAATAAAAAATAGGCAAGAATTTCTTCAAATTGCTGAATTGTTGGCTGCTTATTGGCCGGCTCAACAGCAACAGTTTCAAGCAGATGCACTGACAGGATCTTGCATGCTCTTGCAAGCTTCAATGGCGACCTTTGAAAGTATTTGAAGAGGTTATCCTGGTCTTATAATTGTAAACATTGCTCTCACCGAAAGATGGAATTCCCCCTTCTGAAGGAGTCCTGAATAAATTTTTCTAATCCAGTATCACTTTTTGCTGTTTTGCTTGTTTTTTTGATGAATTTAGAATTTTGAGCTTTCTGATAAGAGCACTATTCGGACAGTTGCTATATTCTTTAATGATATTCGCAGCAAATTCCTATAAAGTTTTCTGGCAGTATAAATTTAGCTTCAAATTCGAGATAAAAATTGGCAGATAAAAAAGACTTTGGCAAGAATTCACTTCGAGCAAAAAACTTGTCTCGTGTAAATCAGGTTTTATACCTAGATTTTGTAAGAAATTTTAAAGAGTACTATCTATTTGTAAAGGTTGATTAACCGCACATGAAATCATTTTTCACATACTTCAATGTACAGGAAAAATTTTAAGTGGTGTTATGACTACTGATTTTACACATTGGTTGGTCCAAGTTACCCCATTTTCGGAAAAAATGGCACTGGTGTCAATAAGCAGCAAGTTTGTGAAAAAACAATCAAAATTTTCATTTTTTAGTTAATTCTTTGAAAATTCATGTAATTCTCATCCATATTCCATCAGAATTATTCATTTGCCAAAAACATGATGCCCTGCAAGTTACCCATTTTGAACATGTAAAACATACAATTCTTTTTCAAACCTAGTTACAGGTCCAAGTAAAACATACAATTCTTTTTCAAACCTAGTTACAGGTCCAAGTTACCCAGCTGGTCCAATTAACACCAGATTGCGGTGCCCATCAGATTCTATCCAGCAACCATACAATATTGAAATTTAACACAATCCTAACTTGGGAAGGAGAAACAACTTTGTGAATCATTTTGTTTATGATTTTTTCAAATTGTGTTCAATATTAAATATACCATGCGTTAAATATACCAACTGATACCAAAAAGTTGTGAAACATTTTTGTTTATATATATTTATTGAATATGTCTTGAAAAGGCTATGTTTTACAAATTTTATTCATCATGAGTAGGAAAAAAATCAATATACTGTGTAATGCAAAGTAGTGAAACTTACCCAGGCCATGTTTGGTTTGTTTTTGTGGTCCCTAACTTGAAGCTTAATATTTTCAATGAAGCCCTGTTATAACACTGAATATCGCTTAACATTTGTGAAGTGCAAATGTTAAGGGCATTTCAACACACTGTTCAGTGATTTTCAATGATGTTGACTGATGTTTGGGATGTTGTGTTAAGTTTGAACAAGTCCAGCATTTCCATTGTCTAATCAGCATTTTCATTGTCCAAGGTGTTGTTTAGAGATGTTAAGAAGTACTGTTGACAGGGAAGAGAGAAAACAAAAAATCTAAGGACAGAACTGCTGCTACTTTTGAACCAAGAGACAGAAGTTCATTGTTCAACAAATGTTTGAGTCTAATTGTTGAGAGCGTTTTAACACCCACACTCAACATCACTAAACATAGCAGTAAAATGTTGAGGGATGTTCAGTAAAATGTTGAGAGTGTTTTAATGGGGCTTAACCTAGTTTATCTCTCTCTAGTATTTCTCCTTTTCTTCCAGTGATTCGAGAGAACAATTTTCCACCTCTACCAAAGAAGTTTTGCCCAAATCCATGTTTCTATCACGATATTAGTGTTGACATACCAATTGAATTCCAAAAGACCTGCAGAATGGTCTTCTATGTGTGGCAATGTAGGTATTCTTTGACTGATGATATAATATATTGTAATGTGATGAAGCAAGTTTGCTTTATATGGGTTAACAAATCTACAATATAATTCTGTGTAATTGTCTTAGTGCTTGATTATTTTGTTGCTAGAAAACGTGGTCGTATTTCAATTTCGTTAGCAATGTTAGGTAAGCATGATAGTATTTCAGTGATGATCTTAGAGCATGCTGTAGATTATGCTTGATTGATGTATATAGATTAATAATTTTTTGTGAAGCTAATAGATGTACTATGTGATAAGATCTATACATAGTTGTTTTCTACTAACAATAAATTGAGCTTTGTGATCAATATAATTTCCTATGAACCATCTTTGGTTAATTATCACTTTGCTCAAATGTAAAACAATATTCTTTTAGTATATAGCTTCGCGCTGCTATACAATTGCATTTGCTCACTGGCTTTACTGATTGTTGGTGGAGACAATGGAGCTGAAACATTTGGCGTTTCACTGCTGTATTTAGTCCTCTTTGTGCCTTGTTCTTTTATTTTCTGGTATAGAGCGCTCTACAAGGCATTCAAGTGAGTTACCATAACAATATGTTATAGACATTTCTATTTTATAGTTTTTAAGATAATATAGGGTTCTATTTTTGGACTTTCCTAGTTAAGCAATTCTCATATAACCAAATTGCTATAGGTTTTTTGCTGTTTTGCAAGTATACCATCGATATGGCTGTTTGTCAGACCAACATGTCTAAGCATGAAGTTTTTTAAGTCTTTTATTTTTGTAATTTTGTAGAAAGAGATGATAAATCTAATAAAGGTTGTGCTTTATATGTGTATCATTCTTGTTAGAATCGTGGTGTTTAGTTAGGACAGGAATGACCTATCCAATCCATAGCTCTTGGTCATGGTTGGTTTAATGTTGTACGATTTAGATTAAAAATTTAGATTAAAGATCAAGGGAAGGTAAAGAACCGCCTGTTTGTCTCCTTAAAATTGTTGCATTTGATGTTGTGAAACTTACCTTGTAATAACCAATTACCAAACAATGTTATACACAAAAGGATTGGTTTTGATTTTTAAAACTTCTGTTGATTATACAAGCGGTCCTAAGGAGTGGTACTTGGGAAGAATTGTCTTTATTTCTGTGCTATGAGCTATGAGCAGTAAAAGTTATTAACCTGATACTATGCATCTTTTTTTAGGAATGACAGCTCATTCAACTACATGCTATTTTTCTTTGTGTTCTTCTTCCAAATTCTATGTTCAATTCTCTATGCTCTTGGTATACCTGCATTTGGCACATGGTAAATACATATTTCTACACAATATGATAAGAATAATATATAGAAGAGTAATAATATGATAAAGATCCTGTTTCTTATCATGGTCTTATCATTAGGTGTTGGCCAATACTGGAGAATGAAAATGATTTATTTGTCAATTCATTTATTGATCAATGTTACTTGTAGCATTGGAAGTCTTCAAATGTGGTAACAATCTTTGACAAAAAATGGGGTAAAATTTACACATAGGCAAGGGTTCTCTTTTGCAAGAATTATCTTTTGCAACAATTATTGGGATAACTTTTGATACTTCTTGCTAAAAATTTATCCATAAGGTTATTTTGTTATTTTCAAGTATATATATACCAAATGAAATCAAAATTACCACCAAAATATACCATCATTTCTGTGTCTTGTCTGCTTTATTTGTCTGAATTATGTTGCTTGACTTTGCAATAGTGTTCATTGATTGTATTTTCAATATTTTGGTTTTATAACTTTGATTCTGTTTCAGCTCAGTTTAAAAAACACCAACATTTCTTTTTTAGTGGATGGATTAATGCTGGCAAGACTTTTGACAAGTCTAACAAGGGAATTGCAGCCATGATGTTTGTTAGTGGGGCACTGTTTACTGTTCTAGCCATCTTGAAAATCATTCTTCTGAAGAAAGTGGGTACCAGTTTACCATTACTTTTTTAATGTAAAGGCATTTATAAACAAAATTTATGTTCTTTATTACTTTGTTAACTTATCTCTTTGGCATAGCCAAAAATATTTGCATACCATCACCTTATGGATGGAGATTCTTGCAAACCACAAAGGAGATTCTTATCATCTAGCGAATGGCTCTGATATTAAGTTCATATACCTTGGAAGCACCCTGTCACATGCCATCAACATTGACAAAAAAGTCACCTACAGGATAGCCAGAGCTAGCTCGGCCTTTGGTATACTGCATACCACAGCATAAGAGAGTAGAGGAATTAGCCTGCAGACCAAACTCAAACAGTACAAAGCAGTTGTCATGCCTTCACTATTATATACTGACAAAGTATCAGATACTAAGGTACTCCAGAGATCCAAGATGGAGAGCATTCATGCAATACTCAAACGCTCGCAGCTCAAATGGGCAGGCCATGTTTGTCGCATGCCTGACGACTCCTTCCCCAAACAACTAAAGTACGGCCAGCTGAAAGGACGGAAGCGCTCCAAAGGAGGTCAGAAAGAGCGCTTCAAGGACGCACTGAAGGTCTATTGAAGTGCTGCAACCATGACACGTAACCGGAAATAGGGCTTCACGTTCCAAAATGATGACATAAATATCAAAGTGCAATTAGAAAACATGAATTTTGTAACCTTGAATTGGTAAGAGATACATTTAATCAAAAACTTTCCGACAAAAAGTTTCAGAAAAGCAACTTCAGGCAAAAGAATTCGGGACAAAAAACTTCCGGACAACATTTTAAAGGTACATTTTAAAGCAAGGTTAACTTTTAGAACAGTTTTAAAAATTCCAAGGTCATTTTCCAAAACAAGGTCAACTAAAATTTGCAAAGGAACCATAGTTTTCGGCGCAACTAAAAGAATGATAAACTTCGTCATAGTCCTTTTACATCGCATGGATAAATAAAAAGAAAGGCTGAGAAAGTCGTAGGCGCGGTGACCAAGAAATCGACGATAAAAGAAATGTGCTAGGAAATGACGGCCATAATTGCCATCCAAAGAATCCTTCGTGGATGGCCAAAACTAGAAATGATATGCATCATGATTGAATTTTGTTTGCATGTTTGTTTCATTATATTACATTTTTTTAAAAAGGGACCAGAATGGTCCAGTGCATTTCCTTGTGTTTTTCGGCGTTCGGAAAGTTTGATAGTCTTCGATGGTAATGTATAAACCGAGTAAGAACCTGCCTGGACTAAACTGAAAAAAATGCAGGCTTTTAAGTTCGGGTTTCTACTTTAGGTGTGCAATGACTATGAGACAAATATTGTAGAAAAAGCTACGATGATTATCCGAGTAGAGACAGTTAATCTTATACCTTCATGATGCAAATGAAGGGTTGCTGTACACCTTTGGAAGGAGGGTGTGCGACAGTTCTAGTCTGAAAAAAAGCAGTAAGAAGCTGCTCACTTTGTCTTCACTACTTTGTTATCTTTAACAAGCATACATTGTTTCCTGGATTTTTGCAAGCAAATTTGAAACAGGCAGCGAGAATCTTGTCTATCTTTTTCGAGGTCCCCAGTCTAGCTATTTCTCTCTTACCAATCAGTTACAGTCTTCTCGAAAAAACCATCTGTTTCTAAAGGGATCATTTTTAAATTTTATTTTTTTCAAAATATATCCCACAGTCTATATTTAGGCATAGCTTGTTTATAATATGGCGAATATTATTTTAATTAATGCAGCTAAAATTGCTATTTCCTTTTAAAGATCCACAGCATCTATCGAACAACAGGAGCAAGTTTAGAGAAAGCACAGGGTGAATTTGCCCGTGGTGTTATGACTAACAAAGATGTGCAGAATGCAGCTGCGGAAGCGGCCAAGACTGGCATTCAGGCACAAGCAGCCAGATACTAGACGGTCCGCCTTCAGAATGACTCGAGACGAACATCATTATTAGCATTAAGATTGACTTAAAGGAAATACACCCATAAGCAATCAATGTTCTGAACATATGAACAGAAAGCTTATATGTGTTTAGTTAGCTTTGGCCACATTTCAATGGGTTCTGGTTGAGTATTTGATAATTGATTGGTTCTTTGAGAGGTTATTTGATAATTGATTACTTGTTCATTGTTAAATATTTAAATAATTTTGTACTTTAAAGATGCTGCTATAGCAGAACCTTGTGTTTGTTGCATTAAGAAAAACCAAATTGTAGTTTTTGCTGCAGGAATTTTTCAAAATATTCACCAAGGTTTCAATTTAGGCCTGTTGTTGCCCCACCCTATTGTAAATTAAGTAACATGTCACATTATGGGTGGATTTCTTACTACACGCCAGCTATGATTTTGCATTCTGTGTTTGCCTAGGTAGATGATTTATGTCATTTCGAAAAAATTTGAAGAAAAACTTGTGAACCGTCTTTTTCTTCCCTTAATGCTTCTTTGTGATTTGAAACAATAAATGTGGGCTTTTCCATTACAACATTGACTCTGTGGAAAGGTTGTATCTCAGGGAGGATCTTAGATAATATAAATACTCTTATGAATATTATAATACCCTTAGTCTCAGGTTAGGAATATAATAACTGAAGTTTCTATTTCGTGTGGTCGAAGGTTTGAAAGATTAATCTTATGAAAGGTTTCGAGGAATGAGAAAGAAGAAATTTTAAATGCAAGGAAATTTTGATAATAATGACAAGGAAACTTTTTAATGTTTGCCGCTTCTGTGGAGGCTGGGGCTGACACATATGCAACGTCATCGATAGAAACGACAGAACTGGCATGACAGATTTATCCACCGAAGTTGGCAGTAAAGTATTCTTGTCCAGTTAACAAGCAACTAGAACTACCCAGACTGTTATAAAGCCGAGATAAATACGAATACTGGTAGCTGATGTTCGAAATTCAGCTTACCTGATATCCTCCTGTGAAGAAATGAATTACGTTTATTCCGAGATTGTAGAGTTTTGTTGCAAACCTTTTTTAGGTTTAGTTTTTGTTGGTTGTTCCAGATATAAAAACCGTTGGACCATAGCATGCTGAAAGCTTTCATGGCCAATCGATTTTTTGACATATTTATGAGCATCCATCTTCCCACATCCTACTTTTCCATCTGTTAGGTCCATCTTTCCCAATCGACAGAACTTAGCAAGTAAAAATGAGCTAGAAGTATAACCATTTTGTAAAATAAACAGTAACATCATGTTTATCGCTAGTAACATATACAGGTAATCATAAGGTTAAAGAAGTAAATTATTTCATAATTAAATTACGTAATCGATACTTATTGCCTGAATAAGCGCGCTGCGCTCACCTGTAGCTCGCAGAAACTGTTCTACACACACTATGCAGATATTCATATGTTCCAAAAGTGTGTTACAATAATTCGATCAGTTCAAAACCGAGATAGTCTTGATTTGTAGTGCTTATTTTCTAGCGATTTCCAGTACCTGATTTTTTAATTAATAATGTCAATCATTCACAAAATGCTCTAAAAGCAGTTACATGGACAGAATATTTAACGGTGTACAAACATGAGTAAAAGCAACCAGGGAAGGTTTAATATGGAAATAAAGTGACTGAGAAAATCCCGACATTCACAAGTATTTGCTAACATATTCACTTGTTTGTGATCTCTGAAGTTAATTGGAAGACAGTGGTAATTTAAGGCAGACCAACTGGGTATGAAAGTCACAGTGTAAAAAGGCTACATGAACGAATAGACTATGTACAGTTAATAGCAGAATGAGTTAAATCTTTCATGATATATTGGCAAATCATCGTAATATTTATGCTAAACCTATACCCCAAATATATGAACTAAAACATTTATATATGATGAACTCTTTGTGGCCACTTTATGTCAAGCGCATCGCTTTCACTTTTCGTTGCAGTATTTGACGAAGAAGTAACCTGCTTGGCAGGATTCAGTACGAGGTCGCAGCCTTCTTTTTTCGGATCTTTCTTGCAACCACGGTATTTCTTCAGATGACTTTCTAAATAACTAAGTGGCGAAGATCCTTGTGATAGTGCCTGGAAATGGAACTCCTTCAAAGAGAACTTATCGCCTAAATCGTTCTTGGTTTCATTTCGATACCTCCATATGTCTAGCTGACCAATCATGTAGGCAGTTGCTTGTCCAGGGTTGCTCTGATAGCGTAGTACCTCTTTCGTGGCAATGTCCGATTTGTCCCATGCGTACTTCCCAAATAAATCAATGGCTTGTTGTCTGGTATAGCCTTTGTAGTGCAACCCAGTGTCGACAACCAATCTGAGTGCCCTCCAAATCTGTTAAAAAAATTATACATTATAACATTTATTTGGTAAAGAGAGCCTGGTTCCAACTTATCAGCCGTCGTTATTGTTGTTACAAGTGGCGTAAGGGTAAGGTGCCCCACAGGAAGGCGCTTTTACGGGCGTCAGTAGCGTCCGGGCTTTGGTAGCGTCAAGCTTCCGTCCGCAGAGAAAAGGGAACTGGTTAAAAACAGCTTTATGTTAATTTTTTTCAGCGCTGAAATACAGGGTATATGTCTATTTATGCAAACAAACCTTTGAAAGGGCAGGAAAAAACGGGCACATGATCGATGCTTACCTGCCATTTGAGCATACCAAACTTCTGCATAGGTTCGTTATTGTAGACATCTGTTTGCTTTGCAATCAATGGGTTCTCTGCATATAATGCCCAGCCTTCAGTGAATGCCGTATAGTAGGTTGAATCATCTAGCCACTTTATATCACCACCACACTGGTCATAGAAATGCTCCGCGGTCCCTTGAACCTGCATGGCATATAACAAATATTAATGCAAACGGGGCGGCGCTTTAATGTAAGTTTTGACTTGATTCGCTTTCGATCCATGGCTCATCAAACACACTTCTGCGCATGAACAGAATTTAAATTTCTCGTTCACTGCGAATGCACGATACTTACATGTTCGCCGATTGGCTGGTTCGTTGATTTGGTAATTTATTGATTTGCTGATTCGTTGATTCTGTGATCCAGGCCCAGTTTAAACGCCGCATTTCTGCCGCAGCAAATTAAAGTGCAATTAGACGCGACAGTATTTTCCTGAAGTTTGTGTTTTGTTTCAGACGCCGAATTTTATTAACCCCTGTCGAATTTAATGTGGTGCAAAATCCTGCGCAGCGCCACCGATGTGATTCTCTTTTCTAATTTCTTCATGACAAAATGGCGCCAACAAATCAGTTCTTGGCCATTTTTAATACGTTGATGAATAACAATAACATGTTTGTGAAGAATCGAAGAAGACGAGCTTGTCAGAAAAAATTGAGACATCTTCTGACCACTCTGCAAAGAAGGCAGTCAATATTGTCGATTTGGTTTCAAATTATATTGTTGATGACAAGCAGTGAGAATCTGTATGCTAGGTTTTCCCATTCTTGGGTTTCTCGCAAAAACGATTGAAGTTTCGATCGAAAGGCAGCCAATATAACCAAAGACTTTGAGATTTATAAATTTTGGCGGGCACAGCACAACTATACGCATGCGTATTGCCATTTAATCACTCTTCGATCAATCAAAATCAATGCGGCGTCTGTAACCAAGCCGCATTTCTGCTGAAATTATTATTTGCATGCAGCAAAGCTGCCGCATTTCTACCGCATTAAATTCTTATTCGGTTTCAGACTCCGTATTTTTGCCGCATTTAAATGACACTTTTTCAGATTTGTCAATTTAATTCGCTTCGGCAGAAATGCGGCGTATGAACTGGGCCTCACTTTCGCAAAAGTTGCGGGGAATTCACCTGAACTGGCCATTAGACGTAATTTCACATCTCCTGAGTAGATGATTTTCGTAAAATATGGTAGTCGTCAGTGGCGTAACCAGAAGGGCGCGTATGTGCAGCAGCAACCCCCTGACGAGTAGGTACAGCAGGAATCCCCCCATATCTTCCCTTCATTGCTTAAATACATAGTGATGCTCGTAAAAGCAATAATTAGAATTCTTTACTTAAAACGAAAAGCTAAGTGGTTTTGTTTGGTTGATGATTTTACGGAAAGGCTCACGAGTCTATAGCTAGGCCCTAACAAGGGAAAGGGAGAAAGGGTTAGGAAGCAAGAGAGAAAAGGCCAAGTTTGTTTACTTTTGCTTTGAATAAAAACAGGTTGTAAGAGTCTGGGAAACAGAAAGGGGGTGGAACATTCCAAAGTTTACAAGATATAGGAAGGAAGGAAGAGTTGGGATTGAGTTCGTGCTCTAGACAAGGAGACTTGAAAAGGGTGAGCACTGGTGGTGCGGGTATTAGAAAAACTGGAGTGAGCTCTAGCATAAATGAAAGTGAAATACGGCAACTTTAATGCCTTTAGATACGCAGTGTTGATTTCCTATTCAAACCAGTTGGTCTTTAAAGAAACTCTACCTGGGTATGATGCCCTGGTCGTGCTTCGTGTGCGTTCACGGAGTATTCGGAGTATTTTGGTCCAAGGTTCTTTAAGAAAAACGGGATATTGTAAATTGAGTTGGTCGTGCATTTGACGCCACTACTCTGGTAGCTCTGAGCAGCTGTCGTTGGAATAAAGTCCGGTCGCAAATCAACAGGACAGTTGGGCGTTGTGTGTTTATCACCACTGAAGTAAAACATATCGATAGTCTTTGGATCCAACATGGCCATCGCCTGAAAATGAAAAAAGGCCTAATGTTTACTGCTAGGTTGAAAAAAGATAAAATCTTACGAGAAAAGACTTTCCTAGGTCAAAAAAATTCAACGAGAAGAGACATTTCCACCAATATTTAAAGTGCCTGTGACATGATTTTTTTATTCTCTTAATTGAAGCGTTGCACTGCTCTTATAGTAGATCTGAACTTTTTTTGAAATAAAAGCGTTTTGATATTGAAATTAAGCAAAATAGTGCGGCCCAGCCAAGTCGCTTTATCATCATTCGCCGTTCTCTTGTGACGTCATGGGAGGAACTCGTTATTGTAACAATGTAAGCGCTACCTTCAAAAATCTCATCCTCGCTGCCACTACTTTCTCTGGAAATATCGCTCATCTTGGACCTGTTAGATTTCCCTCATTGACTACAATACAAAAACTCGAAGGAGGAGGCGATCGGGTCCCTCCCGTGACGTCACTGTCTACTCATTCTGAAAACCAAGATGGCGAATTTTGGCGTAGAAGATCGCCAATAACTCCTTCATTTCTCACGAAACGTAAAAACTAACCTCAGAAATGAAAATAACAGGCTTTTTTACATAAGAATAGATATATAAACCCAAAAGTACGAAAATCATGTCACAGGCACTTTAAGATGTGGAAGGAATGTGTGTGTTAAGGCCGATCTCCATTGGGCGAATTTTTTCGCTTCTTCGCCGGCGAAAGGTTATGAGCATGCGTATTTGAACTTTTTAGTTTCATGCGCTGTGCGCAACGTTCGCCTTGAAAGTTCAAACCATTTGAACTTTTTTCTCTGTCGCCGGCGAATTTGAAGTCCTATGTACATATAGTAAAATGTCTGAGTCCAAAAGCAGCTTCATGTTGGATGAGGAAATAATAAAATTTCTTGTTACAAGTACGATGCATGTTTCTTTTATAGTCCTACCAACAGCAGTGGGGCTTATCCTATTGCTCATACCACAAGGTGTTTTAGAGTCACACATAGTCTCTCTTAGAATCTATTAGTTTGCGAAACTTCGATTCGTTCACTAGATAGGGAACCACCAAAGACAAACTTTGCATACGAAAAATAGTGAAAAATAGTAAAAAATAGTTGGTGGTCATGTAATTGTAGATCTATAGCCAGATTTTTGTAAGCTTCTAGCTCTTGATAGAATTTATGTACCCAAAGCCTTTTATTTTCTTTTGGTTGCTTTTGGCACGCAGATATTTGCTTTCTATTTGGCACGCAAAGCTATGGTGAGCTGGAGATTGTGTGCCATGTAGTTTTCGCCTTTCGTCAGCGCAAAAGCGAAAAAATTTCGCCCAATGGAGATTGGCCTTTAGTTAATTCTAAACATGTTTTTAAATGGGAAGCTGATGTGCGGCTTCCGCTTGAATTATGATGAATAAATCAATGTCAAGAAAAATGAAATTTTAAAAACATAGAAATTTTCACAAAACACAAACCGTGTTTCTGTGTAGACATAAAATTAAAGGCTTTAATCATTTATAACCGAAAATGAAGCAAACAAGATAACCTATGATGAAATAAATTAACATTTGCCATAAATATAATCAAGGTCAAATCATTCTTTAATGGGTCACTTCTTTTTTGTATGATTTTGAAGCAGCATACCGTGAAATCAATAGGGAAGATGATATGGCATTACTTGCAAGCTGTCGACTGCCCATGGTGGCTTGTTATCGTCGGTATTTTAAGTTGAAAAAAATCGGATGTGTTACGTTGAAAAATTTGTTGCGTTGGCTATTTAAGGCAAATGCGAATTGCACCTGGGTAGAATTTCTTACAACTCCATTCTTAATCATAAAACAAAAAGGCACAGCTTCCACTATGGATGCTAAGTGTAGTCAAATGAAAACGTGCTTCAGACAAATACTAATAAAGAGGCTGCTGGTTATTGTCAAGATGTTCCTTATCCAAGTGTACAAGGTGTAACATCTGTATTTTCAATAACAAAGTCACTTGGAAACTTAGTTCTTTCAATGAATGAGCAAGATTCCTATTCACACAACCACTTTTCTAGTCAACTTAATGCAGGCTGCAAAAGGTTTCTAAATTATTTGTGCAAAATTGATGATGGCAGAAGGGCAAAACATTTGTGAATTATAGACTAAATGAAATAACTTGTCTATAAAATCTACATCAGATCTTGTTCTCCTGAAGAGTGAGTTAATCACGAAACAGGCTTGCTATGATCAGGCTATTCCGGCAAGTACCTCATAAATAACAAAGTACACTGTACCTTTCTGGCAAAGGCAAACCATGCCTCCATAGCCTTCCATCTGTTAGGGCAATACTTCTTTGCACCTTCGATCGACTTACAGAGCTTAAACGCATCTCCTTCACTCTCGTTGCGAGGAATTTCCTCTGTATTGAAGAAACTCCGTGAAGTATTCTTCAGAACTTTTTGAAACTCTTCTACTGCTCTTGTTTCATTATCGTTGATATTTGAGACTGTTTTCGCAATACTGACTGCCTGAGAATTTAAATACAACTATAAAATCGTCATACAAAAAAAACTGGAAAATTTATCCAGTCATCAGAAGAGCTGTAATGGCTGCTAAATGTCTTGGAACAATACCTTTTAATTTTCTAAAGAATAAATGTCAAGCTAATCTGTGTCTTGGGCGTTTAAACTAAGTGGAGGTGTTATTTTGGCTTAAGGCTTTTATAATGACGCCAGAAAGCGATTTAGGGCCGACATAAGTCTGCGTAAATGTGAAAAAACTTGTCATTTCATTTATAGCATATCAAAAGCTCTGATAACTGTTTGCAAATGTTGAACCACTATTAAAAAGAATGAGACTTTCTTAGCATTTGGAAAACGTTTTAGAAATATTGCAAAGTGTTAACAATTTAAAAAAGTCGCGTAGTTGAGAGTGAGCGTCGATCAGGCGTTGCTTTGGTGAACCAAAAAAGAAAATGAAAATAACAAAATCTACATGAAGGAATATGAATAAAAATAAAAAATGGAAGTTGCAAAGGAAAGGAAAGGTGGAACAAATCCTCAAAACAGGAAAAGTAAATGGCCAAAAGGTAGAGTTGGTAGGCGTATATGAAAATAGTTGAAAGGTGGAGCTGTCAACCCTTTTGGTATTTCTGTAATGTAATAAAATATCGGAAATCTTAATTTTTTCTTCTCACAGCATAGATTAAAAACCCATTATAGTTGTGAACCTAACTTTGATTTTGGTTTTTACTCACAGGGCAGGTTTGCTCCTAATAGAACAAAACGAGCTTTTCATTAAAAACAAATGAACAATTAATAGCCGATTCTTAATAGATTTAATAGAGCGTTAGAAATACCTCCGGGTACAACTTGTTCACCATTTCCCATCCTAATTTGTGGACATCGTCGGGACTTATTTCTTTAGTGGTAAAATAGCCCATGATCTTTTCGTAAGATTGGTTCCCATTGATGACCGGGTATTTGCCTGTCGAGCTTTTTATTGGAAGGACTTTGGTTGTTGCTTTGCTCTTGTCAGCCACTCCGTTTAGGTAAATATAATCGACTGGCAAACCAGAGAGGCCCCCAGGACCACCGTTGTCTGGTCTACAGTGATTGAAATGCTCATTCTCTATATACCTGGGGAAAAAATATTCAAAACATAGATGTTATCAAATAGAAAAAAGCCAAAAAGAACTAGTCACTGCAAATCGCACATATATCAACTGGACTTCAATGGGTTTATGAAATCTAGCAAGCACTAGCGTAGCGAGGAGGCAAGTGGTAGCCCCCACCCCACCCCCCCCTCACAAGAGCAGACTGTTGGTGTCTGAGAAAAGCACAAGTCTGCAATAAGCTAATGGCATAACCTCAAAGGGCGTGGTCAATAAAATTTCTCCAAACTCGCAAGCTGGGATGGCTCAACTCACCTTTATCCCCTCTCCCCAATCTCGCTATCTTTGCTGCCCCAATGCGGAAGAGGTGACATCCAATTAAACATTAAACGAATAAAATAAAGACTACCAGGAATTAATTAGAAAGGAAAGGAATTAAAAAGTCAGCGCGTTGACAGGCACTTCATCCTAAGATAGAGAGTACAACAACTTACTTAAGCATTCGGTCTAATGCAGCTCCCATATAGGTAACAGTAGCATCTCTAAATGTCTGGTTGACACTCTTTCCTTTGTCTGATTGCCATTTGTCCTGAGTGCTTTTTGGCAACTTGGCCAAAAATGTTTCGGCATTGAGTATTGTCCTCGTAAACCAAATCTTGAGTACACCTGCGTACACAAAATGACACAAAGTTTAAAAATCAAAGTTGTCTATATTATGGCAGTATGGATACCAAAGGTAGTTCTTGCAAAAACATTAAAGGTAATGATACGACTTAGAAACATGTGGCACAAAGGCATCTCTGTCCATCCTGCAGACTTTGGTTTCTGAATCATAGAACGATTGAACATTGACAGCAGAAGGTCGAATGAATAAGTTCGATCGTCGTTAGATACGAGTGAATTAAATAATAGGCAGGGGTTACAAGAAACAAATGCAATGACTTGAAGGATCTTTTCCCTTAATCCAGATCTGGATTAAATTCAACAGAAAAGAAGCTGGTTTGTCTTGTTCTGACTCATCGGTGTCCTTCAAACTGAATGGGTGAGTTAGTAGATGTCTGCGTAAAGGAACAAGTAAGAGGATGATTTGATTGCTATTTTTACAGTGATGATTTAGAAGTTGAAAATTCTTGTACATGTGGCCGTCTGTAAATATAACTAAGCACAATCAAAATAGCCATACCTTGTGCTCCATTGTCTGCTATTTGCTCATATTGTTTCTTGATCGAGTTTAGCCCACCACGACATTCAACCTGCGTTCTAACCATTCCAGTTCTAATACCAAGTTTCATATTGGAAATGTACTGATATATGGTTTCATTGATATCCTTTATGTGCTTGATGACGTCATTGATCTCTTGGTAATTTCTTGGTTTCATATTACCAATGTTGTTGTAAATATCGTAGCCAATGCTACAGATTGGTTGCCAGCAAAAGGAGTTAGGCCCCAGCATCCAGTCCCCAGCGTAGTAGTTCTCGTCATATGGTGTCCCGTACATATACTTCAAGTAATGCCTCACTTGCAGAAGAGCCTTGTACTCTCTTGGCTTGAGCAAATTCGCGTTTTCTTTCTGTAAAGTTAAATTGATATGTAGTAGACTGGTTTGAATTTACGAGCAGAGCTTTACAAAGCTTAAGGAATTCAGTGCTAGAGTTAGGAGACAATTAGGAAACTCTCTACATATCAAAACTTAGTATCATTTATTGGCCATATCTCGCCCAAACGATAACATATCGAGCTGGTTTGGTCTCTGTCATGTGGTGTTCTATCAGGATAGGTAGTCTAAGTTAAAAGCTAATGAGATAACGAGTACATGCTCGAAACGTCGTGTTTTTAACACAGACCTGTCAACCTAAAATTTTCAAAACCTGGAAATTTCAGATTTTTTGTTGAGAAAAACAGGGAGATTTGGCCAAAAACAGGGAGATCCCTGGAATTTGTTGAATTTATAGACAACATTAAGTAAACAATTATCATGGGTAGCGTCTTCCTAATGGGTTTTCGTTAATTTGAAAAAACTGACAAAAACTTTGTCCCGAAGAAAGTCATTTCAATCATTTTTGTTATAAGAAAACCTTTGCTGAAAGTCAAGGGAAAGCAGGGAGAAAATCATAAAAAACCGGGAGACCGGGAGAAAGCAAGCGAAACCTGGAGTCTCCCGGCAAAACCGGGAGAGTTGACAGGTCTGTTAACAATCAAACTATTATATTTTCATTCTGGTACTCAATTTATTTGCTAACTATATTATCATTATTTTGGATGACGTAGCTACCACATGCAACGTACACATTCAATTGGATTATTCAAGTTAAAAGCTCTATGATAATATTTTTGACGTCACACATAAGAACTTTATTGCTAGTTGCTACCTGCAAATCATAAACGTTTCAAAAAGTTTCGAAACTAAACAAGGGCATAGTTTCGAAAGTGAAGTGAACAAAAGAAAATAACTAAAAAATAACTAGCAGAAAATAACTAAAGGTAAAAGAAAATTACGGTTAATGCATAATGTTTTTTACAGGTAATCAGCTGAGCAAAAGGCTAACGCAATGCAAGGCACGTGTCTCTAGAATTTGGTGCTCTCATTTGGTACATGATCAGTTTTACAAGCGACGAAATTATGCCATCGTTTCTGAATTTAAAATACTTCAAGTCCAGAAGGAAAGTAAACTGATCTATTCCTGAATATTTGTTCGAAAGAAGGGGTTAGCTATGAACTCATCAGCAAGAATAAAAAATGATCAAGTCGTGGGCAGGACTGGGATTGAAGGGATGAAAAGCCACCAAGATATAGTTGGGGGAGGTCGGAGGGGGTTGTTATATCACCCTTGTTTACCCTTGCTTATTTTCTTCTCTTTTATTATACTTAACTACACTTTTTTGTAAGAACAATTTTATAAGGACATGAGCCTCAAAACTAGTCAAAAGTTAAAACCAATTAAGAACAACCTGAGGCTGAACTACTTAAAAATGCAATTTTGAACAACTTTTTATCTCAAAAACGAGGACTTTTAGCCATGTGCGGGTGCTTTTTCGGTGAATATTCAAACTTGTTGGCAAATGAAAGTTGTCTCACTCACTTTGTTGGCAAATAAGTCCTAAGCACCTCCCTAGAGCGAAGAAGCTAGCAATCGCAATGCTCACATCCTATCAATTCAAGAACAAATTAAGAACAATCCAGCCTCAGATTTTCGAAAAACTTAGGGACAGTCAGCCTGAACTCAAATTTACTGGTTCTTATAAAAAAGAGCGTAATAAATATTTTCTCAATCCACCTACAATGCCCCCTTTCCATGTTCTACTGCCTTGTTCTTAGATGTATAGGTGTGGGGTGTCCTTTCTAGACAAAGTTTAGGGCCAATGTCTGCCAAAGAAACAGTGGACCGGTGCTAGCTTCGATGTTTCTTGACTTATGAGCCAAAAGTCTAAGGAATTTTTAGACTTCTTGTCTGAAAAGGGACACATTTTCAAACAGTAATAGTAATTTATAGTCATATTATCCTTTATACTCTGAATGTTTAATTATTCATAGAATTGAGGATTCAAATAATTAATGCTGTTTACGGAGATAAGAAATTTTTAAATCTTTCCACGTGTTGAAAAAAATCCACAAGACCTACAAATCCGAATTTCCAAATTTAATGCAGGAACCAAAAAATTATTTTTTTTAAATTTCTTCATATAGTAGATGAAATTTTTTGTTAAGTTTCACTTGAAAAAGGGACCCGATATTTCTATGTCGACCAAAAATTGACAAACAACCCCGGCGCCGGATAGGGCTACCAGACGCCAAGGAGCGTAGTGTAGTGGACGTTGCTTCTCTGGTGGGTAAGTTGAGGATGATTTTTTAAATTTCCATGCCTAGGATAAACTTGAAAGACCTACAAATTACCACATCACAGCATCCAGAAAGCCATGCGTTTCCAAACTTTATAGGCCTGACCTTATTTTCGATAGTAATCGATCTTTTATAGTCATTTCTTGAAATATAAAAATGGTGGTACGCCGCGGAAGTCATTTACAAGTCGAAATGATCTATTCGTTTTTTGACAGAAAAAGGTCTCCCTGGCGCAGTTCAAACAACATAAATTATTTAAACATTTCGTAAAAGGATGCAATCATACATGTAATTAGCTCAAGTTTCAGATTTTAATGTCAATAGTATCCTGTACCTAAAGAGAACTCAGCAGACATAAAAATGAACACAATGTGACTTGTTTCCTTGGTTGGCGGCATAACTTTACCCGAGAGAGTTGGTTTCTCGCCATATCCTACCATTCATACCACAACTTCCGCTATAAATCGCAGATCTCAAGCTGCTTTCACAAATCTCAACAACATGTGTCGTCTCTTTCCAAGAAACCTGTCATCAATTGCAAAAACACAAAGTAATACATTTACGATTACAATTACCTTGGCATTGATTTCGTCGAGCAGGGTAATCGCTGCATCCGTTCTCTCTTTGATTTTTGCAGGTGTTGGGTCATACGCCCGGTATTCTTTTCGAATACGGTCTGTAGTTGCGTCTGGGTGCCATGCAGCATTTTCAGGATGAACCCTGTAATAGGTATCTTTAACTTTCTTCAGAAATGTCTCAAGTCCTATTCTCTTTGCCTCATCTGAAAATTTACACTGTTCCTTTAATGTCGATTTGCCAGTGGCGGCTGAGCTGGTGCCTGCCTTGCTGTCATCTTTACAGCTCTTTGTCTTTGCGAGCAATACTATTCCTGCACATAAACATGCAATCGCAATAAAACATATTACACCGATTATGAAAAAGCTCGTTCGCCAACCGCTCTTCGACTTTCCTCCGAAAGTGACCCCAAACTTCCTTCCCTCTTCATCCACCAACTCGGACTTCGATGACGCATTTTCCATATCGTTATGAATCGACCAACTCCTTGTGAAACTGCGAACGGGCGAGCGGATAATGGCACTGGCACCTTCGCTGCGGCGTCTGTCCTAAGAATGGCACAGCAAACACAACAAAGGGAGACCCCTTAAACTGTGTTTCAGGAAACACGTTGATCGAGGACAACAGAGTCCAAAGGGTGCCGTTTATGTGAATGTTTGGCGAATAACAATCATAATGGGAGTCCTGGCGAGAATCGAGATGCCTTTGTTTGCATTGCCATGAACACCAGGTTTTTCAATCCTCTTCCTCTTCGCAGAAATACTTTGATTTACAAGGTATTTGCACGATCTAGAGAATTTCGATTAAAAACCATTAGAGCTATCTTTAAATACTTTAGTGACTCTACAAATGAAAAAATAATTGTAATTTTGCGGAAGTCCTGATCCAAGAACTAAAACACCTTCATTCAATTGTTTTTATTGGATTGTTATTGCACTCATCGTGCACCTCAAAGGATAAAGTTACCTTAAACATCTAAATAAATCTGAAAGTGGATGTATCTAAAAAGCGTAGAGTATGACTTAGCCATAATGGCTATAACAGTATATCAAATTTCCGTTTCATCTATCACGTTTTCACATTTACTTAAGTAATGATCAATGCGTCAAGATTGTAAATATCTTCACAAAACTACTCTCCGGTTCCACGTGAATATTGGCCAATCACGAAATCATGACATGTTGAATATTTTCCACCACAATTTCTTGCCTCATGCAAAGACTTTTCAACTTCCTCGCACGGTTTCGAGTTGTATTTATAACTCCATGCTAGACTGACTCTAATCGTTAAAAAGACTTGGACACGGGATACATGCAATACCAACAAAAGGTAATTAATCATGTTTTATTTTGATTACAAAAGAAACAAATTAGAGATGTTCTTAATTGTATGGAAACGTAGAGTCAAAATGTTTTTGTCAGCTGGTAGGCCCCGTGGTAGAACGTGAGATGATGATGTGAGCCACGCCCCTTTAACCATCACTGGGGCAGTTCATATGAACTTGTTTTTTCTGATTTCCAGTTCTGATTAGTTTTAATCGAAACAATGCAGCCTCCGGCCGTTTAAAATTATTGTGGGAGTTGACAAGTAATTAAATCTGCAGTCAAGCTATTTAATTAATTTCAAATGTGTTGTTTACTCTCTGCCAGTAAACGAAAGTGCAAAAAAATGTTCAGAAAGAAAGAGGGCATAAGAAAAAACTTCAATGCTGGGAAACGAAACGTGGCTCTATGTGTCAGCTTTGGACAGAAATATTTTGTAGTGGGTACGCCGACCAGACTTGCAGCCTTGGAGAATTAACCAATGCGGCATATTTTATTATCAAGCGAAACATAAGACACGTTTTTCATAAGAACCAGATAGGTTCTTTCTTTAGAAGCTCGGTGTTCTCAATTTGCGTGGTTGGCTGATAGAGTCTGATCTGTTTTGCTAGCATGAGTTAACATTTTAAAAAAGCGCATTGCTTTTTATAATTTGTCATCTGAGGTTGAGCATCTTCGATCCTTGATGTTCTCAAAAATTTTGTTCTTAGAAATTGGAGAATAGCTGCTCATAATTCCATGGCACATTTTTTGTAATTTTGCGTTAAGTATGTATGGGTTGAAAACTCACTAGCTTTCTTCTTTTCTGTAGTAACAAAATTCATTTAATACGCTAGCTATGCCGCTATCTGGAAGTGTATTTTGCGATCCGAATGCCTTTCCAAGAGCCAGCATACAAGCGTCCGTTTTTCAAGAAGCAAAATATTTTTATCGAATAATTATATTCTAGTCCAAAATGTTTTAGCTTTTAGCGGCCCGGGAGCCCTGTTTCCCGTAACCTCACCTTAACCAGTTTGAAAATACTGATGCAGCGCTATACCTAGCAGGATGCTAAGAATAATCCAATGGTCCCGACGGAGCGGCATGGAAAATAGATGTCAAAGGTGAGGTAGGTGGCCACGACTTTTACAGAAGCAAAATTATTTAAATACTCTACCATACATTGGATTTTAGCATTATTAGCCCCCTAAAACGTTTAAGGCCTCTTAATCTGTGATATGTTCCGGGTCCTTGATCCTATCCTTTTGTCACTTCCCATCTCCCTCCCCAATAGCCTCTGTGGAGGAGAGTGTTGATTGTACATCACAGCTGTACCACAAGTGATGAAAACCTAGCCTGTGCGCATTCTTTCTTCCTCAGAATGTTGGGTCACGCGCCTAGTTGCTGCTCCAAACTCATGGTGGGAAAACGAACTAGTCTTTGTTTTAATCGTATGCACATGCGCCGTTGAAATCGATGATGTTATCTTCCAAACGCTTATAGAGTTCTAAAGTGTGATGTCACCAAAAACTATTTTTAGAATATCTGAATTTTTAACTACAAGACATAAGAGATCGCCATAAAATACTTTCAAATGTGAAACATTATGTTTAAAATATGTTTAAAATCGGTTGAAATACGGTCAATGAAAGATTTCAGGTTTGCTAACGTATCACTGTTGTTTTGGCTCTGTTCATAAAGGTATGAACAGATACCAAAATACAGAGGTTTGATGGGGAAAGAGCCAATACACATGTCCAGGGGCGCCTACCCTGGAGGGGCAGCTGCCTCTCTTGCCCTCGTCCAGGACTATTCACACTTAAAAAAGGTTATAGAATCTTGTAGATCATTGATGACTAGTTTAGCCACTCTCAAATGTTAATTTCCATTAGAAATTCAAAAAAATAGAGAAGTCTCTCTTTTTCGCTGTTGGTTCTTGATAGCTGACGACAATCAACTTCAAAAACCAACGGTGTCTTATTTGTCCATCATTACAACAAGGTTGTTACCTTTATTCTATGCCTTAATATAAAAACACATTGAAGTAAACAATTATTTGATTTACATTTTATTCTTGTGATTATTATTTTCCTTTTTACACTCTCAATTATCAATGATTCCGCAACCATGGGGTATTGAGGCTAAGCAGACAATCAAAGTTTCACAGCCAGCACATTTATAACTGCCATGATTCTTATAAAATCAAAACTTTCGCATAATGACAAGGCCATTTAATACCCACTTGCATGGAGAATTTTGTCAACATTATGCCTATGTTTAGAGCCAATGGTTGAAAAAATCCCTGCTGTAGAGGTGGAACAGATCCATGAAAATATTTTATTTTGCACTCCCCCACCCTTTACAAATAACTGATTTTGGTAGTGGAATAAATTCTACTATTTGCCATGAGCACCAGCACTGCCCTTCCTGCCTTAATCTTGTGCAGGCGCCCCTGGCCATATCTCTGCCAATTCGTAACACAATTGACTATTTCTGCACATTTAGAGGTTCTTTATGATGTTCTTTCAGGTTATGGGATCCAAATACAAAAATTCTAAAAATAGGATTTTTAGCGAATTTGTGGGTGCTTTTTCGGTGAATATTCAAATTTGTCAGCAAATTAGGGCTGCTTACACCCACTTTAGTTAAGATCAAATTAAGAACAATCCAGCTTCAGATTTTCGAAAAAATTAAGAACATTCGGCCTGAACTTAAATTTACTGGTTCTTATAAAAAAGAGTGTATGGATAGTGAGTCTAGTACCCAGGGTAGCTATTGGCTGACCTGGAACTGGTCACATGATCTCGCTTTGTATTGATTAACAAAAGAATTTTTATCATTACCAAGTTGTCAACAACGGATGCCGATATCACATAAAAACAACAAAGATCACGCCGAAACCCAATCGCCCCCTATAGAGTAGGCCTATTTACCCAGACTCGATGTTTTTATTAAAGTGAGGACATTCGAACTGCTTCTAAATCTCCAAAATGAACGGAACAATCTATAAACTTGCTTTCTCAGTCGGCATTGTTGGTGTTGTGCTCATGATAGCTGGCATCATTAAGCAAAATCATGAAAATAACTGTCTACCGACAGAAAATTCACAACGAAGCAGCAGCCCACAACTTATGGCTTTTATAAAAAAGGTCCAGAAAACTTACTATGAGCTATACCCGAATAAGATCGTTTACATGCCTAAAACTACAGTCGCTGATATAAGAACATTCTTCACCGCCTATGACCCAAGCCCACGTGCGATCAAGATGCGAACAGATATAGCAAGAAAACTTTACGAAGAGATAGACCACATAAAATTTGATTTGAGAAGCATCCCGCTTCGAGAAGGCAGGGCATTGGCGAAGGTAAAGCATTATCTTCAAAGCAACTTTGGCACCCCATATGATGAGAATTATTACGCCGGCGATTGGATGATGGGGCCAAACTACTTTTGCTGGCAACCAATTTGCAAGATTGGCTCTGATCTTGGTGCACATTTCAATACAAAAACAAATGGATTTCAACCAAAAAGCATTGAAGACCTAGAATTCGTGATTAGAGTTATACAAAAGCATGGAAATGCCTTAGAGCAGTATGTAGATAATATGAAATACGGGGTAAAAGCGGGGATGGTTCGCTCAGTCAAAGATTGCAAATCTGGGTTGAACTCGTTATCAAGCAAATTTCCAGAAATCTCTGCAAATACCGAAACAGGTATCTTTTTATACTTATATATTATATGTATACATTGTATATTTTATGTTATATATTATTTATTACATATCATATAGTTTTTGAAGGCTACATTCTACGTTTTATAATCAATACATTCTTTTCTAAAAGAGTTTTGTTTACACGAATTTTAAGAATATTTCTCAGTCGCAACTAGCAAAATTTTTTCTTATTTTTCAGCAGTTGCGTGTCTCGTTTTTTCTCGTTTCTTTAAAAAGCCTAGTTTCTTTGGGCGGCAAATGTTCCTTTGGAATCATATAAAATTTGAGAAAAATAAGAATACTTTAAGAATTCATTCAGGCTCGAAAAGAAAAATTTCTTAAGAATATCGAGACTGGACTAAAATTTATAGTATTATTATAAAAATGAGTGTAAATAAAATAACAGATGGGCTAGGACGCAGCACGCAAAAAATCTTGATTGCTTGATGTTTTCGCTATGAGCTAAAACGTGATCAACGCAATAAACAGAAACTAATTAACCGACAATACGAACCTAACACAAAATGTTGACAGGCAAACACCTTCACATGAATAGGCGTCGACAGTAACAATAGGACTTAAAGAAAAATATATGACCTTAACACGCAACGGAGACATTGCTTAATTAAATACAGTAAACAACTCGTTGCAAACCACTTTAACACAATACACGCTTTTTTTATAAGAACCAGTAAATTTAAGTTCTGGCTGACTGTTCTTAATTTTTTCGAAAATCTTAGGATTGTTCTTAATTGTTCTTAATCTAATAGGCTGTAAGCAGTGGGAGTGCTAGCTTTTTTCGCTCTAGGGTGGTGTTCAGGCCTCATTTGCCAACAAAGTGAGTGAGACAGCCTTAATTTGCTGACAAACTTGAATACTCACCGAAAAGGCACCCACACATCGCTAAAAATCCTCGATTTTGAGAAAGAACGTTGTTCGAAATTGCATTTTGCAGAAGCTCAGCCTCAGCTTGTTCTTAAATTGTGTTCTTATAAAATTGTTCTAATAAAAAAAGAGTGTAATGAAAATAAAATCACGAATGTATCAAGGAAAAATCAAGACATCCGATAATTAGTTATGAACAGTTACTTGAGGATGAAAATGTCCCTTGGAATAAACAACCACAACAAACAAACAAACAAACAAACAAAGGGTAACACAACCATGTTTTCCTTTATTAGCAATCGGAGGTTATTGAAGGCCTTAGTAAGTGAATCTTCGATAAATTGAAGAGCTGTGTAAACCCTTTTCTCCTTTAACGCCAAAACAAAAACGCACTTTGTTTTAGAAAAAGTGCATATTGGTCCAATGTGGGACAAAAGGCCTCTGTCATCATTGTCCTTTTTGGCCAGTGCCAATCCAATTGCTACATTTTTCAGAAGACTTGAGACCCTTTACTTTTCTATATTATAAAGATCCCTGGTTTCCAATAAAAATATCCCCTTTGTTCTTATTATTCTCAACCAATGCCCCCCTCCTAATTTTTTAATCCTCCCTACCGTACTGTTTTCCTAGAAAGCGCTTATTTTTCAGCCATTTACGAAGAAACCTTTATTAAGAATGGTATAAAGCACAAAGACTACCTTAAGAAGCTTGACTCATCTGTACAAGGAGCTTGGAGATCAAAATATGGCAAGACAGTGGAGGGGTCATTAAATGCAGCCTTGCTAAACGACCTGGGAAAGCCAATCAAAGCGTTCATTGATTATGTGAAACTAAACTACAGCAGGCATTGCATACCAGATGATAAAGTCAGTGGCCTTGCTTCACTCCCTGTTGACTACGTATGGCTGGATCAACGTGAAGATAAACAGCAACCAACACTGAAAAAACTGCCAACTGGTGAGGCACTGAATGGGCCTAAAGCTTATGAAATGATACTGCCATATTTTACTACAAACAGTATGAAAGCAAATGAGATATACGACCTAGGGAAACGAATGCTTGATTCTTTGTATCCACAAGCTTTGGAAATAGCTAAAGCATATACCAAAGAAAGTGACAGCGTAAAAGCAGCAGCTAGATTCAAAGCAGAATTCGTGGACAGCCCGATGAGCTACTTCAATGCCACGCCCATTCCTGCAAACGAATCCGGCAGGGATGCCTTCCAGAAGTGTCAAAGCTTGGAAACAGCTAAAAAGTACTGTCCTGTCAGATACCAGTCCATGATGAACTGGTTTGGTGAGGTAGAAGCGATTATGGCCACCTTGCACGCAAAAATTGTAAATATGTTCTACCAGACAGGACCAAAGGCATCTACGGCAAATTGCCCAGTAAGGATGGTTGCCGTGTTCAACCCGTCAGTTGGGCACCAAAGTTTCAGTGCCGCTGGAGCGAGATGCAGAAGACCTTGTTACTACAAGCTACCATTTTTCCTTACTCCACCAGGACCTCGGTATGCCGCAATCTCTATCGCTGGGCACGAGGCTAGGCCAGGCCACCATACTCAGGTATCATTCATGGAACATTACTTTTTCAACATAACGTGATTAGCTACTTCTAAGATAAAGCGTGGAAATAGAAAACCATGCACACATTAAGACATGCGTCCTTTCAAGACGTAGTAGAGCTAAGTCCTATTTCCATTTATTTTTTTCTTTCAAGTGCAGCGTGACTATTGCGACCCCCAAACTGTATCTAGTAACTTTTTTAGCTTCGCTCATTGTGCTAGCTCTTTTTCACTTGAATACTTTACATACGGCAATATGTGTTTCTTCAGTGTGAAGGAATACCTACAGAACATAAAAAGAGGGAGAGAGGCTTCAATCCTACCCTTTGTTAGAAAGTAGGGGGCCTCAATCTTGCTGTCCTAGGAATCCACGTACCCTCGGTGAAATTTTCTTTCATTGTTGACTACCATTAATCAACAGTCATTTTTTAACCACAATGAAGAGTGTATAGATTCTATCTGTGTCTTTTTGACATTGAGCACTAACACAGAACAACAGTAATCTTTCTCTTCACAGATCCAGGGTTTTGCTGAACATTTCTCATCATCAGCTGATTCAGAAGAAGACGAAATCGACTGGTTGCATTCTGAGACCTACTATACAGCGGCGTATACAGAGGGATGGGGTTTATATGCAGAGAATCCTGTGCTTGCCCAAGGCACAGATATATATCAAGTCTATCCACTGCAGAAATACGGCATGCTGAAGCTGCAGATATGGCGAGCGTTAAGATTGATTGTAGATACAGGTTTCCATTACAAAGGTATGAATTCTTAAGCCTTCTATTTACGATTTAGGATACCTTCAAGACCTCCGAATAGAGGGGGCAGCCGGGGAAACGGGGCCTGGGTCCTTAAGGGCACCAGTAAAAATAAAGTCAAACGGAACTTCACCTATAAAAGGGTGTGGTCTCGAAATTTTTGGCGCCTGAGGGCCTGGCCCTGCTCTTTGCCTCAGGGTCTTGCTCACCTGATGGTGGCCCTGATATTATTTTAAAGAAAAAGAGGGGTGCAAAGTTGAGCTCAGCTCTGTAGGGTGAAAGGAGGAAGTTGTTCAAGTTGAACCCTGTGATTCCGCCACTAGTCCAATTACTGAAATAATCAAACTATTTGAACATTTCAGCAGGATTTTGTATTTGTGCAATTAATCGGATGGTAATTGAGTAGACTTTACTTTATTACCATTGATAATCAACTTTGTTTCTGAAATCTATGATATCGAAGGAGAAGCATGATATTTTCTTGTGCTTTTTTATGGTTTACTCAACCTAATTCGAACAAGTGATAATAATCGCTAATGACAGAGCATTTTCAGAACAACTTTAATGATTGATTCAAATTTCGTTCAGATATTACCTTTGTTGCTTCTTTTCTAACACAAAATAGAGAAAATTTCCGCTTCAAGCAAGCTTCTTAAAGAATTGTTTACAGATGAAGAATTTTAGAACATTGCTGCATTCTAAAACGCAACTAAAGCCTAATTTTGGACAATGCGATTAGAGTTTTGCCTTTTTCTTAAAAATTGTTGGCACGTTAACTGGTACAAATTGCTCTTTGTATCACACCAAATTGTGCATATTGTGAACCAAGAGGCATATTGTCCCTTGCCTGGTTTTATCAACGCTTTCCTTTAAATTCTTCAATGCTATTAGACTAGCAATGTGCTATATCACTTAAAAGCAACTTTAAGGGGAAAGATATCTCATTTTCGGATATCGGCCCCAAACCTCTTTAGAGCTGCTTGCAAGTGTAGAAAAATGGCTCTGATGTAAACGAAAGAAAAATGCCAGATTTTGGCATTAGTTGCTATTGCTAAACATACTCAACTAAACATATAGGAAATCCTTCAAACCGTATGCAAAGCGGCTTTTTGTCGACTTCCGTTTTTAATTCTTTTATCTTTAAGCAGTATTTTTACAGACTGCAAGGATGAACAAATGAAATGACGTTTTTACAGCTCCAATTAGTTCTGGACCCTGGCTCCTTTTTTAAAATTTTACCAAACAATTTTACCGAAGGAATACCAGGTTCCAGGTTACTCTCTCTCAAAATTTCTTTCCCCTGTTTCAATAGTATTGTACCAGCATTGAAAAGTTGATATTATTATGAAAACATTTTGCACTGCTATAAAGATGCAATTTGTCAACAAGGCAATTTTTGAAAGTTGTTCCCTAAAACACGTCATACTTGTCGTTATCACAGCTTCTGTTTCAGCAGTACGGAATTCGCCGCTTATGGTAGTGTTTGCGGTAGTGCTTTTTCTTTTTATAGAACATTTTTCATCTTTGTCATGGCAGGGCTTGCTTTCACTCATTATATGATATCAATTGCTTGAATGGCCAAAGGCTGGCCGAGCTTAACCTTTACCAGTGACCCTAAATCATTTCCTGTTCTTTAATCATTGAATCTTTCCAGTAACCCTTTACTTGAACTACTTTAACATTGCGATTCATATACAATAACATGTTCGTTTGCAGTGCTTTTAATGTCACACGTGATGCTACAAGTTCAATGACATTGTTCAATGAAAGTAGAATAAGGTCCTTTTGCAACGAGTCTCATTTTTGATAATTTTTTACAAAGATTTTAAAATAAGATTATTTCCGTATATGTGCACGTTCAATTCTTATATAGAAGACGTTTTTGGCGTGACGAACAACTTACTTCTTCACATATAGTCTTTTGGATATTCAATTTGTGAAGAACTCAGAAACTTATAGCTAAGGCTTAGCTCCACAGCTTGGTTTTAAGAAAGGTGATAGTTTTCGATAAAATGAGCGAGGAGCCATGGTGTAAATCACAGCTACAAGCTCTACTAGGATATACAATGGAGCGCTTTCAACATTGTCACTATAGTCTCCCAACAATAAAGTCCCGAAATGGCCAAAAGAAATTCAAGCCAAAAATTGCTTTGAATGAAAATTTTGAGGTCTTTTATCATCTTTTAGGTTCATGTCTTCATATGCTCTTTGAAATGTCATGATCCCTTTTATAATTATTATATAATGGACATATACATGATTTTACATGCAAATATATTTAGGAAAGAAGGAAATAAACATTTGTCTTGTCACGCTGCTTTCTAAGTCAAAAACGTTAGATATAAACAACGTATATTACATTTTAGTTGATTCTGACGTGTAGAATCACCTAGAACATATTTCCCAGCATTTTACCTTCTGCCTTTAGGTAATGGCTTTTTGATAAGTTTATACCTGATTACTGAATGCACGAGAAAGGGGAAATTAAAGTAGTCAATTCTGCCTTCCTCGTTTCATGGTTATTTCTCTTAGCCGAAAGAAAAGCAGTTGTCCTAGGGGTGAAACTTTTTAGGAAAGTGATTTTAAGTAGTGATTTGCCTCCTGTGTTTGGCCATGGGGACAATATGCATCTGGTAAAGAATATACAATGTTTTCTTCTGGTACTGCCATTGAGTTTGTCATGTCCACCCCAGTCCACCCTGTAGTGACGCCACTGGATTCAAATCAACATTTTGTATGTCTTGTGGGCACAAAATTTGCAACAGGTATCTTCAGTGCTAACATGGTTTTTATTGCTCCCAACAACAGTTTCTGAAGTTTCAATAAAGGCCTGTCCAATCCAAGCACAGTTTGAAAAAGAACTTTTTGGAGGAAGCTTGGGGAGTGATAATGTTCACACTGAGGTGTGAACATTGTCACCTTAACAATTAGCCTCAAGAAGACTTGAAAATATACCTCCTGCTACTAAAACAAGAGAGCTTTTTTCAATATCTTTTGTTATGATTGCTAAATTTTCCTAAATTTCCCCCCTTTTCATCCTGCCTCGGAGCCCATGGAACACTGACAATTTTTGAACCATCATAAATCAAAGCATGAAGGATATGGCATCTCGGAATACGATGTTGAGAAAAATCAAGCAATACTTTCTTTTCCAAATGTATGAAAATTTAATCATACATTCATAGGAAGTTATTCCCTGAAGTTTTTACACTTACGGTCCGAAAATATTGCACCCTTCGCCAAAAAATGGCCGTACAGCCGCCAAAGTCAATTAACTAAAAAATTCAAATGGCTGTAACAAATAACAGAAAGCTTTAAGCCTACAGTTCAAGCGGGAAATAATAGAAAATTTATCAAGGAATTGTAATTAAGATATGAATTGCGAAAAAAATTTCGAATTTCTTCTATTTCTGAACAATATCCATGATAATGAAAACACGAAAATTGAGCTTTGATGATAGGTGTACCCGTAAAATATTTCCAATAAAAAATTGCTTGAGGGTTTTTGTTATGGTGAATTCAGAGATACTGACTTTGTACTTTGGTGTCTAAAATGTTTAAATTCCTTACGGAGCAACCGAAATTTGAAAATCAAACTCAGAAAAAGCAAGTGAACGCCTTTTTTGTTGAAACACTGTAGTCTGCGTTGCTGTTTCTAAATTCCGAAATTTCCAAGCTGTGTTTTGCAGTTCCACTGTGATAAAATGGAGACCCTACTTCAATCTCTTTTGAAAATTGCTCTTTTAATAGATAGGTGATTTTGAAAGTGCAAACCATTTTTCTTTTATAGAAAAGACAGGACTTACAAATGCTTGCTTTTCGGAAACAAGTGTTTATAGCCAACGCCAGAGAAACTAGAGGCATATTTCATGACTTTAAACAAACAGCCCGAGTCTTAAGGCCTAACATATTTAGTGACTCTCTCTTGGGGTCCCCGATGATTTCAGCCTTTGGGGCGAAGTGCCCTAAAAATGAAGTTTTTGCATGACACGCCCTTTCATTAAGCATGACACGCCCTTTCATCGGGCATCTAAGCTTCATACCCACCTAATAAAAATAGTGAAGTTTCGCCCCTGCTTTTCACGTGTGGTTTTTGTTTACATCAAGACTGCATGGACGGTATAAAGTGCTAAGTGAAGCAAAGGGCGGAAGTAAGCCAGCACTAAGAATCTGAGTCCACTTGAGGTCATTGCTTTTTAAGACCGTTTATGTCGAAGCAGTAAAAATGGCTCTCCATGAGATGAATAGACTGGTGCTATTGGCAGTAGCAGTCCTGTGCCTGGCTGGCTTTGCGACGCTGATTGCTGGTATCGTCAAGCAGAATTCCACTGAAAACTGCTCTGCTTCTTCGGCATCCCAGCGAGTAAGCAGTCCACAGCTCATAGAATTCATCAAAAAGGTGCAAAAAGCCTACTACAAAATGAACCCAAACAAAATTATTTTCATGCCTGATGCAACAATTGCCAACACAAGGCAAGAATTCAGCGCTTACGACGCCATGCCAAGTGCAATCAAAAGGCGAACAGATATGGCAAAGCAGCTGTATGCTGAAATCAGTAACATGAAGCTCAACGAGAAGACGATGCTACTACGAGAGCGGAAAGCTCTTGCCCAGGTCAAGCACTATCTCCAAAGTAACTTTGGTGCACCTTATGATGAAAACTATTACGCAGGGGATTGGATGATGGGACCAAACTACTTTTGCTGGCAGCCAATCTGCTACATTGGATCGGATCTTTTCTATCATTTTACTGCTAACCCCAAATACAAAGGATTTCAACCTAAAAACCTTTCAGACATGGAATTTGTGATCGATTCTATCAAAAAGCATGGAAAATCCGTAAGCCAGTATGTTGAGAACATGAAGTATGGGGTAAAAGCTGGAATGGTGCGCTCTGTTAAAGATTGTGAGTCTGGGTTAAGTGCAATATCAAGCAGATTCCCCATCATAGCAAGAAATAACGAAACAGGTACAGTTTATTACGATCATTTCTTTTTTCATTTTCAAAGGATTGCACATGCCCATAGAAGCGAGGGGGCTTGAATGCTTCAACCCCTACCCCCAGCGATTATATTCTATCATGGACCACAAATTACCCCCCCCCCCATCCCAGCCACCCCCACCTCCAGCAGCCCATAGCCGTCCTCTCACTTTGAATTCGAACGCGAGGCTGGCGATGTTGACTTTAGCAAACATCAAGGCACTACATACCACTCTGTTAGTATTTCTGTTCATTGGTTGAATAAAACAGCAACCATTCGACTTAGTTTAATTTTTGTCGCTTTTCACAGGAATTTACGACGAAACCTTTATTAAGAATGGTATAAAGCACAAAGACTACCTTAAGAAGCTTGACTCATCTGTACAAGGAGCTTGGAGATCAAAATATGGCAAGACAGTGGAGGGGTCATTAAATGCAGCCTTGCTAAACGACCTGGGAAAGCCAATCAAAGCGTTCATTGATTATGTGAAACTCAACTACAGCAGGCATTGCATACCAGATGATAAAGTCAGTGGCCTTGCTTCACTCCCTGTTGACTACGTATGGCTGGATCAACGTGAAGATAAACAGCAACCAACACTGAAAAAACTGCCAACTGGTGAGGCACTGAATGGGCCTAAAGCTTATGAAATGATACTGCCATATTTTACTACAAACAGTATGAAAGCAAATGAGATATACGACCTAGGGAAACGAATGCTTGATTCTTTGTATCCACAAGCTTTGGAAATAGCTAAAGCATATACCAAAGAAAGTGACAGCGTAAAGGCAGCAGCTAGATTCAAAGCAGAATTCGTGGACAGCCCGATGAGCTACTTCAATGCCACGCCCATTCCTGCAAACGAATCCGGCAGCGATGCCTTCCAGAAGTGTCAAAGCTTGGAAACAGCTAAAAAGTACTGTCCTGTCAGATACCAGTCCATGATGAACTGGTTTGATTATGTACAGACCACTCTTTCGATGCTTCATCCTAAAATCCGAAGTTTTTTCTACGATACAGAAAGCAGAGCGTCGACACCGAACTGTCCTTTGAAGATGGTCGCTAAATTCAACCCTTCTTCAGGATCACAAAGTTATAGCAGTGCTGGAACAAGTTGCAAAAGGCCATGTTATTACAATCTTCCATTTTTCCTTACCCCACATGGACCACGTTATGGTGCCATTTCAGTTGCTGGACACGAGGGTAGACCGGGCCACCATACTCAGGTAAATTGTCTATTTTGCAATTTATATATCCTTACTATCTTTCGTTCCAATATTTTCACTACACATTTATTACTTTGTTCTTATAATGTTACTGCCATGCTGTTACTGCTGGCCATGAATGTCTGCACCATGGGGGCAGCGAGGGAACTCACTCTCCTAGGTCCCTCATCAATTTTAGCAGTTTCCTTTGTTTTGCCATTGTTTTGCCCGGTTTTGCCCGTTTCTTGACTTCTCCCTTTTATTCACCGTGATTGTAAGTTTTCTCACTGCTGGCTATAATTCTGGATTGACTATATGCCAATCAATGAAAAACTTTTTTGATGGAGTTGACGGTGGAAGGACTGGTGAGCGAAACGGTGTATGCTACTACCTACTAACTTACACCCTTTTCACAAGAACCAGATAATTTTTGCTGAGGTTCTTTGTTCTTATTTGGTACATAATTTGCGGGCTCGAGTGTTCTGGTTTCAACAAAAGTTTTTCTACAACTACTTAATGTCAATTGTTTCTCAATTCTCAGACAACGAAACACCTGCGTCGGTACCGGGAATGCACCCAGGGAATGTTGCCAAAAATGTCTAAAAAAGGTCCTTTCTGAAAAAATAGCCTTTATGTGTCCCTTTTTCCACGACATAATGCCCTACCTATCGTGGCCCTTCTAACTTTGCAGTGCCGCAGTTTCGACATGACCAATTTAATGGCACGATGAAATCGACTCTGCTTTGATAAAAAGTTTCCAACTTGTTCTTTCTTGTGGTTAACACGGTTTGCTTTTTGAATACATTTGCTGTATACGATAGAGTGCTAATTTTTGTAATCTTCTATGGATCTTGAAGTGTGTTAGCGAATTGTATACACTCTTTCTTTTTATAAGAACACACTTTCTAAAAATACAGTATACTCTCGTTAAGTGGACCCCGGATAAGTAGGACGCCCGCTATGTAGTACAGATTTTCCCGGTCCCTTAAACTTGCTTACCCTTTTCAAGCATTCGGATAAGTAGGGCAAGAAAGAAACAAGTTTTCACTCTTCGTGCTTTAGGTTCCCAGGTGAAACAAGTCAGAAATTAAGTTAATTTTCAAAACAACAGCTATTGCGATATCAAGTCTTGCCAAAATTCAATCAATGTCATTATCGAAATCATTAAGAGCATTATGTTGTAGAACTCTCTCACACTTGAAATATTCTAAAAAGACCACAAAAGAAAGTCTTATTTTCTTAAGAAAAAGATCGAATAATTTTGCACACTGTCAAAGATTTTGTTGAGAGGAATAGCCATCAGATAGAAATGTTCATATCAAATATAGCTTCAAGCATTACCTGTTTTTGCTTGTTTGCCTCAGTTTCTGCTAAGAACTTGTTAATGGGTGTTTGATTCGAATTTTTTGACGTATTTGGATGCAGAGACTAGCCGTAACTCGAATAAGCCTTGAAGTGTTTGGCAGGATTTGTGTTGCCAATGGAAGCCTTTATCGACCACAATTCGAATGCCCTTTCCGTTACAAAGCATTGTGACATTGTGAGCATCGATGTTTTTGATTTGAGCCACTTCTCTTGGACCACAAGGCTATAATCAATTTTTATAAACTTGACAAAAAGACATGATTTGCTTACAAAATAAGAACATTTGGCAAAAATATGGCCTAGCCTCAGAACAATAATTAAAAGAAGTATGATTTTGAAATTTTCTCCCATGTTCACAAAACCGAGCAGATTTTATCAGAAAATCATCCGTGCTACTAAAATTGTTTTCTAGTGGTCTTTGAAGCAATCAATAGTATGAGGTTGTGGGAAAATCAAAGTTGAAATTAGGACAATATTAGGAACACCCGAACCTCAAATTATCCAAAAATTAGGGAAATTGAACCTCAGCAAAATTTATCTGGTATCTGGAAAAACATTTATGATGATTTTTTGCATTATCATGGAAAAAAGTATAAAAATTATACAGAGTATGTGCTATTATTTTTCCTGGATTTTTTTCTATCAATTTTTGGTCTCTTTGGATTTTAGGTGCAAGGATTCTCAGAACATTTCTCCTCTTCTGGATCAAAGGACGTAATTGATTGGCTTAACTCTGAAACATACTACACTGCGTTTACTGAAGGGTGGGCTTTGTATGCTGAAAACCCTCTTCTTGCACAGGGAACAGACGTATACAAAATCTACCCTACACAAAAGTACGGTATGTTGAAATGGCAAATTTGGAGAGCCTTGAGGCTCATGATGGACACGGGTTTCCACTCCAAAGGTAGGTTTCTATGTAAGATGAACCCTGTGAGATGCCAAAGTGTCATTACTTCACCTTAATAGCAATTAGGCCAGTATGGTGACCGGCCCACGTAACGGGTGGTAGAAGCAAATAGGCAATGAAAGACGACCTAGGGTCAGTGACGCAGCGGATTCAAATGATATCATCTGTTCCTTCAGAGCTGTCGTCGCCAAATCTGCCGCTATTGTTGTCTTATTGGCACCACTCTCTAACCCTTATTAGAGAGAACTACCAATAAAATATTACTGTCTTAGCTGGTGCTGCAACATTTACTATCATTTCTTCGAATCGACAAATTGGTCATTCCGAGCGTTCTTCGCAATTTCTTTGCTGAATAGGCTTGGACTTGTATCCAAACCAATGAAAAGCTGCTGACGGTGCTCTCTTGAGAGATGAGCAAATGCATTAAAAAGCATCTATTTTTGCTCCCTGTTGGTATTGAGTGTATAGGTATTATTTGCACAAGCATTTTGTATGTTTGATCGCGGCTTTCTCAAACGGTCTTCAGAACATTTCCTCTCCCAGCTCTTGGAGGTAAACGTCATCATGCAGGACAATATTTGCAAGTTTTGTGTGTCTTTGGTTTTCTTTGCAAGCACGCTGATCATCGTGCTAAATCCATCAATGTTGCAAGTAATGGTGACTAATCTCCATCTCTTTTTCAGTCTTATCTTTAACACGATATTCTTTTCGTTGTCAAAGTCAATGTAAATATAGAGCTTTAATGTTAGTAGAATGGGGCGTGAAGCTGAATATAGAGGAAAATGCCATGCCAGTAACTTTAAGTTGTTGGTGAGTATTTTCTGCATATTCGTAAATAAAAATGACATAGGGAATGTAGAGAAATAAAGTTGATGGTACGAGCTAGCGGAACCACAGGTCGGCATTTTCAATTAGAGGGAAAGAATGCGAAGTGGTTTTGAATCCCAGGTGCATGAGCATGATATATTTACTCCTCATACACGACAACAACAACAGCCTTCGTTTACAGCAGCAACAGCGACTGTACTGTGTAAGCTTCGTTTGTGACCGCGGAAGCTGACCACTCAAAGAAGCTTCATGTTATTTTGTTTAACATGATAATTGTTTGGTATTTACGAAGTTCATAAAACACATGGATGGTGAAAATAATAGGCTTGAAAGAAGTTGGAACATCAGTAGAGAAAACAAAAATTCAACAACAGAAGCGAATATGGGGTGCCCTTAGAGAGACGTTTTATATTAAGACAAACAAAGATTTGACAAAGAAAGACAAGAGTAGAAAGTTGTGAGCAACAAAATATGAAATGAATGAGGCAAAAAAATTATTATCATATGTTGGTGAAACCACGGAAGTCAGTCATGAAAATGGCACTTTAGCAACTTATGAAAGATGAGCAGAAATAAGGTTACACATTTTAAGAGTGAATTTTCGACCTAGAGTAATCTTATGTCTTTTGTTATATTGACATTTTCCCTTACATGTCATTGTTATCTCCATTTTTCCAGAAATATTACCTTGGACCTTACTATCTCGGTATCACTATAAGGTACCCTCGAGGTCGTATCGAATTTTGTCAAATCTTGTTCTTTGTTGAATTCCTCTCTGATAAGAAAACCTTGCAGGAAACTCTTATCCTTGCCTACCTTGAGGCAAGATCTTAGCCATGCCTACCAGATCTGAATGAAACTTAATGGTGCAAAATGTTATCTGTCTTGTTATGGAAAGAATTGTGTAATGCTGATCTTGCCCAACTTGTATTTGAAAATTGCTATGACGATCTTTCAAACTTAGCTGTGACACCGTTGAAACCACAAGGAAGGCAAAAAAACTTGTCGCGTATGAACTTCCCTTTTTTCATTCATTCCAAGACTAACCTTTGAGCTAAACGGAGATGTACGAAGGAATGATTAACATTCCCTTCCGTATATGAGCCGTCCTAGATTAGAAACTGACGGTGAGAAATTTTATTGCCTCTACTGAAAGTTATACTATGCTGATACTGTGCACAACAAAATTCGATCATGGTACCATGTGTCGAAAGAGGCTCGGAATCAAATGTGGCACATCACATTTGAGATACTCTGTTTGCAAATGATTATACCAACAACCTCAAACCAAAAGATACAATGTTCTCCACAAAGGTAATGCTGAAGATGAGAGATCCATTCGGTTTACACAAATTAGAAGCTTGGGTGTATATAACAGGATGGTTCGAACTTGCATAACTCTGAGATGCACATTATCAACCTATATACAATTAAGATATGTAATCTCAAATACTTCAGAACTTGCCACACAACTGTATGTAGTACTTTAAGGACTACATAGTTTATTGAACTTGTTCCTTACATTATGGTAGCTGCACTTCCTAAGCAGGTTTGATGTACGTTATAAAAGCAAATTTGAAAGATGGACAGCCATTTTGTATGTACACCTTTCCTATTTAAGTACAACTTCAAGTTAAGGGCCATGTGAGGCAGCCTCGTTCTTAAAAAAATTGGAGAAATCATATTGATCTTGTGCCGCTCATGAAATTAGCCACACAACTCTAGCAGATTCAACATAGGCCATAAACATCAATGTCGATATTGAGAATACCTTTTTGTATATGCAACTTTCACATATGTGTAAAACTTCTGCCGTAGTTCAAGCAACCTCCTTCAAAACATGATTGGAGAAATCGTTTTGGGCCTGGCAACAAATTACAATAACTACACAGCCTTAAGCCAGCTATAAAACTACAGTTGAGCCCCGCTATCTCGAACTTGGCTTTCTCGTAAAACTCTCTATCTCGAACAGATTCTCATGATCCCTTGATTTCCTATAGAGCTTGGTATAGAAATAAATCTCATTATTTCGAAATAGACTCGCTAATCTCGAACTATTCCCTGTCTCGAACGAAATTTTTTAATCTTGAAAGAGAAAACCCGGTTGTCTCGAACAAAAATTGACAAACAATTTCAGCTACTAATTATCATAGCAGTGATGGTTCATTTAATAAAATTGAAATGAACTAGGGTTGTCCGACAATGATTAACTTGCAAAGGACTTCCCTTCCTTTGCCATCTCAAAAGTTTAAACGATTGCCCTTCACCACAACCACACATGAATTGAGAATATGAGTTTCAGTTATCCTTCAAAATTCTTCTTCCCAAATATTGTTGTAAAATAAGCATTTTAGGGAATCTAAAGGGGTGTTAAAATTGTAAAAATTTATTTGAAGAATATACCCTTACCGCCTGACTTTTGCCCTCTCCCATGATTTCCCTCCCACTATCATTCTGCCAGTCAGTGGTGACCTTTGCGAAGATCTTCTATCTCAATTCGATTTATTATCAAGTCATGGCTGAAGAGTGACCATCTATGCAAAGGCTTTTTGCAGATCATTTGCTGATGACGTTGGGCCAGGCTTTTAGCTTTTCAACTGTACCTTAGGACTTAATTCACACTTTCAATTTCGTATTTTCATTAGCCACAAGCAGGGACTGGACTTTTGTCTCATAGCGTAGTCCGTCTGAAAGGTGATATCATTCTAAGTGGAGTATTTTAAGTTAACTTGCGTTGCAAATTACATTAATTAACAAAGAGGTTAGGAGAAGAATTTTGGGAAGGAGAGAAGATTGTTAAGTCTTATGGGACAAGTCTCTCAATAGACCCTTTTGTTATCATATTAGAATGACTGATATCAGGTTAGCATATGTCAACATACCTTTTCAGTTTCAGTTTTCATTAGACGTTCTATCAGACGTGGGTACGGCGCTACAAAAGAAAACAAGCAGGAAACATGATTTGATAATCTTGAAGACGACTATGAGGCCTCATGAAGAATTAAGCGTCTTCTTGGGTTAATGCGCGATCATCTCACAACCAATTCAGTCGGAATTAAACGGTCAAAGCCATTTAAGCTATGAAATTACACAAGTAATCACCCGATAAATGCCAGATTGATTCTTGCAATACCACTAAAGATCGAATGAATATCAAATGAATCGAAGTCTACAATTTTTAAAATATTGGTAGAAGTCTCAGGGACTTAAAATACTCACAAAGAGTGGCAGACACTACAGCTATTGTCTTTGATTCCTTCAGCATACCAGATAACACTCCAGTCAATTGTCTATTTATTAACCTAGTCACATAACTTAATGACATGTATGATAATCGGCACATGACATAAAACGGGACAAGGAAATACCTAGAAGATGTAAAACCGCTTGCTTTACCAAATATCCCTGTAGACCACCATAACTAGCCGACACAAGATAGGCTTTTGGTTTTCCAAATCTATTAAAGGTCTTTCTCATGGGCCGCTTCTTCATTTTATACCAATCTTCAAAAGATCTCCATTCGCACTTACCACCATAATCTAACTATAAATCCATCTGTTTCTATTTCCAGTTAAAAGCTTCTATGTTTTAGTTAATTCTTTATAAATTTTGTTTTACTCATATGTATTGTGCCACGAAAAATCTGATGCTTTAATTTGAAAATATGAAGCATTCATTCTTTCAGTCCTATACGGTTACTCAACAGTAGTGATTCCATAAATATACCAGATTGCTTGCGGTACAATGTAATTATCAAGTCAGGCTATGCTTGAGACGTCATTATTCAATAATCCCTTATTTATTCCTGGTACAATTTATTTACATTCACAGTTATTTGCTCGACAGTAGTGCCTCTAAAACGCTTTGCCATGTTGCTTTTTTAGTCCATGACGTGACCAAAACCTCACTAAGAGAAAGGAGCGTTGCAAGCTCTCCGTTGTTATTTCAGGCGTAAGAATCACGAGGTGTGTTCTCGTCGAGAGCAAGGAACAGGACATTGCTTTTCGATGGCCATAGATTCTTAGCGTCCTTAAAAACTACCTTCAGAAGCTAGGTAGACATACCAATGTGATGCTGCACAAATTCGCACAATAAGAGCAAGCTATTGTTTGTGTATAAATGTTTCATGGAAGAAATAAAATATTTTTATGAGAGAAAAAAGCTGTGAAACTTTATTAACAAACAGTTATAGAGACAGACGGCCAATCATCAATTCATATCAATTTGTATAATCGTTACTAACAGTTTATTATACATATATATATATATATAGATTCAATAGCTCCTATCTATAAAGGTTTTTTTTTTGAAATATTTAATAGATGCTCAATAAAAAACAACTTGGTTGACGTTTCGCTATAAGCTTCTTCAGAATCAAGAATATATATATAAATATGTAAAATTTATCGGCTTAGTCTTTTTCCTTTCCACAGTTCTGCGATATTCCTGCAGTTTAGGAGTGAAAGGGCTTAACAACAAGTCTCTCTAATTGTACACAATGAAGCCTTTTTTGAAAGCATTTCTAAGAGCATGTAGCTAGCATGAATCTTTGTAGCTTTCCTTCCAATGCCACTTGCTTTCATTTTTTTATCTTATCAACTGACTTTCAATCTGTTGTGACCATTTGCTGATATTTTAGGTTTTTGATACCTACAGAAAATATATCAGTGTCTTTAGAAGCCAGTGGTACATGTTCTTAATCTTATCTTTATGTTTCTTGCAAAGAATGCAGCAGATTACATATGTTTACTTCTTGTTTTATTTCTAAATAACGTTTTCGGATACTTCCAATAACAAAATTTTCAATTGGCCTCAATAACTACAAGAAAGAAAAGCAATTATCAATTTAGCAAGAACTCCTTTTTAATCCCTGATACCGAAAACGAAACCGAAAAACCTTGATGATTTGATTTTTTAAGCATTTTTACTCGGATACAAGAAAAGGATGCAAGATGCTAATAACCTGCAAGATAATGTTTCATAATATATTATAATATAATCTCTTTGTACCAGGCATGAAAAGGCCAGAGGCAGAGAAGTTATTTGCAGACTACGCATGGGACACTACAGAGAAAGCAACTAAGGACCTCACTAGGTACCAAAGTGACCCTGGGCAAGCAACAGCTTATATGATAGGGCAGTTGGCGATATGGAAGCTTAGGAACTACACGAAGAATGCTTTGGAGACAGCAAAGATGAAGTTTGACGAAAAGGAGTTTCATTATCATGTGCTATCTCAAGGGTCCTCTCCTTTAGATTATCTAGAATTCTACATCAAAGAATACGTAGCTTGTAAACTGGATCCAAAACGCGAAGGGTGTAAGGACATCACTGAATCAAAGCGCACTGTTTCAAAGTCTCAAGACCAAGCCATTTTATCCGAAAAAGAGGAACTGATCGAGGAAAAGCCCTTCTTTGAAAAATACGACTAGCAATGGTCTTTTTACCTAAAGCTAAGGGTTTTCATCTAGTAACATTTTCAAGTATTATGTAAAAAGTTTACTAGCCTTCTCGTTGTATAATTGGTTAAATCGTTTTGAATTTTGTCTTGATTATTGAGCTATTTTCATGTTATTAACAATGCTTGACTTCAACTTGTTGTTTAGAAATGATTGATAATGAATAGTCCCCTCACAACTCTTGTTTTTCCCCTTCACTTTAATATTTTGCATTATAAAACATTTTCGAACTGTAGTTGTCAGAGGATTGCCTTAATTCAACCAATATAAATTTTTATCATAGTATGTTCTCTTATCGATTACTTGGTAGCGTTATGTATTGATTAAAATCTCTCCTATAGCACTAACTCCCATAGTAAATTGCCGAATAATGTAATGTCATCCAATCGTCCCACTGCAGTGCGATAAGGCTTTTGGTTATAAATATCTAGGCAACTGGTAAGGTTATTTTCCATAAACAATTCCTTATTCAGATGCCTAATACTCTTTCTGTGCATTTTATTTACTGCAAATGCGCAACTTCTCCACGCCCAGTAACATAATTCTGTCAAAGCGATTGTGTAAGCTTCTAAGGGGTAGATCCTGTATTAAGAATTACAGTACATAAGTAAGTTAATTTGCTCTGTTTGTGTGTTTTTTAAGAAAGCACGGAAAGGCTTTGTCTGAAAAATCTTGCTATGCTTGTAAAGATCCAATTGAAACAATCAGGTCACGGATAATTAAAAAGTAAGATCAGAAAGAAAGTTAATTTAAAATCGAGCTGTTTAAAGTATTTTACACATTGATTAAATTGGTTTGATAAACAGATAATCAACATTTGCAGAATTTCTATTAATCAAATTGGCTCAGTGATTAATTTTCAGGTGGTAATTGGAGCCAATGCTTTCTTCTTTCGTTTTTATAGCAAAGCTTGTTCTTTACTTGCATGTGATTCTACCAAAATATATTCATTTTTTATTTGAAATTAATTTGTGGCTCTCCGGCCCAAACATGATTGATTAACCTATTGGTTAAGTACACTACAGTTCTCAAAATACGCCTTGTAAAAGTGTTTTGGTGAATTAGACGTAATCTTATTACCGTGCATTTCTTTGGCCTTTGCTCGTACACACAATGCACAAATTTATTCATACATTTTGCTGTGAATCGCACAGTGCTAATAATGATGAGTAATTCATCAGACACATGTTTGTTTTTTACCACTGTTTCATGATCCCAAGGCTAATTCACTAAAAAGGTATTTCGCTCTTAATGCAGTACCAAGGCGTCTTCTTCAGGTTATTGGCCCAAACATGCATTATATCTGGAAGGGATATCTATTCAGCATGACCCGAGATGATGGATTTTCACTGTATTAGAACTAGACATATTAGTATTAACAGAAACAGTACTAAAAATGCCATGAAGAAGTTTTGTATTACTGTCAAGTCATCTCTGTACCATCAAGCTTATTGAAGAGATTGTATTTTGTATTGTAATGAAGCATCACAATGTATTATAATAATAATGCTCACTTCAGAACCATTACAGATACGACAAATCCGCATTTAGGTTGGTTTAATGAGCTAAACGAACTATTTAAACCACTTTAAAAGGAGCTTGTTTTGATGCGATGATGAAAAAAAGAATATAGTGAACATTGAATTTATTTATCAGTATATGAAGAGTTTCTTTACGGTAAGGTGAGCTTCCATGCAGACGGAAACAAGCTGAAAGAAATCTTGATGACGATGATATGGAAAACGACTTTGAGCACTATAATGTTGCTATTAATATGCAGTTACTGCAAGATTAAGTTTCAGAGGATTATAACATAGTCTGTTGGAGAAAAAGCAATCTGTTTTAAAATTGAAGAAACTGCTTAGGAAGAATTATTTGTTTGAATTTGCAGGCAAGGCGACAACTATGCTAATGCTAGTTTGTGGTAGATGGGAAATAAATACAAGTTTTTGGAAAGTCAATTTAATTTTGAAATCCATTGGGGGGTTAGTGAGACGACAAAGACGTCTCTCACTTCCGTTTGTTTTCAGTTCGCGTCGAATGCATACTGCATTTTAAAAAATGATGATTGTAGAATGTGCATCGGGATGCTGATGAGTAATGATGAGAGTACAGATTAGAATCATTCACCACGCCCATTTGAAAGGTTTTCACACTTCAAATAATAAATCTTTAAGTGATCTCCTGTATAAAATTCCTTTAACGCTTGTATATAAAGAAATGAACTTCATTTAAAAGTCATTTTTGTAAAAAAAATATTACATGCCCTACAAAGGGACACAAATTGTACTGCTCTTCACTTCTGATTTTGGGAGATCTGACACTTTTACAAAGGGCAAAAAGAGCCTCATCATCTAGGAAATAAATTTAACTAAAGAATATCTTGATTTTGAAGGAAGAATGATTTCATAAAACGTTTGCTCTAAGTATATGCTCGATAAAAGGACAAAAAAGAAAGGTATAGTGATATTGAATCGCAAACGTTTTAGCTAGAAAGTAGTGTATAAAGTTGGCTGATTTCAATTCAGCTATGACAGACACTTTGGTTAGGAACTGCAGTCTGTAGGATACAATCCTTGAAAGAGGCTGGGTCAAGAGGTCGAGCAAGAACATCAAGAAAAGGCAGGAAAAGTCATTGAGAACATGCAATCTTCCCAAAACAGAACAAAGAGTTTCGATGACAAATATTCTTTATCGTGCATTTGCATATGAATGCCGCCATCTACGATTTGATGTATTAATTCATTTTGTTGGGAAAAACTGAATTGGTGCATATGTCAGACAGATTATATGAATAGAAATACCCAAAAGTCAATTATGTTTGACGATCAAGTGTTTACCAAAAGTTGTCTTTGCACAGTTCTCTTCAAATGCTGTTTACAGTTATCAACAAGGCTCTTCACAATACTAATCAAAACCTGTGCTTAGAAGTCTTCATCCATTGACACTTGGCATTTTCATTACTCTTTTATACAAGATTCAATGGCGACGGTTTTCATTTAAAGCATTATAATGCTTTTCAATATATCTAAATAAATACTATATTAAAGTGATAAAGAAATTAAAAAACATCAAGTACCGACAACAAAGTATAGAAATTTCAACCATTAGTTTTCTCAAGCAACTGAAACGAGAAAGAAATGGTCTTTTATTGTCATTTTATAGTACTTTCATTTAAAAAAAAAGAATGCAAATCTTAAATGACAGCTAAGGATGGGAAACCAAATAATTCTAGACAAGGCTGCCATCTTCACAGTTTTGATGGCTCAGTTTTTGAGGATAAAATTGACGATGAATTTCTTCATAACCTGCAACATAAGCAATGCCGAACGGATTCTTATTTTGATCAGAAGAAAGTTCTTGAGATAAGGACCGAACCTTGCAGCGCTATGCAATGCCATTTACCTTAAAAATCAAGTCAAAGTCAATTGGATACCAAAAACTTTCCTTAGGCAGCGAATTTTTAACGATTATATGAATGAAGAATAATTTTTTCGTGGACTAAAATTCGATTTAACTTATCAGCACCTTCCTACACAAAACCCTTCCTACACAAAAACTATTTACCAAACTGAACTTCAAGAGCTATTTACCAAACTGATCATCACTGTGAACTCTAAAGTCGTCATAATAATCTTAAAGTGTGAAAAGATGTCTCTTTTAGAAAAAGAGATGACGAATGATTATTATGATCTGTTTTTGTAATGTACTGAAGTGATATTTCAAAGCAGCTAGAAAGAAACTTTTAGCAAGGTTTCTGAATATTTGAAAACGCAAGCTTGTATCCAAATTCATTTCCATTTTGGTAAATTATATATCATTTTGCCAATATAGGTCTTGAACCTTTACGATATCAATTCCAAAGCCATTTTTAAACAGCAACCCTGCCCTCACAGATCTCTCAAATGATTGACTCCTGATAAGTGTGAATACTACGGGCATAATGATGATGCTAATACATATTTAAAGGTCATGAGCTAGTCATGGCCTTCAGTTTGGTTAGTAGAATAGGACAGAAATTCTGTACGTAGTCTGATATAATCAGTAGTTGGCATCGCAATAGTGTGGATGCCAGCATCGTCTGTGACAGTCTGCGTGCTAGCATCTCAGCTGACTGACCCAAGAAAGAAATTACCCTCTTTCTCTATCATTGTGTAACCACCACTGCCATAGAACGGAAAGGACAGAAATCGATGACCCAGTTCACTTGCTAAAGTATTTATTCTTGTCTTAAAGCAAGAAATTCAGAATAGATTGTCAAAAGGACAAATCAAAGTTCATTTTCAGCTTCATTAAAATTTAAATTCGATTGCGATAGTTTCGAAAGAGCTTCGAAAAAGTTGAGAAGATATTGTGGCGCTGTTCACTGTCAAAAAAGTGTAGATCCCACTTTGAAGGTGTATTTAAGCATTTTGCATATCCGTATTCGCAATAGGGAAGCTATTAACGGCATTGCCGTCTGTTATGATAGAGGGAAATTTCCATGGAGCTCCTGCATTTAGTTTAAAATTCCTTCTTACTGAAATCCAGCAGCAATTCGCGGTGATAAGCTGAGAGACAGGCCCGAAGTTTTTCGACAAACAGCTCACGCACGTCAATATTTTTCGCTAGCACACTAGATTTCACTACAACTGAGGAAAGACTGTCGAAATGCTGTATATTCACAAGAATACTAGAAGTCATTTATCGTTCGAATGCAAATGAATTGACTTTCAAGTGATGTCAAAATCTACCAGATTTGAAAAACCCTCTTCGTATCATATTCATTTAGCATTCTTTGATTAATATTAACGTAATTTTATCTTTCAACGGTACGATAGCTTAAAATAACGAATAGTCTTCTAGCAAAACATTTTTAAAAACATCTTTTCCTGAAGGCTGTATAAGTTAGATAATTTCACATTACTACATTTCACATAAGATTTTTTTGGTTTGTTTCCGTTAATCCCTGTTTCCTTTGGGATCGATCAGTACTCAAATAAAAAGTATTTTCTTATTAGAACATACACTTTCTCTGTAATCTTCGTCTGTATGGCAATACATCATCCTAATAAAATTTCGGGAAAATATCTCATACAAAAAGGAAAATATTACTTCAAGAAACAGGAAAGTATGTCATAGAATTTCCTTTATCGTGACATGAAAGATTTCGAAAAAGGACTGGAATTTCGGAGAAGAATCGTTTCATTACCAAGGCGTTTCCTCAAACTCCAAATGACGACAAAGTCAGCGCATTTCTATGAAATTATTAATTTCATATACAGTTTTAGCATTATCAATGTTTTTTTTGCTTTATGGGTCGCGTTTCATGGTTATTATTTTGATCAATCATTTGTGTACTTGTTTGAGCAAATTTTGTGTACTCAAGTTAACTTTACAAAGAAGCATCAATTTTTTCGTTGCTGTCTTTCAAGTATCGTTTCTTAATGTGACGGCAACAAAAGATCGCTCAACAATTTCTGAAGCAAAAAAATTTCCAAGCCAGATTCTGTTTATGTTGTTTAAAAGATTTTTCTGTTGAAAAACGGAATGAATATACGTTCCTCGTCATTCTATCAACTAACTTTATAAGACAAAATACGAATATAATCTGCAATTAATTTGACGAAAAGCGAAAAATCAGACAGGATTGAACACTTTCTATGATTTTGACTACGATTCCAAAATTTTCACGATTTTCTAACAATGGGATTGACTGGTTGGTATGAAACCTTGAATTCTTACAAGCCTTTGGAAATTCTTAGCAACCAATTTTACAAGGCTTATTATCAAAATATGAAAAATTGAGTGTTTAAAGCATTGGAGGTATTAAAAAATGAGCATTCATTGTCGACATTGTTTCTTATAAAAAAATGTGTATCTTACATAATTTTGTTAGTTTCTCTCTCCGTAGTAACTTTTTAGCAGAAAATACAACTAAGCAGAAAATACACTATTTCTAAAAAAGTTTAACTAAAGTTCAAGTGAATCTAGTATCAAGATGTCAACACTTTGCATTTATTCTTAGTCCGTTTGGGAGAGTATATTCATAGACTATTTCTTTAGATAAGAAAAAAGACGTTCTCCGTTTTAATCTAATTGCTACCATCCACAGTATTTGCAGTTTTTACATAAAGTTTAACTCTATTTTGGATTAATGGCTTAAAAAATTTTTAAAAACAAATATTTCGACAATAAAGTTAGGCCCTTGAAATTGGATTCATCTTTAGTGCGTTTAATAACAAAAAGTATCTCTCACAAGTTCTTTTAATTACAGCTAGTAGCGTAAAAGAGCTCAGAACATCAAAAGTCAATATAAACTATGCTTGGGAAACAAATGAATGCAAAATGATCGAAAAGGCTGCAAATTTTTTAGAATTTAGGAAATCATCGAAAGATTTTATATTTAAAAGCAGGCAAAAACCTTACGTTATTTTTGAGATGTCTTTTCAAGAAAACACAGGCAGAAGATATCCATGTTCTCGCGTCTGACTTCTCCGCTAAATAAATTTTTTGTGAATTTGAATTTCCTTAATCTGCCATGTTTTTCCCATTTGATCTAGACACGTGCTGACGACATTCGACTTCTAGAAGACTGGGGCTAACGTTGAAAAGGCGCGAAAATCTATCACGTGACATAGATGTCTCTATGGGTTTGTTACATAGAGTTCT